GTTCTACATCACATAACAAAATATGAAGAATTTCGGAACTTTTTTTTTATATCATTAACCGATTTCGTTTAACCCTATAAAGCAATGTCCTTTCTTTGGAAAACAAAGTCAAATATGAAATATATTACAAAATGTGACCGTTAGAGCTTGGGTGTAATTTTGAATGATTAATTATGTCCGAAATTTCTATAAAAGTCGAGGAAAAACAAATACGAAGAAAAAACATTAAACATTGAAAAAATATCTAAAGTTTCTATGACGATCTAACTCTAAAAAACATTGCGAGCAAGTTCTTCGATGTTTTCTTTTGAATTTTGACCATTTTGGTTATTGTCTGCCTCAGAAAACATCGAAATTGAACCGCCTTTCTTCCGCATTGTTTTTAACAATAGGGTCTGATAAAAAATAAAAGGGTGAATAATTCATTCAAAATATTTTAAACGTTCATTAAAAATATGTTATATCAATTTTTATCTCTATTGTTTATTCAGGCATCTATCCAACAAGTAATTAATGTATTTTCTCTTAATTCGAGTTCAAAATTTCATAAAATTGAAATACCTTTCTTTATATTGAATAGATATTCTAGTAGCAGCAACAACGTTACTCAAATTCACAAAACTATTCATGAATAACTTAGAAAGAGTATTCAATTACCCGTGGTAAATTCTTTTAAAAAAACTCTAATAAAATTAGATATTTGGAAGAGAGTTCAAGTGATTTTTCGAAAATGGCATAATTTCAATGTTTTTACGGCAGAATATAAAATTGCATAGTTTGATTAATAATCTAGAATAATAAGGTAGTCACAAAATCTAAGTAGTGAGGCTCTCAAAAATTGAACCGTACTCCATACAAAATTTGTGTACCCTCACTACTTAGATTTTGTGGCCTTCAATTGAGAGGTTAGTTTTGATAGAGCACGTTATAAAATTAAAAGGGAAAAATAAATAAAATTTAAACATTTAATTATATATAATGTAAGGAGTGTAATTCCAAATTTTCTAAAAACTATTCAAATTTGAGCATTTTTTTGGAAATAGTAAATCTAATATGTACATCTAATAACAACATGATTCATCACCTTTTCAAGCTCTGCAGTCAATTTTTTGAAATTTGATTGAAATAAATGTAGCAAAAATTACATTTCATTAGGGAATATATGAGTTTCTCTGGAAACAGGCTGATAAATTTTAAATTTTGTCCAATCAACATGAATGCATTGCGAAATTTGGATTGATTTTCTGGTAGAATCTGGAACAATTCAACCATGTATAAATGGATCATGTAATCATCATGAAATGTTAGTGTTAGAGTTCAAAAGAAACAGAATGAGTGGAAATCAAACACAATCTGAATAATTTTAAACGTATACGATCTTTAAGTTTGTATTTTGAATTCTACATATATGATTGTGTAATTCGTTCTTTCAAATTTTCGGATTCAGGCATGTTTTGATAAAATTCATTTTCCCAAAAAAAACGTCAATTAACAATTAAATTTAGTGTATTTTAATATATATATTACGTATATATATTTATAAATTATTAAATTCGCAAAATTTTAAGTTTTAAAACAAAATAAAAAATGTTCAAAATATGAAATTATGCATAGGATATTAAATTTACATGTTAGCAATTTTTGAATTGCTTCAATTTTCATATTGAAATTTTTAAGATTTTTTTCTGAAATAATAAGCAAGAATATCAACCTAATAATATTAAATTCCATGCGTTAATTTCCCCTCAAAAGTCATTGACCGCCTCTTCAATCTAGATTTTGTGAGTACTTTATTTTATCAATACTTATTTTTTATTATGAATTCATGTAATTCAAATATGAAGGCTAAATACTATCTTTAGACTTAAATCCATAAACGACTTTTTCTGGTTTTTAATGAGTCACCAAATTTATTCATATAATGATTCATTGTTCATTTGAATAAACTCTTTCATAGATTCAAACTATTGCTACCATTAAAAGATAATTTTCAATTGAATAAGCTATTTCATATATTTGTAATCAAATGCATATGATCAATCATCAGGGTTTCAAACAGCTTAACTACTTTACCTAACAATTATCAAAGTGCTCTCATAAATCATGAGAATTTATCGACATGATAAACAAATGTTTCCATGATTTTTATAATGTGCGAGGTTTTGGCTGACTATTGAATTATATTTGTACTTGAAACCCGAGTTGAATTTTTGATATTATATTGAACACTACATTTGCAATAATAACTACAGAAGCAAGTTTAATGATTCCTCAGTTTTATAGCTGTACAATCTATTAACACAGCATTAAGCATTTACGAGTAATTAACTTTCAATTAAACTGTTCAGATAATGAATGAAGGTAAGGATGTCAATTCGGAAAATTGTTTTCATTTTAGGAGAATATAATTTTCCTTTTCGAAAATTTAAAAAGTGAGACGCGCAGGTTCGAACTTTTTTAAAGTTGATTTAAATATATTTTAGTGTGGATTTATAGGATAATCCATATTAAAATAAGAATATACTAGTTAGGTGGTATAATTTTTTTCGATAAATTTGAGAGCATGTACGTTTAGGCATCAAAAGTGTCAATTCGCTCAGCGAAAGCTGAGCTAGCTTCGTTCCGAAAGAATAGGGAAGGAGTGAAAGAGAGTGATACAGATGTTGACACATTCATATCATTTCAACAAATTTTTGATCAAATTGAAATTCAATGAAATTCAATCATTCACTTCATATCCTTCAGTCAGTACATTGACATTCTTCTACATCACAATGATAATTCGTGCATCAATAGTTCTACAACTAACTCAGAAAAACAAGATTTTTCCTTCCAGCTTACAGCTTTTAAAAATTTCGATGATAAAAATTCACTCTACTCTTGTTTATCGATATGTTGTGATAGTAGGTAAACGTATTCTTTATCGATATTAATTAAAAATATTTTTACGAAATCTGAACCAATTACAGAGTTATTCATAAAGTTTATGATAACTGTAATTACTTCATCTTTGTTTTATATTTGAATAAACAATTTAATTTAATTTGCATAATTTTTTTTAGTTGAAAGACAGGAAACTTAGTTGAGTTTGTATTATTTTTCGTTCAATTCATTGTATATGTGAGTGATCCAGATATTTAAGATATTTAGAAAAAATTTATTAATTTGATTAACAAATTTTAATCAAAATAGCAAAAATATTTGATAGCTGTAAGCAAATTATTCATACCGAAATGCATCACTAGCAAAAGTGACGTTTGGCCGCCAATTTTAAATTAGTGGATTTGTTTTATTATTTTAAAAAATATAATTGATAAAATATATATTAACATTAATAGAAATATATGGATAAGATTTGATAAAAAACAATCATAAATTTTTTTTTGGGCGCCATATAGAGAACTATAGTCTGCGGGGTACTGATTTCTATCCATGTACCTCGCAGACCATAGTTCTCAGCCAAAATGGCTGAAAATTGCTCACAATTGTTGAAATTGTGAGCAATTTTTGCCGTTTTGGCTAAGAATTGGAGGGTGTGAGTACTATAGCATGTAATAGTATCTCACACCCTCCAATTCTTCCTATGGCGCCGAAAAATTTTTGGTGAAATGCGACGACATTTCACCAAAAATTTTCGGCGCCATATAGAGAACTATAGTCTGCGAGGTACTGATTCTATCCATGTACCTCGCAGACCATAGTTCTCAGCCAAAATGCCTCTAAAATTGTATCCTATAAACTCAAACTTCAATATATTCATTTTATTTTTATAATTAATTTAAATATATCCATATAATTCTAATGTTTTCTTTTAATTTAAAAAATAATAATAATAATTAAAAATAAAAATAAAAATAAACTTTTCTATAATATTTATAAAGCTGATTTGATATATAACACATTTAGCTTAACAAAATAACTTAGAAAAATTGCCGCGCAAAATAAGAGTAAGTGTCACTTTTGTCACTTTTTCTAGTGATGCATTTCGGTACGGAACATAGCTGTAAGCAAATAATAATTTCTATTTCAACCAAAATCATTATTTTCATCTAAACGTATAAAATTGTCAATTTTATGAGAATAAATTTAAAATCTCATGAAATATAAAGGAGAGTAATATTTTTCAATTTTCTTTTTTTCTTTCTCTCAAATATTTTCTATTGGGAATTTTCTTGTTATCAAAAAATAATTTTAATATTTGTTTATTTCATTACATACAATAAAATTTTAAAAACACTATTTCTTCACAAGAAATTTTTTTCCTTCATATGAAGAAACATTTTGTTCTCCATTTGATGCTGAGTCTAAATCTCGATTTTTGAATTTTCTTCTTTCCAAATTTCTTTTTTCCAAATTAGAAGTTTAATTCAAATTTTCAATAGTTTATATATTTTCTCAAACCGTCTTAGATTTTCTCACTTTTTAGGGATTTTCTCTCAAAATATACAAAAATAGTAATACCAATACATGTGTCTAATATACTTTAAAACCATCGTGATAAAATTCAAAAACGAAGAGTTCTTCTCTCCAAATTTTTTTCAAAATCAAAAAAATGAGATAAAAAAATACGTTTGGAAAATTCATTCTTAGCATTTTAGGAATTTTCTCACTTTTCTTCCAAATTGACATCCTTAATGAAGGGATATAAAAATTAATTTCGAGATTTTCACAAGTAATCAATAATCAATATATCTTTATTGTTTGGTGGTAAATTGAATGATTTCCACTTCATCTTCTATATTTCGGGTTTATTTATTCATTCATATGTATCTTAATAATAAAATGATGATGTGAAGTGAGATGCCCAATCAAAATTGAACGCTTGGAATTTTATATCTTCATTCAATTCAATGATACAAGAATAATGCAAATTAATAATAAAAATATGAATAACTAGGACCAAAATACCATGGAGAAAATGTTGAAATGTGACAATGTGAAGTTGGGAATTCTATCAATTTTAAAAGTGAACTGATAACTATAATAAATCATTTTTCTCAATGACATTAGAAGTCACTGATGAGCAGATGAAGGAGATGGGCTGGAGCAAATACAACCTTGCTGATCTAAATAATTGCCTCAAACAATTTAGCATCAATACTGTAGAAAGCCTTCGCCATTTCTTATCCCAATGTTCTCATGAATCCGTGCATGGAAACTTTGTTAAGGAACTAGCAAGCGGAGATGCTTACGAAAATCGTAAAGACCTTGGAAATGTTAATGAAGGCGATGGTAAAAAGTTCAAAGGAGCTGGATATTTGCAATTGACTGGAAGATCAAACTATCAGCAATTGGCTGATAAAATTGGTGACAAGGATGTTATGAAAGGAGTTGATTACGTTGCAGCGAATTATCCATGGACATCTGCCGCATTTTGGTGGCAAAAAAATGGGATGAACACATTATGTAATTCAGGTGCTACTGTTGAACAAGTTACGAAGAAAGTCAATGGTGGACAAAATGGTCTTGAAGATCGCAAAAAATACTATGAAAAAGCGAGCCAAATCTGGTTAACAGAGGCAGAAAAGAAGGCAAAAGAAGAAGCAGAAAAGAAGTAAGCTGAAGCAGCAAATAAGTAATAAATCATTTTTAATTTTCGATTTTTTTTATGAAAGCATTTGGAATATCTTATTATTATACACATTCAACAATAAATAACTAGAAATGTAGAAAACTTTCAAATGTTCAAAGGGAAAAAAATCCTTAAAATTATATTTGCTAAAATCGAAACTCTTTACTTAAGGCTCCAGTCCTGCATGATTGCTGCATATAGTTAGGACGAGTATCTAATAAGGAGTAAAAATATACCAATATATTGCACATATACCAATATTTTATAAAAATTAAATATTATCTATTTTTAAAATTTTCGAATTTGACTATATTATCGTTTTAAACATGATATATACTAACTTTACTATTTGATATATGATAAATAATGATATTTTAAAAATTGAAAATTTGGATTTTTAAATTTGCAAAGTATATAGTATAGTAAATTCATAAATGAGTATAATGCGCCTAATTATAACAATTTTCAATCATTTGATAATTCTATGACTATGGATTTTTGTACTTCTAATTAAAATAATGTCACTTTTTAATATATTGAGTTTAAGGTTTAAATTTAATTTAAAAAATCGATTTGTTTATACATATTGGAAAGGAATTTTTTGATAGTATCTTTTGTATATTAATACATTATGACTTATACTATGTCACCATAATATAAGTTCAAATTTTTATCATGCACATCAATATAAAATTGTAATTCAAAAAACACCTACTTCTATCGTCAAAAATCCTCTCAATTTGAATAAATACATCAAAAATATCAAATTTGCAAACCTAATTCTTCGAAATACCGAAGAAGGTAGAATATACAAATAGTGTCGATAGAAACTATATAATTTTCTTTACAAATTGTCGAAGGGGAACTTAGAGTTTTTTCTTACACGTTGAATTATAAATCAAATTATTGAATGGATTTTTGGAAAATTGAATACTCAATTATCGAAAAACCGTTTTGACAAAAAGTGATTAATACAATATTGTTGCCTATATTAAGTAATTATCATATATGATTTTTATTATCATATCAATTAATCGTGCATGAAGTTATTCTCGACGCAAAAATGGTTTTTTATAGGGGTCTTGCAAATCTAATTCTTCTTTCATATATTTTTTTAGAAGCAAACTCACTATATCAAAATAAACTTTAGTTGCATTCTAACAATTTGTCGAAGGGGAACTGAGAGTTTTTTCTTTATTATCAAGATATGACAAAAAATGTTAATATACAATTTTTTAATATTCGACATATATAGCGATAATGTAATATTATATGATTTTATTATATTATGATAGCATATATAAACCTTATCATATTATTAAAACTTTCACAAATCAAAAATCTTTAGATTCTGTCAAAAAGTGATTTGTTAGATTTTTTCAAAAAAACAAATAACTCATCTAGAAGAGATTGAAAATCAAGTTTACTAATAACAATATAATGTATCACTAATATGCTATAAAATGTCGTGGGCTTTTTTGATTATAAATAGTTTCACCAGTCAAAGTTGAAATTTGTCAAAATACCGAATTCTCAGATAAGATGAACTATAATAGTAATACTCAGTTTAAATATACAATACTATAGTGTTTACATAATAATATTATATACTAAAATAAAAGTATCAAAAACTCATATTGGTGGAGATATTAAAACTTTTAAAATTGAGAGGGTGGGACCGGAGCCTTAAACCAAATTTACTTGAGATGATGATGCAGTATCTACTGATTTCTTCCTGAAGACGAAGAAATAAACAGCGAAGCAAGAAATTGCGATAACTGCAAGAACAGCAACAACGATACCAATAATTGCACCTGTGGATAACTTCTTATTACCGATTTCGTACTTCTTGCCGAGCTCCTGTTGCTGGTCTTCTAACTTATTACCGGCATCTGCAATTGCTGCGAACTTGACTGATCCCTGAGCACCAGAAGCTGTGATTTGGTAGAAAGCATTCATTGTTGGTGTGAAATCAATGCCTGTAACAAGATTCAACCACTGTCCTGTTGTATAATATGTGAAGCGAGTTGATTCATTAAGAGCACTAACGAAATCAGTATACTCTTTTCCGAAAATGTTCTTGATGTCATTTCCTGTTATCTTCTCCTTCTTCTCATTGAAGACAGCAATAACCTTTCTTACCTGCTCAACAGACTTCTTGCCTTCTTCGCTTGATGTGATAACGTTGACAAGGAATGTATCGAGTGTAGCATTGCCAAGTTCGATCCACTTATCAAGTGTTGGAGAACCTTGATTCCTTGGAATGTGAAATCTTTGAAGTAAGCAGCCTTTGTTCAATTGTTGCATTAATTGAAGCATCATCAAGCTTGGATGAGCATTCAAGTAATGTAATGACGGCATCACCGAATGGGCAAAGCTTGATAAGATCAGAAACCTTGGTATCTGGTGTGTAACAAATATTCTTGACTTCATTAAGGATACGCTTGATTTTTGTAATTATAACTGGAGCAGCATCTTTATGCTTATCAAAGAATGAAATTAAGACATCAATTGTTTGCTTGATTGTGTCAACATCATATGGTTCAAAACCGATTTCTTTAAGTAATTCATTGAATGTGACATCAACTTTCATTCCTCTTAATGGATAGCCGTTATCAAATAAGTATTCAACAACAGTTTCATTGAATCCTACAGGAATTCTTTCCTTTTCATCAAGAGATGCTGTGATCTCATTAACTAAATTCTTGACTCTTTCATCTGTTGGCTTTTCACCAATCATTGTTACAACAATGCCCTTCATTAATGGAGATCTCCTACCATTAATGCATGAATGAGACTATCCTTTGAGAAGTATTTCTGGAATGATGATGCATCTGAAGTTTGGGAAATGAAGATGTTTGGTTGTCAAAGAAGGTTGAAATAAATTGGAAGGTCTCTCTTGCATCTTCAGGAATTGTCAACTCCTTTGTATCAATGGATTTCCTTGCGATTTCCATAAATGGACCAGCGGTATCTTTGAGTTGAGAAGTTATCATTGGAGGAAGTGCCTCTTTGAGAATGTCATCATAAAGGGAGACAAGATCTGTAAATCTGCTGACAACTTCCTTTTCGGATTTAGGAATAAGTTGAACAATTGGATACAATAACAATGTCATCGTCTTTCCAAAGATTGTACGCATGGCATCGATAACAGAAAGGCTTGTGTCAAATGCGGCATCAAATTCCTTGAAAATTTCAACGAGGGTGATCTTGTTATCTGCAATAGCTTCAGAGAGTGTCTTGATGGATGCAAGGAACTTCTTGGATTCAATGAAGAAATGAGCAAGGAAATCTGGAATTGTAATGCCCTTTTCTGCGAAGATTCCATTAATTCCATCTGCCATGTAGTAAAGGTAGCCAGTTGGATAGCCAAGAGCGTTGATTGCGTCTTCTATTGTGAACTTCTTATCGTTTTTGTAGATGGCTTCGATGACTTTCTTAATTTTTCCATCATCAAATCCGAAAACACGCAAAAACTTTCCAACAATCTTCCATTCGTCTAAAAGCATCTTTAATTCCTCTTTTTGTGCCGACATTTCAGGGGTAAGTATATCGACAAGAGCTGTTTTATTGCTCATAAGTTTACTGACGGCGTTATATGACGTTTGGAGTTCTTCAACGGTTGGAGACAATTCAAACTTTGTTGTTAGTTCTTGGATAAGTGGTAACATCTTTGTTTTGGCATCAGCAAGCTGATTGATAAGAGATTTGATTTCTTTTGAGATGTCATCTTGGTCTAGTTTGATTCCATTCTTGGTGAATAAGTCTTTGATTTCTCCCAGATCCATTCCATGGGCTGAACGGAGAAGAAATAGTGTGAAAAACATAAATGAAGTGAATTTAAAAATACGATAATTTTTAAAAAAAATTTGTAAAAATAAAAGAAATCATAAGTACAGAATCAATATTATGAATGGAAAAAAACGATAGATATCCGAATTTATTCAAAAAAAATTGAATGAATAGAAATATTATTGGAGAAATTAAATCGTATATTAAGTATAATTAATTTTTGTTCACAACGGTGAACTGATAATTTGAGATCTCAATGTCAGATGCATTCAATTTATTCAGATTCAGATAAGAAATGCAAATACGTTTTCAGATCAAGCAAGTATGTGGAATATCGGAAAAAAAATCAAGCTAATCATTTATCATGCATAAATTTTTAGTGTTCATTTAACATTTGATGATATTTTTTTTTTTATTCATATCTAAGTTTCGATTGAATCGTAACACTCAAGAAAGAAATTACTTCCAATTAGTATCCCAATTGTTTAGGAATTTGTAATCGGAAACAAAATTACATTTTTTTTATTTTTATTTTTATTTTTGAACAAATAATGAGAAAAATGAAATAACCTTCAAGAAAAATCATAATTTCATACAAAAAGAAACAGAGTTCTACATCACATAACAAAATATGAAGAATTTCGGAACATTTTTTTATATCATTAACCGATTTCGTTTAACCCTATAAAGCAATGTCCTTTCTTTGGAAAACAAAGTCAAATATGAAATATATTACAAAATGTGACCGTTAGAGCTTAGGTGTAATTTTGAATGATTAATTATGTCCGAAATTTCTATAAAAGTCGAGGAAAAACAAATACGAAGAAAAAACATTAAACATTGAAAAAATATCTAAAGTTTCTATAACGATCTAACTCTAAAAAACATTTCAACTTATAGGTGTAGTTTATTTACTTTGGCAAAGAATGCTGAATTTCTATTATTATCTAAATTACATATCAAAATCAAAAAAAAAAAATCAATCTCTTTCCACATCAAAGAACTATTTATAAACCCAAATTCCGGAACTCACAAACACCATATGTGATCTACCTAAGATACTTTCGTAAAAATTAACAAATGTTTAAAAAAATGTTTTGTTTTTTAATAAGTTTAACAAACAAAATGAATTTGTGTAAAATTTTAGTAAAAGGATTTTAAAAACTGTGCGAGCAATGTTGTAATAGTGTTTTATGGAGTTATATCCATGAAAATCTCCACTGATGATGCTTGTTACTTTTTCCAATGAAATACCCTTATCACATAGATCATTCATTTTATGGTATTTCCACAAAAAACCAGCAGATATCCATGGATATTTACTAGCAACATAATTAGCGCCATCCATTATTTTTTGGTCACCCATGTAGTTAGCAAACGCCTGATACAAATATCTTCCCTTCATTTGTAAGTATCCAGCTCCTTTATATTTTGGTCCATCATCCTGAAAAATATTTCCAATATCTGTTCTTCCCACGTAGGGTTGTTAGATTCCCGACGATATGTGTCTTGGAAGATTTGCCTGGTGTCATCATAGTGTCTTTAAATCAAAAATTTTATTTTGGAGTTAGTTTTATTGATTTTTCAATAAAAAAAATTTCTAAAACAAGAAAATAAAAGGATAAAATATTTATATTTTATATAAGGATCTTATATATTTAAAATAAATATCATTTTATTTTTTTCATTGGTGTCTGTCAAACCATAATACACTATTCAAAAATTCAATGTGTCTTGCGGTTTCAAAAGACACCTTCAAATTGAACGATAGCACAGACACTATTGAATTTACCCATTTTATTTAGTTTTTACCCTTTTTATTTTTAAGAATTAATGACTGAAACAGCCGTTTTGCTATGACCTCAATCACTTTTATTTATTATTTTAAATATTATTTAATTTTATTATTTGAATAGGCCAACTTATATTTGAGAAGCTCAATTTGAGACCACTTAATACATTGAAATATCATAAATATTGAAATATTAAAAAGTGTATTTCAAAATATTGAAATTATAAAAATTTATAATACTGAAATTGAGACAAATTAATAAATTCAATGTGTTTTTTTTTGAAATAACTCTCAAATATTATTTTTTTGTTTATTTAATGATGAATAAATATGATTGCTTTAGTCAATCATAAAAACTAATTTAAGTTTAAAATAATGAAAGGATAATTTGATCGTTTTTTAAAATACAATTATTTTTGATGATTTGCAAGAATTTTTGAAAAGAATATAATATAGGTTCTATTTTTGTAAAATTTATCCAAATCATGTATTACATAAATTACGATTAAAACGATGAAAGAACCAAAAAGTGTGTTTTGTGTTTTGTTGTTGCGTGTTGGATGCAGGATCCTGTTATTTCCGAAATCGACAAAAAAATTGGAAATTTAATTTCCGAAATCGAAATTATATTAATGTTTTTAATATTCTTATATCAAAAGGATTAAAGTTCATTAAGAGAAAAACAATTCTTCTTCTTCAATCTATTGGCGCATTTATTTCTACACGCCAATAAGGAAGGGAAAATTATAAGACACCATGGTGTCTTCAAAACGCTAATTTTTGATATTTTTAACAACCCTATTCCCACGTATTTTGCTCCAGATGTTTTTTCTTTATTTATATTGCCTTGGTCTGATAGATAGGTACACTGGGTAATGAAATGTATCCTTCTTTGAGATGTCGTGATATCGAATTTTTGAATGCATTCATTAAGCTGTTCTAAATTGTAGTTAGACCAACCCATTTTTTGCATTTGAGAGTCGGTAATGCGACCTGTTGTTGGAGGTTTAGAATAAGAAGATTCTCCACAAATTGTAACATATTCACCACAAACCCATCCCTCTGAAATTCTATACCAAACAAAATTAAGATTATTTTGATTAGTAATTTCAAGAATATTTATCTTCGTACCGGGTGCCAATGCTCCAACAACGTCATAAATTGTACTTGGTCTGTCGCGAATATTAAGACCAACCAATGCAGTAACAGTTCCTGGAACAGAAAGGTATTTTGATTCGATGTATCCATCTTGTCCGTTATGGTTAATTTTCCAGAATTCGTTTTCATGTCCGATAACTTGAACAGGCTGGTAAGCTGAAATTTCTCCTAATGTATAATAATATTTTCCTGGGCCACAAAGAACATTAGCTTTTTTTGTTGTAATTGCAGTTGCCCATTTGTTAAAGGTATGCGATGTCTGTGTCGACCGCTCATTATGAAACTAAGAAACAAACTTAACATTGATTTGGATTTGGCAAAATTGTCAAAAACGGTTCTTAAATTTAAAAATTTGAATTAATATTTACAATTCAGATTTGAATTAATTTATTCTCAAAAAGATTCTTTCTCAACAATGAACTATCCTAAGCACAACAAAAAATCATCTTTTCCGTTAAAAAAAAGGAAAACAAATAATCTCGAAATTGTTCTTGAAATGACAAGTCCATCATTGATGTTAAATGCATGGTTGAGACAATTGCAGTTTAGTATTAACATGGAATTTTATATTTGATAAGTTCAGGCAATACTTTTTATTAATAAAGATACATACACCGGCTTCCAACCAAAATTTTGAGTTTGTGCATCACTTATATGTAGATACCTAATATCTGAATCACTTCAAAGGGAAACTTAATCAAACACAATAAATTTCTAAAACTTCGAAATTAAAGTCTATAATTCTTATCTCAATCAAAAATTTATTTGTTTAAACTATTTGTTGTATTTGAATTATTCCGGATCATGTATATATCAAGGATTCGGCAGTATTCCTGATTTGAACCTAAAGAATGTTGTTTTTTGATATTATACCCCTAGTCATGGAGTTTTCATGTCAAAGATAAAATATAATGAAGAAATTAAAAATTATCCAATATATTTTTTCCTTAGATATGAAAAATAATGAATGAATTAAATCATATTGGGGAAAGTGTTAAAAATTTTGGCTTTCAAATGTAAAATTTAGGAAAAAAAAAAATGAATAAAAAAAATTAAAAATTTAGTAACAATTAGATGTATTTATAAGAGAGATTTGATAGCTTGGATCTTTGCTCTGTCAGCGGCAGTTTCTCCTTCGAAATCCTTCATATCCTTATTAGCACCGTTTGCGAGGAGGTATTTGACCATTTCGTAGCATCCTGCTGTAGCAGCTTCCATTAGAGCTGTTTCTCCTGTAGTTTTTGCAGCGTTAATGTCATTATGCTTGAGTAAGTACTTTACGAGGTGATTGTGTCTGTTTGCAGCAGCGACCATGAGTGGTGTTGTATCGAAACGGTCCAACTTGTTCAATGGAAAGCCGTTCTTGAGTAAGAAGCAGAAGAATTGTGTATTGAAAGCGTTGAGAGCAACTTTGACGGAACTGACGTTCTCAAGATCGTAGTGCTTGATAAGTGTGGCTAAGAACTCGTTGCGATGGTTCTCAACAGCGATTTCTTGGGCTAATTCGAAAGATAAACCTTTCTTTCTGACCCAATCAATGATTTCTGGGTTTCCACCGACAATAGCGGCTTCAACTGTGTTCCTTGTGACTTCCATTGGGCGGCAAAGAAGATAATAGAACGTCTTTGGCTTTGCAGCATAAGCGGCGAGGTCTAAGAGGTTGTAATCGACACCACCGATATCTACTGTGCCATCTAATGCTCCCTGCTTGTCAGAAAGCTTCTTGAGAGTGTCGACATCTTCATTAAAAACAGCGGCTTGTGGAGAGTCCTTTGGATAGAGCTCTTCGTACTCTTTGGCTGTTGCTTCCCATGTGAAAATTGTCTGATCGTGTAAGCCACGGCGGTGAAGATAGTCAGAAAATCTTGTATTCGGGTATGCAGCTAACTTCCAGCCTAATCCAGCCCACAAATCACCATAGAGCTTGAATGAAACAGAATATGTTTCGGCGGCTTTGTTGATGCAGTTGTAGATAAACTCATGATCTTCTTCTGGCTTCTGGGAAAGATATTTAATAGCATCTTGAAGCTTCTCTTGTGTGAGACCAAAAATGCAATCTTCAATTGCAACAGTCTCCTTCAACTCCTCTGGAACGCAGGTAGCATCGTATTGCATCGTTATAAGTGGTCGGCCAATTCTGAATTATTATTAAGGGTTCTGACCGACCAACTATATCCTCTCAATTTTCTTCCACTTCGAGACACTGTATATGCCTTCATGATTGATATTATTCCATGTACCCCATACACCATGATAGTGTTACTTCATAATATTCAATACATATATGATAGGTGAATCTCAAATCCACTATATGAATTTGAAAAAAGCAATTTATGATATCAATTTTTGATTTTCTCATTTTAAAAATATGTGGTAAAAATGCCTCGAGTTTGACTAAAAATTTTCAAAATTTTCAAAGTTACGGATTTGGCAGCACTTATATGTACAGAAAATATCCATCGCCAAGCGGGGCTTCGAGACCACCCCAATCCATAATTATTGAATACAATTTCGTCAAAAATACAAATTCTAGCTAATTTAGATATATAGTATCTATAGAAATGTAAGAGTATGCATAAATGTATAACATTTTATCGATTTTTTTACTAATTTTGCTCAAACTTTTTCAATAACAAATAAATGATGCTGTCCATGCATATTTAGTCTCATCTATTGCCACACATTCTATTTCCTAGTCATTGCAGATGAAATTTTATTTGTTACTTTAATATTTAAGAAAAAATTCTATTTAATCTCGTTGACACTTGAACATAGTAATATAAAGCAGCATGCTACTTGCTGATAATGGTCATATATTATGTTCATTTGGTCTGAAATTGAAAATTCCTAATATATATAAACTTAGTTTGTGAAATATAGCAAAGAAACATAATTATCTTATACAATAAGTCACATACATTATCTGTGATAATATATAGAAAGATATATAATTAATCTAAAGATATACATTTCATATCGCAATATGAGGATTATCGAGCTACATAATTTGACGAATTGTATTTTTATGGAAAATTTGACTAGCAGCTACTGTTACTTTATTGGTTAAAGTAATTTTATTAGAATAATTAATCATCCTTACTAGCAAATCTTCAAGCAGATAAAATTGTATTTGATATATGCATATCCTATCTCCTGGCAGATAAATGGTGCAAATATATATAATAAAAATTTACTTTTTGCGAAGTATTTTAATTATTCATGATTTGTTAATCGTATTTTCAAATTTAATTTGGAAACATCATTACTCACATAAAATCATAATAATATCCAGTTGACTCAAGAATAGAACATGATCTCTTTGCAAAATATACGCTATATTAACCTAATATAGGCAATCAAACCAATTTTTCTTCACCATTATTGCTATTTTTGCAGTGCAAATATAATACTTAGTGAACGCTGGTCAATTTTGCGAATTAGTTATATTAAATTCAAAAATTAAGGGTTATGAAAAAATGAATATTGAAATGGTAATCTCTGTTAAATTTCGGACATAATTGTTATAAAATTTTAAAATAATACCAATTTCGGCCTCCCTCTCAATTTTTTCTATCAACTCACTCTGACACGTAAAGTTTACGTGTCAGATATTTCTTTACTGTATTTGGTGATAAAATATGCATAGGTATTGATCACAGAATATGTGTACAAAATTATAAAAAAATCCATCGAATATTCATAAATTTTTTCACTCATTTGGCATGTTGAAAAAAATCCGAAAAAATCGAAAAAAATCGAAAAAAGCAAGGCGAAAAAATGATCATCGATAAAGACCTCACTTTGAGGTATTTTTAAATACTATATCTTATAGGTTGGAAAGATGTACCGGGCGTTTAGGCTGATGCCTAGTATTCGCCAAGATATGAGACACCAAAGTTGAAAATTTTGAGAGGAGATAGGTGGTCGGTCAGAACCCTTAACTCACTGTCATTTAAATTAAAGCAATTCATGTGAAGTATTTCATGAATTGGCCAAAAATTTGTTGAAATGTTAAAAAATTGATAAAATTGATAAAATTAAATTATAATTATTGTTATCTTTATATGTTTAGTATAATATTTGTGTGAAATTATTATCATTTATAGTCTTAGAATTAAATGTTACAGCTAAAATTTCCGATAAAATTTGATTTTAATTCCAATTCTGATGAATTTTTCCAAAATTTTTTTGTTTTTTAAAATTTCAATTGAAGTTTCAAGAGATAGTTCATTATTTTCTTAAATTCGAAAAAAATTTGGAATTTTATACTCGCTTCTAAGGGCCCCTATGGCTTCCATCAAAAGTATTCCCACCAATAATTTTGTCAATTGAAAGTGATTGGTATTCAGCTTTTTACATCTTGCATTATAACACAAGATTTTGACTTACAGAACCAATTTTTACTGTTACATAATTTAAACACTCTCTTGGTACAAGAAAAAATATCATTTTTTAGAGAATTTCAACAAAACCTACAAAACTATAACAAAATTGACCTTAAGTATTTATGCTGATGTTAGAACTTACGAAATTTTAATAGGAAAACATATGAAATTAGAATATTTTTTATCAAAATTCGATTTAGTTATCGAATAACTTACATACTTAATGATTAAAGATCAGTATTACAGGGAAACTATCCTATTCGTTTGGATTTTAGTTTCGATTTGAGAATAAAAAATTATTGTACATTAATAAAGATTTTTCAATATAAATAAGCCGATTTATTTAAATCAAAGATAATAAAACTTAGAATTATTGAAAAGCTGACTCGATTGCCTCTATAATAACCTGAGAATCGTAATTTGCGCAAAGAGACTTCAGAGGAGAGATAAGATATAAGTAATCTTGGTTGAATTTTCCTAATTTGCCAAAGTATGAATGCAAAACTGGTTCGTAGCACTTCTGGAAATCACCAGTAACAAGACGCTTCATATGAAGCGGAGCTTGTTTTCCAGCGACCTTTTCGACAACTGTCTTGATTGATCTTTCCATTTTTTCGGCAATGGATTTCTGTTCTTTCTGATATTGCTTGTATTCATCAAGAGCTTCTCTTGAAGCATGAAGTTCTGGGTGCCTGAACATCTCTTCATCGTAATCGAATGCTTGTCTTCTTATTGAGCTCTTTGGACCAACACCAATAAATTCTGAAATTGGAGTATCCAAAATATCACCAAACGAGGTCGGAGTAGAGCGAATCATCTTATCATGAACGTTCTGGAATAATGAGCGAATAGTATGTTGAGGATTCATTTCAATTTCGCTCATACTGTGTGTAGAAAATTCATTTGATAATAAACTATAAGTCCATGGGCTACGAATTGCTGCATAGCTTGATTCATTGCATTGAGCTGCAGTTATGACTGCAACGTTTGGAGAATTTACAGATTCTGCCAAACAGCCAGAATAACAAGCTTCTACCATGAAGAATATACGTTTGTATTTCCCGAGTTTGTGCATTGTATTAAATGTGTTTGCAAGCTCATATGTCGTTATGAATGATTCATCTGGACAAGCTAAAATATTTTGAGCACCATGATCATTGTAATAGAAGAATATATCATCATCTTTTGTTGTATTCATGTGTTTTAAGTATTTGATAAGGTTAGCACTTGAAACTTGATAACCTTTGTAATCAATCTTGTCATCGCCTGGGTAAATGTTTTTATCATTCAATGTATGAAACATCTTTCCTGGATATGGATTCAGTGAATTGTTTATGATATCGTTAAATGCCCATAAAGAAATATGATCATCATCAAATCCATGAGTTTTAAGAAGCTGGTACATATAAAATACGTCAGCTTGATGTCTGTAGTTTGTATATGAGTTTGAGCCAGCAAAAAGTATTGCATATTTTGCACTCAAGCCTAAAGAAAGAAACAAAAACATTTTTTGATAAAATCTGACAATTTTGCCGACGATACGTCGGATTTGACACAGATTTAAGATTATTTCCTTAGTATAAAACTTCAATGTTTATTAAATAATGATACATCAGATACTGATGCAAGTGATACCAGAAGAACTTAAAAATACATGATATTGAGAGATATTTTTTTTCAATATGGTTTTTATAGTTTCAAATAATTAGAGGGCTAATTCCTTAAGCTTTGTAATTCATACTCCTTATTTGATATATGAAATACAAGATCATTAGCCCATAATATGAAGAAATTTGAATAACAAACCCGAATAGCTTTAATTGTTAATGGTATTCCCTTTAGTGAACTTATAATGCTAATGATTTGTGTATTTTAAAATGTTTTTTATTTCACTTTCAATGAATTCTACATGGTCGTCTGATTATTATCTGACTTTATGTAGAAACCAATATATAAACAGAGAAAAGAAACTTCCTTAAGATTAGCAATAACTTGTTTTGTGAGATTGATATCACTTTCGCTGTTAGATTATTTTTTTCATATTAGCAAATGCTTAATTTAGGATGTATGTCAACATTTGAATATACAACAATCATTTCCATTTAATGATGCATGCTTTGCCGGTTGTATACAAATATATTAACATTTGAATTCAGAAAAAAGCTCACATTAAATAGGCAGAATCGAAATAAGCATAGACACTATTTCCATAAACTCATATTATTTCAAACTCAGATATTCTATTTCCACAAGGAAGGAATCTCAAATTATTGGATTTTAAAATTATTGACAATCTGACAATTTATTTTCAACAAAGCAATCTATTAATCAAGTGAATGAAAAATACAAATAAAGTAAGAAAAAAAGTCCATTAACGATCAGAAAATTTATTGCATGGTCGTTTAAAAAATTTCTGAAATGATATTACCATCTGATGAATATTCATATTCTATGATCAAAATTTGATCTGCAATTTTTTGAACGAATATTTACAATTTCATTGAATTTAACCGAAACATGTTTTATTGTGATTATTAATGTACAGATCATATATGAAATTCAATAAAAATCAGATACCGAATTTACCTCAGAAAAAATTGAATATTGTTAAGATGATACATTTTGATTGATAATTTTATTAGAAAAACGATTAAAAATTTTCATCATCAAAATTATCTAAATAAATTACAGAACTAAAATCGGATAAATTTGTTTTCATGAAAATTGAATTGAAATTTGGCTAAAAGATTTTGTTAAAAAATTTAACTCTATGCATGAATGCAAAACTAGAAAATATTTATGTTCATAATTTCGAACATTTGGATAATTGATAAATTTGAAACTCACAAATGTAATGGATTTTGGAGATGGAAAATATGTTCTCAAATAAAAAAAAATGAATACATCTCTCTCAAAACATCAAACGAATAGCTCTCAATCTTGATTGATGTACGAAATTTTATGAAAAGGTTAAATATTCATAACATTGTATCCTCTTCTAACATTACCATATTGAAAATAAAATTCTATCAACAGTTTTCAAACAATTTTTATTCCACATCATAATTAAAATTTACTCTATTTTTCTGTTTCATTAATACCAAATTTTCTCAAATCCGAACAATTCTTTGAAATTTTTGAATAATCAAAAAATTTTATATACATGTTAATACCAAATATAATTTTATATTTTAAAATTCAAAGACTCACAAATTATTCTGAGTTCTTTCAAATTTGGTCAAGCATCAATTATTCTCTTCTCAATTTTTTTTATTATTTTCATGTTCGCTCTTTTTCTCGCTACTGGGATTTCAATAGAAATCAAGAAAATCTCCACGAGAAATCAATTGGCGCTTGATCAATATGGCTTTGAGCAGGGCGGAACCTTCTCAATCCACATCTACCTTAAGCCTGAAATGAACTTCACCCTTTCGTTTATGACACGCGAAAACTTCAATTATGCAAAGAATAGAAATATGGACTTCTGCAATCAATCTGATATTATCGGAAACTACACAGTTGAACGGATTTCTGATCAGATTTCCTTTGTGAACTGGACTGGCCAAATACAAGACGCTGGTGTATATCGCCCTGTAATAACCGTATGTTCTACAAAAGTTGAACCCTATTCAGTAACATATAAGGCAGATAACCCAATTTCCCACTTAGATTCAAGATACACAAAGTCACCATTTGTATCAGAGCTATTTGCCTTCTTATTCCTTTTCTTTGCTGTTGTTGGAATTCTCAACTGGGCCTTAAATCCTCAATTTTTGATTCCAGTTTTGATTTCTAACACATTAACATCCATTTTCGCATCATTGCTGTTCACATCATACTATTTATATTATACACATATTCCTATTTCGCAAGAAACTCCATTAAGAATCAGATTATCATGTTCTATCTTCATTAGTTTAACAATTATGTGTTCTCTTGTTACAGGACACATGACAGCTTGCGGATTTTCCATCATTTCACTTGATGTCCATACAAAAACAGCTATTATTAACATAATTACAACTATAATCATGGGAATCTGTTTATTCTTAATGGACTTTGGTATCAATATGAATGTAACCCTTGTTGCAGGCTTCATTGCTATTTTTACCTTGGTTCATATCTTGTATTCACTTATGACAAATCTTTCGAACTTGGTCGAACTTAAATACGAAACATCTGATCAGACATCAGTCCTTAAGATCAGGTTAGCTTTCCGAGCAACTCTTACTTGGGTTTGCTCCCTTGTTTTGTGTTTAATCGCTGCTCCTCAAGAAGTTGGTCAAAACCTTCTATTCGGACTTGCTGCATCTCTTGCTGCACAAAATGGTGGCTTATCTTTCTTGTTCTCTTTCTCCGGCGGATATATAGTCGAAAATGAGATAAAGAACGAAAATGATTTGGTCTACATCGAAGACCCAACTTCGGAAAAATCATTAAGCTTCATTGCAGCTGAATCAGCATAATTTATATTTATATTTTTATTTTATATTAAAATGTTTGAACTATCTATCCTAATTTCAACTATTTTTAACCAGAAAATAACAACAATCATTTGCTTTAATTATAAAATTGAGATTATTAATATGAAATTTTTAATCATAAAAATCCACGACCATTTGTGAAAAATAAATAACAATCAACTGTATTATGATTCATATAATTAATAAATTTAATCGAAATTAATAAAATTAAAACAATAAAAAAATTATTTGAAAATAATCATAAAATCATTACCATCCTTCGTCATCGTCATCCCATGCCTCATCAGCTTTACCATGATGCTTGATCTTCACTTCATGAGTTTGCTCTGAAGCAGAAACTTTGTTCAAAATCTCCATAAGCTGTGCATCGCTAATTTGAGCACCCAAATTGTTTTGCTGTGCCATTTGCAAACACAAATCTTCAACAAGACGTGATTTCTCTGGTTTGACAAGTGAAATTCTTCCTAAGCGTTCTTTAGCTTCTGTAGAAAGAATCTTGTCAAGCATTGCTTTACGTTGCTCTTCCATTTGTTTAGCTTTTTCTTCTTGTGCCTTCTGCTGCTGTTGTTGAGAATTCATTTTTGATTTATGAGGTGAAGTAAAAACCGCAAAATCTTTGTCAGAAAATTGAATCAATCTAGATTTTATAATCATTTTATAACGCTATTGTCTTCTCAATCGACCAAATGTATATAAAGAAGTTTTTCTAAGTGAGTATAAAATAATATTTGTCATAAATGCTATTCATTTCGAATTGATGATCTGATAAGCTCAATAACCAGGGTGTATTGACAAACAACCAAGTAACTAGGTATGTTTTATAGATAAAAAACAAATCATTACCCGAATTAGACATACAAAACTCAATTTATTCATTGATTATTTTTCAAATGGTATTCTATTTCAAATAATACTTCATCATGCATAAACACTAACTTCTATTCATGAATTACATATACTTTTCAATTAAAATATTTTGATTCAGATCATTTTGCATTTAAAGTTTCATTCATATTAGTTGCTTAGCAAAAACATTATTTGTAGGTAGGACACTTTAGTCTAATTCAGTTATTACCCTGAGATACTCAGATCAAATTTCGTTTGTTCTTTTAGAGGATGTAAACAAGAGATCGAACTCTAAATTGTTATGCTTAGGACATCTTAAATCCACTGTGAAGCAGAGATTTACATATCCCAAAAGACAAAACTGCCAAAAACTTATTTTTTTATGAACGGTTTGAATTTTAAATAAAGTGTTGTATATTGTGTTTAGCAAAAGATTTATGATAAAATTTTGAGTTTTAATCTTGGCGGGTCCGAGTTGGTTTTTTTGCAATTCAAATGGTTAAATGAAAACCGGATCCAATTTACTCTCATATATCATTGGAGAGAAAATCGGTGTAGGCGCTTTCGGAGAGATATACTCAGCTATCGACGATAGAACCGGAATTCTTTATGCAATTAAAACAGAAACTAGCGATGCTGTTAAAAAAACACTCGCTTTCGAGTTCCAAATTATAGCTCAGATACAGTCTTCCCCTCATTTTCCGCGCTTAGGAGTTTTTGGACATGGTCACGGATTTTCTTTCTTTTCCATGGAACTTCTTGGCCCATCGTTATCAGGAATAATTAAAAGATTACCCGAGCATCGCCTTTCTCTATCTACAGCAGTACGCTCATCTTTACATATTCTGAAATGCATTGAATCCCTCCATATTTTCGGAATTGTGCATCGAGATATCAAGCCATCGAACATACTTACACGAGAAGGAACAGATTATCCACTTTGTCTGATAGATTTCGGACTTTCTAGAGTTTATATTGATTCTTCGAACGGCCAGCATTTACCACCTAGACCGCATGTTGGCTTTCGTGGAACTAAACCTTACGCATCGATTCATGCCCATAAAGGCCATGATTTATCGAGAAGAGATGATTTAATTTCATGGTTTTATCTTGCAACTGAACTCATTGCTGGATATCTTCCATGGAGATCAGTTACAGATAAAGGTGTCATAATGGCGCTCAAACAAAAGTTTCAAGTCAAAGAAATTTTAAGCCCAATCGCTCCAGAATTACTCGAAGTTTGGGATCACATAACATCATTAGATTTCTATGCTGCTCCGAATTACCATATGATTTTCGAACGTTTAGAACAAATTTTGAAAAGAATTAAGGCTCACATGGACGATCCATTTGAATGGGCCGGACTTTTACACGAAGCCAGAAAAATCGTTACAAAACCGCTTGAAAATTTGATCGGTGGTCCCGAAATGAACCATGTACAGTATATAGAGACAGTTAGTGACAACATAAACGAAAGACTGCTTGGACCATACATAACTGCTAACCCTCCATTCAGTCAGTGCTCTGAATCTTCTGATGCATGTTGCTGATTTTATTATATTTGAAAATATTATTTATTGTTTATTAATATATATGTTTTTCTTATCTAATAAAACATTCTATCCTATATCATGCTTAAATTTAAATTTATAATATTTTTTTTTTTCAAAGTTGCTCTTTATTCTCCATTGAAGTTGTACCAATAACTTTGACAAGTTTATAAACTATTCCGAATTGGTATGTAGTCAGACCAAGATACATTAACAAGATTAATCTCCAATCTCTACCAAATATCATCTATTCTTGATTAATGTGTTAGGTGTATCGTTTTTAGAAAGTATGAGTATAACTGAATAATGTATCTCATTAAAAAAATGAATGGAAAAATTGTAAAATCAGATTGGCTATCATTGAGGCATGCCATTAATCACAAATTGATGTAGAAAACGTTTTTAAAGCGATTTTAGTAATACGTATCATTTTTAAATCCCGAAATATATCTTCAATTAAACAGGTTGATTTGCTAGTCAAATCTTGCACATCTCCAATAGTGAAATTCATTCCCAACCATATAATAATACTCATTCTAAATTCAAAAATGAGATTTGATTAAGGGTGCCCTATAACGATAATGTAAACATCACAAAATTAACCTTATTAGAACTCGAATGAATGGATTATCCAGATTCTAGTTCTCAATATAATAGCCTTAAAAGTGCTTTTCTGAGGGTGGTTTATCGTCTATAGGGCACCCTTAAAGATGTTGTAAAATCGAATTTTCATTTAGAAATAATATTTGCATATAATAGATGTATATCATCCAAAACGTCTTGTGTCAGAATTTTGAAGTGTTATCAAATTTGAAACAAAAATTTTGTATTTCATTTTTTATGTTGCGTTTCCTATTCAGCGTTCTTAGAATTTCCTCCGACAGATCAGGTAATATCAGTCGTTCAACCCAATCTGCTGTTTTTCGAGATATAGAGCTTGAAGCAAATTCAACATTTTCTTTTTCTTTACACGGCAGTAACATTTCAGGAACAACGATTGTACTTTTCAACAAGACGCAGTACAAAGAACATTACAAATACATCAAAACGAATGAAAAATTCTATTCAAATAACATTTCGAATTCAATTCTTCATTTTCAACCTCACTAAACAAAGACATATACTATCCTGCCATCTTCAATTGCAACAATCAAAGTTTTGAATATTTATTCGATTACAACCTCAACGGCACAAGATATGATGCAAACGTGATGCAAAAGACTACTATTTTATATGTTGAATTTTCGATATATATGTTCTTATTTAATGAATGGTGGAAGAGATTATTTAAACTTGATTCGGGCTATCTATATTTTATCACGTTTTTAATTCTGTCTCTTGCAAAACCCATTACTATTCATCTGAGATCCCGCCAATTTAATTCATTTTTAAACGAGAAATCTGATGATGAGACAAAATATTTAATATTCGATATGCTGTATCAAGTAATATCGAATACATGCATTTTTGCAACTTTATTTTATTCAGTGAGCATGTTCTGTTTGAAACATTTCAAATCATGGAAATATTCTTGTACTGTTTGTTTCTTTTGCATTTTACAATCATTCGTACTTTATGTTGCCCAAGCAACATATAATATGAACGTGTTATTGATCTTCATTGGAATCGCCATGGCTAATTATTCAATTTTCTGTTATCTTCTTAAAATCGAACTCACACCTCCAAAATACACCAAAGCTTTGGCTGTAAATGGTTGCTATTCATATTTATTCAATTCAGGCTTCCGCTATCTCCAAATTTCATTAATAGCGGTCCATTTTTACCAAATAGGTCTTTTCTTCCTCATTCCGTTTTGTCATTCACATTATTTCAAACATGTTATATTAGAAATTCCAATTTATATCATTTATTTAGTGAACACATATACTCTCAGAAAATACAAGTTTAAGAAGATATATAAAGCGAATTCACGCATAGAAACAAAGATTTTCCAACAGCTTTTATCTAAAATAGAGCAATGCAAGGAATTATTGAAACACAATAAATACTGTCCAGAATGTGAAGAAGAATGCAAAGATCTCACAAAGCAACTTCTTGATAATTTTGTCTACAAAACAACATTGAATGCATTTCTTAAGAAAGAACTCGATGCCATTCATTCTAAGAATATATCACTTTCAAAGAAATAACTGTTGCTTATCTTTTTTGTTATAAACGCTTATGTGTTCTTGATTTTTTATGAATATTTTTAAAACTATCTGCGTTTAGCACTCGGAAAATAATGAACCAGTTCCATATTTTGCTTTTAATTGGTTTTGAATGAGAACTATGTATTTAAAAGATGTATCATAACCTGTATAATGCGTCCATATAAATAAAAGATCATTATTCATTTGCTCCACAGATTAGTATTGAATGTATCTTCTCCAAGAGAAAACTTCATGTTGATTATTTACAGAATCCAAATGATCATGATTTTCTTATACAGGAAACATGCTTTTTTATCTACTGAAGATGATAGGATTTTAAATAACAAAGGAGACAAAACCACATTTCAATATTTCCAACTTGATAGAAGCAAAACTTATATTGAATGGAGAAATCAATTTATATCTTGGAAAAATCATTGAATATTATATAGGCGTGTGGGCAATTTTAACGACATTTTTTAACGCGATACGAGCGTAAGTCCATAGAATGTGTTTTGAGGGAAACTATAAAAATCCAAAATAGAGGTAAGTGCGCCATTATTACCTGCGAAGTTACATGGAATAAATCGAAGAGTAAGTACAAGATGATCTTGCATCTTTCCAAGTAAATGAAATTTATTAAAATTAAGATGATAATATTCATTTATAGTATGTGTATGATGTTTTTTCAAAATTTCTTCAAATAAAATGCAGAGAGAGGGTCAAAGTTGCTATTTGTCACTTTTCCACAAGTTGCTATAGTTGATCTCATTCACTGAGGTGAGAGACGCATCTAGTGTAATGGGATAAACAATGGGATTGCTGCTCTAAGTCCTAGGTTCGAGACACATTGGCTTCATTTTTCTCTTTTTTATTGACGTAAACTATTCAATTTTTGTGTTCTCCATTCAAATTTCAGAATTTTTTTTGCAGATTTCACGCTACATTCGAAGTTACCTTTTGTAACAACCACCACTGCCTACGAAAGACGAAAGTGTGTCACGATTTCACCCGGAAATCCGACGGTTGTTTAAGAGTAAGCACTTTTGGTCGTATATTAATTTAACTAATATGAATTTGGATTGTGCTTTCCTTATTGATGTAATGATATTTTCACTAATAAAAAATGAAATATACACAAGAAAAAAATTATTCAAAAATTATCATTGCATTTTATTTGAAGAAATTTTGAAAAAACATCATACACATACTATAAATGAATATTATCATCTTAATTTTAATAAATTTCATTTACTTGGAAAGATGCAAGATCATCTTGTACTTACTCTTCGATTTATTCCATGTAACTTCGCAGGTAATAATGGCGCACTTACCTCTATTTTGGATTTTTATAGTTTCCCTCAAAACACATTCTATGGACTTACGCTCGTATCGCGTTAAAAAATGTCGTTAAAATTGAACCGCGCCTATTATATAGCTATCCAAGAAATGAATGATGCAATAAGGTACCATATACTTTTCTTATTGGATTTAATTCTTCTATAAGGGTTTGAGATGGTCATTGAGTTCTATTCATGAGGAATATCTTGATCCAATATATTATAATTTTTTCACTATTTCTTCGAATCAACAAGTAATTTAATCTGGTTGTGACAATAATTCCAGTTTGAATTTGCTTTAAGTGTTGACTCATATCAAATATAATTTAAATGTATTAAAACTACAGTGCTGTTCAAAATTTAGATTTTACTACGGTGATATACTGCAATATTTAGCTGAGAGAAAGCTTGTATTTAACTTACAACAAAAATCCAAACGCATTTTTAAAAATGATAGAGAAATCAGGGATAGTAAGATGAATGGGTTGACTTGCTGACAAAATACAGTTATTTCATTACCGTATCAATAAGAATATTTATGCTTTTGAATGATGGGGAACTATCGAATCTCTAATTTAAGTGCATATTACAATTATGATAAGTATATTATTACCTCAGCTACAAGCTCAGACAGAGAATCGAAATATGCTCATTTTGGATTCAATTTTGGGTAAAAAATGTCAATCGAAATTTTAGTTCAAAAATGATATTAAATATGACCACAATAAAATCACTCTAAACACTTAATTATTGAATTTTGAAAATCATTCAATATTGAATAAAAGATTTTCTTTTTCATTTTTAATGCTGCGCACTATCTTCAGTGCACTCAGTTTCTGGCTCCTCAAATCAGGAAATGTAACTAGTTTAGACCAATCTTTTGTTTTTCCTGACATTGGTCTTGAAAACGACTCTTTGTTTTACCTAAAAATAGCAGGAAGTAACGTTTCGGGAACAGAACTTGTGCTATTCAACAAAAAACAATACAGGCAATATCACAAACATATCAAATCGAATGATACTTTCTGTTCAGGAATCATTTCAGATTCAATTTATCATTTTCACGTTACGAACGAGAGCTACAATATATGGGAGTTTAAAGTTTCAGGTAGGAGCATATATCATCCTGTTATATTCAACTGTAACAATCAAAATTTTAATTATTCCACTTTTTTCGTTAGCGGCGGCATATTCCTTGACATGAGGGAAAGAAACATGCCACATATACTATCTGGTGAGTTTATCTTATACGGTCTCAAAATATGTCAAGGCTTTGAGCATTAACAATGAATACACAAGCTTCTTTAACTTGGGATCCTATTTCCTGAAAAGAAATATATTTTTGCTAAGAGTGTCACAAGTAACCATTATTTTGTTGCTTCCTTTTAATCTTTCATATCATGCTAAGTATATAATACTACAAATTCAAAATATCAGTATTTGGGTTCTGAATATTTGGGACAAAAAAGCTTTAACGATGGGATATGATCGTAGAATAAACAACAGCCAACAGACAGTACTTCTTAAAGAGTTATTAGAAAAAATTCGAAAATGTAAGAAATTATTGAAGAAAAATGAACAATGTCCAGAAATGGAAGCAGAGTGTAATGAACTTACCAAAGAGATACTAGCAAGCATTAAGTGCAAGACAGATTTGAAGGATATTCTTCAAGAAGAGCTAGATTTCATTCATTCAAGGAATCTTTCATTTTCACCAGTTAATAAAGATTCAATTCATGAAATGAAGGTAAAACGAAATCTTGCTCTATATAAAAACTAACAAATTGATATTTTATTAAAGAATTGTTATTATTTATTTTGGTTTTCATTATTTTTATTATAGTATTCAAATTATTATGATTATAATCTACAACTTCTCCTATCAAGTACAATCATAACTTTATTTTTTTGAGTTGATGAATAATTTGTTTCATGATTTTGTTCTGTTTGTTAGTAAAGGTTCTTTTTCTTCATTTTACTTCTGTTGGATACTTTTCTTCAACATATTAATTATCTTCAATCTTTGTTTCTGAGAGATTTTTGACTACTTCTTGAGTTTTTTCCCTTCTTGCTGCTGCTCAGCATTATCTTTGTGGTCATATTCATTAGACTTTATTTATCTTTTTCTTTGTCTTTATGAGAGTTATTCTTCTTTCTTTTTTTTTCTTCTATGCGTTTCATATGCTGATCACTAGAGTCGTCATCAATTTCATTATCTTGAAGAATATCGAGAAGTCAGGGAGAGACACTACACCACATGACCATAAATGAAACAAATTGGAGAGAGATCTAATCTTATATTTAGGATTTGGGCTGTATTTAACTTGACTCTTATATCTATGATTCATTAAGATAGTTCTGGATTATCTTTCTCTTTCATCTTTGTGAGAGTTTCGATCTTCAAGTCATTTTCTTTTAATCATTTTGATTTATTTAAGAATTGGAATGCAAAGATAACATGATAGCATAACTGAAGTGAAAGAACTTGAAATTCGATATTTTGATATTAATTCTGATAAAAACATTATTTTCTTCTTCAATTTCATCATTGCTTGAAATAGAATTATATAATTTAGATAGAAGCAAAAGAGGACATTTGTTTTCAAATGAAATATATGTGTTCTTAAATATTGGCGAATTACCAAAATCAAAATATGTAGTGTTATCTGTTGTTGAATTTTCAAATGTGATTGTACAAACTTGTGCCCAAAAAATGTAAGAAATTTCATTCTCATGAATACAACAATAACTCATGAAAATATTTGGATTCCAGGAACAAATCAGATAACCAACATTTGGACTTTTATTTCTTATATAATTACATGAAGTAACTTTAAATATTGATGATTCATATGATTCAGAAAATGTGTGCCAATTAAATTCACCATATGTTTGATTGTTTTCAATGACATTGACACAAGTTATGTATGAATCAGAGGTAATTGATGTTGTTCTATAACCTCCATTATGTTTTTTGACTCTATTTTGTGTAATATTGCATTCATTCATGATTATAAAGCCATTAACCATGAAAGTTGTAAGCAAGCAGTCTTGTTCTGAACTGCCGCAGTTGTAAACTAAAGTTTCATTAGCATGATTTTTGTAATTTGGTTTTTCTGAAACTTTAATGCAAAATGAAGATCCAAAGTTTGAATTTGTTGAGTTAATGAATGAATTTTTTGTTTGAACAAGTTCACCTTTTTCTCCAAAGTAGAGAGAACCTCCTTGTTGTGACCCGGAGGAACATGATTCAAATTCATTTGTTTCTGCAAATGTTTTAGCGTCATTACTTGAAGTTGAAATTCGTACTGCTCCATTTGGACTTAATTCAAGAAAAAAACAACTTGAAACAAAGTATTTTAAGTTGTTTGATCTTGAATATTCAGTGTTGTTGTTATGATGTTCTTCATCATAGCTTGATCCTGGGAATACTGATTTCCAGGAGATATTGACTTCACTCGACCAAATTGATTCTATCGTTACATAAGTTAAAGTTGAATTTTTCATTGAGAGAATTTGTTTATCTAGTCCATTTTGTGACATTTTTTAATAAACTGCTCGTCAAAAAGCGCAGGTCCGTTCATATTTTTGAGTCAACTCATACAAGTAATTCTATGAGTTTCTCTCATATGGGCGTCAAAATAAGACCTGTCCTTTTTGAGAAGTTCAATTTTAACATTTATTCCTAAATTAACAAATAAATAATATATATATATATATATGACAAGAATTGCTACGATTCTGACAAAATAACATTAAACATTAGAAATATATTTTTATAGATCGAATGCAGCCACAATTAAATTAGAATCTAAACACATTTTCCTACGTAAAGTCTCCCTATCGTTTTTCTGCCTCAATATTGAGTGAACCTCTATCAAAAATTTGAATAAGAGACTTTACAAAAGAAAAGGAGTTTAACATATTTTGGAATTCTTGCACAAAATTGAATTGAACACAAATTAATATTAACACAAATCGTATATGTATGGAATATAATCATTTTTAGCAAAAATTACAATTAAAATATGTATAAATCTGACTTTAATTCAAATTTATGACAACTGGTGTGAAGCATCATTGAAAAACAGCCTTTAAACATATGGATTAAGTGGCACCTCATAGAAGCCTAAAAACATACTTAATTTCCCCAGTTCATAATTTTATTTCTAAACAAAGGTAACTAAACTCCTTTCGCCGATCCGATTTGCCCCATATTTAAAATATAGCTTGCATATGTAGAAGAAAAGCTAATTTTGAAGTACGCCCCAAATCCACCAACAGGATTTCGAGCTACTAAAAAGGTACTTTTAAATGTGATTTTTTTTTATAAAAAATTAAATTTATTTTAAGATCAGACTAAAAACTAATTTTATGAAAAATCTATATCGACAAATTTATTACTTATTGGGTATATAGATTTCTTGATTATGGCGATTATGTCTGATATGCTTCCAATAAGCCAAAACACATTTCATACTGATTTCTATAAAAGGTATCTTTATTATAGAAGTGTAAGCTATATCTGTTTGTTTTTTTATTATAACAAATTCAAAATTCTCTTATAAGGATTAGATGAAATCTGTATTACTAAATCATTAGCTAAATGAAGGTTCAAATAGAAAGTAAATATCAATTTATATGATACTGAAACCAAATAGTTCTTTTAATAAAAGATAACACGCTGAAAATTATTGAGTATTTGCAAATCTCAAAAATCTATTGGTGAATTTGGCTCAACTTTTAAAATTATAACATCCATATCAAATCATAAAAGCAGACAAAAATTAAAGCCAAACCTATCGGCCAATTTTTTTTTGATATTTTGATTTTTGAGGTATACTTTTAAAAGTGGATTTAAAGCACTGATGAAAAAACATTAACTTCTGTCGTTATGATTATTGATTTAGACAATAATGATTTTAATCTTTGATTATCAAAACACTAAAGTCATCTTTTTAACATTTGCTTGGTAGCATTAACTCAAGTCTCAAGTACTATTTTATGTGGCACTCTTAGAATTTTTGTATTCATTGTACACGCTGAAATAGTACCATTAAAGTTATGGCGGACTTTCAAAAAATAGTTTGGTCACCTTTTTCTAAACAAATATAGTTACATACAAACATACATAAACTTTAATCGCATATCTGAGCATTTATAAAATAGCATAACAATTCTTTTCTGTTGAATAATTTCATGTATTTGATCATCATTAAGGGTGCACCCGCATGTACGTTTATTTGAGAGGAGGAGGATTACCCTCTCAATTTTGAAAGCTTCGTTAACTTAATATCTCGATGAATATTGGATTAAAATTGAATTTGCCCATACCAATATATCTGATACAATATCCTTAAGTTTTACTAAAAAGAATTTTTTAAAATCCCTGCAGATTCGGGGATTTTTAAATTTTTTGATTTTTTTCGAAAATTTTTCGGAAAAAAAATATTTTCAGAAGAGCCTTAACGGCTAAGTTTTATGTTTAATGTTGAGTATCAAAAAGAATGGGCATCTGATATAGCCATCATATATCCCAGAAGCAAATAAAAATTCTGACTTTTTAAGCATAAAAAATGAAATTTTATTTTTTGCAAAAAACAGGCCACCCGGATGTACGTTTATTTGAGAGGAGGAGGATTAAATTTTTGAAAGCACTAAAATTTGTAAATATGCTAGTTATATAATAATATGCATTATTTTAAAAAATAAAAATTAAAGCACGTTAAAATCTTTTTTGATGAATTTTTACAAAAGCTACTCAGGATAATGCAAGATATGAGTAGTTAAACATAAATTTCAAATCAGATTTTACTTATAATAAATATTTTAAATTTCCGAAAATTAAGTTCAGATCGACTCTATACGTAGTAAATACTAAATAAGGTGCCAAAAACCTATTAAACAGTATCAAAACTATCAAGATTGTAATGTTTTTGAAGAAAAATTTATAGAATTATGGACTTCAAACAGATATTATGTAAATAAAAATAATATAATGAATTTATTTATTCGTATAATAGCAGTAATAAGTCGATTATTCACTTCTACTTCTGAGATTTGAATTTAATTTCGACAGAAAAAGAGATTCAAGAGGAAAATACTAGGGGATACAAACAGCCACCATGACAGGATTATTATGGAGCCAAGTTGTATTTTTTGATATTTTTAGAGTTTTCCTACCTATTTAGGTACCAAGTTATTGCTTAAAAATTAAGGTTCTAAATTCTGAAGTTTACATGATCCTCCCGGGCGCACCCTTAAGCTTGAACCTAAGAAGCAAATATTTAAAAAATTGGCGGAATAATATTCAAAATTTTTCAAAGAGGACAGATTTTTAAGGGTTGACCGACCTAAATTGAGAGGACGTAATCCTCCCGATTTTTTCATTTTCAGCCTTGGTAAAATACCCTCGAAAACTCAAAAAAATTGACTTGTGTCCATTTAAAAGGGTTCGTCGAGAGGTGTTAAATTATTGATTTTCAGGATCGTAACTCATAATTTTTTACAATCATATTAAAATTATGCGAGAAAACAAGCAAAAATATTCGTTATTTTAGTATCAAATACTACAAATCCTAGATTGCAATATATTTTAGCACGTAAAATTCCAAAATTTACCGTAATTGAATAAAATTTACAATAAACATCAATCCATTCTAGATTTTGCATATTGTTAATGATTTACATACTATTTGTTTGCAGACTGTTCTATTGTTAACCGCGATTGTCTAAATCAATTTCATATAATTAAAATTTACAAATCCCATGCGATTATTATTTCTTGTCTGCAAAACACCTGTGCAACCTCTTTAAATGTAGTTGCTTCAAACTATTAAAATACCAAATTTATTTATTTTATTCCCAAGAATGAAATACATTGACTGGAATTCTCGCAGTAAGCGTTATAAATATTGTGAAATATTGTGAAATAAATGTCTTGTTTACTAATTTGTTCGATTATTTTTAATATTTTTTTCCATTATGTTGAAAAATCAAAAGAATTTTTATTATTTTTAAATTACTAGGAGTATTAATGAAAATTTTAATCTCCTATTTTTATACAAAGAATGGAAACTGGATGGTGAATCATTAAATATCTGAAATTCTAGCGCATCAGCTTCGATATTATAACTCAGTTGTTAAAATCAATGCTAGCAAATATTTAGACACCAACTAAACTGTAATAAACAGAAATTCATCAAAAGTGACAACTCTCAATTTTTTGACATTTGTAAATTCTAAATTGAATGAGAAAAATGAAATAATACTAAGCATAATACAATATTCTAGATTTAATTATAATTAGGAAAAAGTTAGTTTTGAGAGTACTTTTCATAGGCATATAGAATGAAATCTTCTGAAAAATAATATCACATAAACTCATATTATTTTCTAATATATAACTATTTTATATAAAAATCAAATTCAATGATCTTAAAAGCGAAGGATAAACCTCAAAATTTACGAATATAATGAGTGGGAATATAATGCTTATCTATCATAAAACCATATGAAATATCAATTTTTGCTTTACGCCTAATTTTTGACGACAATTAGCAAAAAATGTTAAATGTTAACACTCAGTCCATTTGAATATGAAAAATAAAATTGACTTTGATTAAATGTTTTTATTTATCATGCAATTCTTCTTGCGACCAAAGATTTGAATAAAATTTCAAAAAATAAGATAGCTTAAAAAATAATATACGGTAGTGTTTACTAATAGATGAATAGTATATAAATTCTATTAAAATGGATTTGATCCAAAAAAATATATAAAATTTGATCATAAATAAAATCGTTTTAAATTACTTCTTCATTTAAATTATAAGAATTGCATGATAAATAAAAACATTTAATCAAAGTCAATTTTATTTTTCATATTCAAATGGACTGAGTGTTAACATTTAACATTTTTTGCTAATTGTCGTCAAAAATTAGGCGTAAAGCAAAAATTGATATTTCATATGGTTTTATGATAGATAAGCATTATATTCCCACTCATTATATTCGTAAATTTTGAGGTTTATCCTTCGCTTTTAAGATCATTGAATTTGATTTTTATATAAAATAGTTATATATTAGAAAATAATATGAGTTTATGTGATATTATTTTTCAGAAGATTTTGTGTTCTTCTTCAAAATTTTATTTTTTTATTAAAAAGAATCTTTACAAAATATACATTTACTTTAATTAATATTTAAAAACGTGCTCTATCAAAAGTTCCAAAAATTCAATATTTTAGCTTTTCTGAAGTGTCACTTTTGATGAATTTCTGTTTACAACAAAACTTGGTTCATTTCTGATGCATATTTCTTTTTTTACTTTTTTCCAATTGAAATCGAATTTTACAAAATAGTTTTTTGATGATAATTTCTACAAAAATAGAATTAACATTCATTTGCTAAGATAAACAATGTCAAATTTTTAAAAATTAACGAAATCGTTCGTATCTTTTCAGGAAGGTATGTCGGCGAAAAAAATTCGTATACCAAATCAAATAACATCATATGAAGATATTATTAATTGTACGTATTCCGATTTTTGAGCAACTTTAGAAATCGATTTCAAGATTTTGGCAATTTGATCATTTATTAAATTAGTACATATGTAATAAAATGATATTCAATTTTCCAAAATTGTATATAGTGCCAATAAATTTTACTGAAATAAATATAATGGGAATGATATAAAGTTTGTGACAAAATATTCATTTTTATACAAAGAAGCTATTCATTTTTAAACAACTATTTGAATATACCATCTGTATTATTAGATATTGATCAGATTTCAATATCTGAATAATTCAGCTTGAATTACTATTCTATAAAATCTGTTACACATGGATATATGGTGTTAAGAATCAATATTTTGATTATAAGATTAATACAAAAATACTTTGGGATATTATTCTCATTTTGCAAAACACTTCAATTTGGAACGGAATAAATATATATTCAGCAATAATTAATTCTTTTTGCCGTTTGTAATTCTAGCAACATTCCAAAATGGAGGAGTTTTTTAAAAATAAAGAAAATTTTTATAGAAAAAAATCAAAACAAAAAAATTTATTTTCAAACTATCTTTTTCAAACCTTTAATCATCAAAAACACAATTGTTAATATTCATTCTTTCTATTGTGCTATTCGAATAGTACGATTTATACTTTTTTTGCTAATTTATTAAATATGTCGAATCCGCGGAGGGGCGCTGTTGCAAAATGATCTATGATGTGTAGCGGTGTTTTGATAAAAAGAGGTCGGTCAACGTTTTTGAGTTTTTTCGACCTCATTATTTTTCTGATTTATCTGTTGCATTATATCAAGGGTACAATAATGCATGATATGTCACTGTTTTTCTCTAAAAATTCCATAGTATTTCTGTAAAAAATTTTTCCAATCGAAAGAAAAATCCAAAAATTTTGAAATTTTTATAGAACAATATTGTGACCGAAAATTCATTCTCGTTGCATACATCTCATTAAGGTAAAACATTATCTGAAACAACCATGTTTTATAATTTTAAGAAAATAAAATTATAAAACAATAATATTTAAAAGAAATGAGTAATCTTTTCGGTAAAAAAAATTTCAACTAACTTGGTAGAATCGGGCAATCACATTATCTCTTCAGGGTTGGAAATTTTGCATTATTAATTTATTATATATATATGTTGATAAGGGTTCTTTTACAATGCCTTGACCAGCAGATAAACATGCTGGATCGCAATTTCAAATTTCAGCATTTAGTGAGGGTGGTCTGGATGAGAAAAGATTTTAAGCCCAAGAATGCTAACTCAAAGCTTTATGACCGCATAGGGAGGCTCGGACACCTCCATTAAAATATGTAAACGTCTCACAATTGAGAGACCTGGGCATTTTGAATATCAGTTTATTTTATAGTTAAATAAAAAACATAAAAAGACTTTTTATACAAAATAATTATGAATAAATCATTGTGCTTCTGGGTTTTGTTCTGCTTTTTCAGGTGAAAGTTCGGTTTCTTCTTTCTCTTTCTCTTCTGTTGGTTTCTCTTCTTCAACTGTTTTATTTTCTTCATTCTTTGTTTCTGTTTGATTTTCAGTTACTTCTTCTTGTTGTTGTTCAGCATTATCTTTGTGTTCATCTTGTTGAGCTTCTTCACCTTTCTCATTGTCTTTATCTTTATTATCTTTATTTTTATCTTTGTCTTTATTAGATTTGTCTTTGTCTTTCTTTTGATTGTATTTTTCTGATTCTGATTTCTTCTGTTGATGGTATTCAAGAGAGCCGGTGATAACAGGATCGTTTGGATCGTCTTCAACTTCACGACCTTCAAGAATGTCAAGAAGACGTGGACTAGAGTGTTGAGAGGCATATGACATGAACCATTCGGGAACAGCACCACCTGATTGCTTGGACATAGCTTTCTTGAATTGTTTGATAAGACAAACAGAGTCGTATTTAAGACCTGTCTGAAGACGACGCCAGAAGATTTCGTCGTTAGATAAATGGAAAATGTCTTTGCCATAGTCAACTGTCTTGTTTCGATTGTTACTCAAGATAACTTGTTCGTAAACTTCACTAGGTGTAAGCGAATCAATGTTTTCAACATATCGTGTCGATGAAACATATTCTTTGGCAGTGTTCAGTTTAGAATAGAATGATGTGAAGACTGGGATGATGTTGTCTGATGAAAATAACTTGTTGATCTGTTGTGCACGTTCGTCTTTCATCAAACCACCACCCGAAAGTGTCTTCTTGACTTTGTAAAGAGCATTGCGGTTGTCGATATGCAAAACTTCGCTGATTGCCGTCTCGTCATCCGGCAAAAGACGAAGATAGATGTTTCGAATGTCGCGGTTGTCTTTGTTTTGAAGAAATTCCGACAAAAGAAGATACTGACCGTTGTTCATTGCTTGCTCAAGAGTGTAAACAAGCAAACTTGAGTCCGCAGAGTTAATAGCTGCTGTAAGTGCATCACGCCATTGGCCTTGTGAAACTAATAATGGAACAGCTCGTGCTTTTGCTTTGTTGCACTCTAAAAGTTTAAGACCAAGTGAAACACGATTGATGTCGAATGCTGTCTTCGCAACTTCGACGTAGTCAATAGACATGTTCATGGAGTGGTATGATTTCAAAATGTTATCGTCACTGCGTGAGGTGAAAATAAGTGATGTAGCCCAATGACTGTTGATGTATGAATCATCAACACCAACATATGATGCAAGTTGTGATGCTTCGTAGTACAATGATCGGTTGCAAAGACGTTTAAGAAGAACAATGTGATTAAGAGATTGGAACTGTGCAAATGTAACTGGAATGTTGTATGGAGGACCATTCAGTTGGTCAACAATACGCATAGTAGAAAGTTTGTCTGCAAATCCGAAGAAATCACGCATACGTTCAAGGTTTTGACTGATAACTGATGTGTCGTTAAGAGGAGCACGAACTGTAGTCATAACACGGGTGCCGATCTTGAGGAAATTGCGACGAACTAATGGGTTCTTGAAGAAAAGAGCGGCTTCAAGAATGCCTTGAAGAGCAGTGTGAAGTTCTTTAACTGTGAATGTACGACCTTCAGTTGGTTCTGTAATGCTTTTGTCGGAATCATCAACAATAACTAAGTCCGACTCTGCAAGACCAACTTCGTCATTCATAACATAGAACAAACGAACTTGTGGAGATTTTGTGTTCTGAAGACAAAACTGAAGAACATTGCGTGTAATAGCACGCAAAAGAGAACTGCCTTTCATAGAAAAGATACGAAGACCATCGATTTCAGAACTGATAATCATAGGTGAATCAAGTTCCCATTTGATAGAATCTTGACATGCACCAATAAGAACAAGTTGGAAGCCTTGTGTCATGCAAATAGCATCCGAACCACACCACGCGATCTTACTAGGTTGGAATGCATCAAAACGGATTGCAAGTTTGACTTCTGAAAAGTCGGGAGTGCAGAAATAGTATAAGACATCTTTGAATTCGTACTTTTCTTTTGTGATGTCTTTGCAAACGGCTAATGCAATTTTACCATTAGGTGAAAAAAGAATTTTCGAAACAGGTGAAACAAATTCTTGGATTTCGTAGTCATCTTCTTGGATGAGAACTAAATTGTTCTTCGAATTAACACACCAAAGACGGATGCCAACACCCGTATCTGGATCTTCGGGTAAAATAATACCACTTAAAAGAGAATCACCGGAAAAACGACAAAAAACACGTGGTTCAAGATGAACAAAGTTGTCGATGATGTAAACAACGTTTGGATATGCAGCAAGCATCAAACCACGTGGCCAGAATGAAACAAATTGCAGTGAGATCTTTTGACCTTCGTATTCCGAAAGTTCACAAACTTTGCGACCTTGGATAGTGTATGTTTCGATGTGTGCATCTGTGTAAACAACAACAATGCACTCTTCGGGTGAAAAGTATAATGATTCAAGACGATGTTGGTATGTTAATGGAAATGAACGAATCAAGTTGCAGTAGCTGTCGTAAATGTGAAGTGCGGAGTAGTATTCTTCATTAACTAATGATTTCTGATGTGCAACAACAATAGCACCTCCACTTGGTGCAACCGAGTACTTGTCTTGATCAAAATCAAAAATGTATGAGTACATCTCTTTACGTTCGAAAATACGGATTGATTCGAGAATAAATGTAGTGTTGTTGATTAAGCGTGAATCTTCGATTGATTTCTTTAATTCTTCTTTCACTTGACGAAATTCAACTTCTGGTGGAAGATTTTTCTTAATCCTGACTACTGCACCGTTTGAATTTTGTTCTTGCTGATTGTCTTTTGAAGAATTTTGTTTGCCCCCGCTTGAATTTTTCTTAGAAGAGGAAAACATTCTTTTCTGAAACGATATCGCTGAAAAAAATAAATTCTTCTGATTTCAGATGTATTTTATTAGCATAAATCTAATATAATTCTAATAAAAAGCAAATTATCTCATACAAGTATACATTTTTCCCTTCAATATGAATTCCTATCAAATTAATTTATTTGTTTTGGAGGATTTGTCTTCTTAATTTATCTTTCGTACAGGAATTAAATATTGTTTCACATACTCATATTTCATTTTTCTTTAAGTTGATAAATTTCAAATTAGATCCACCGGATCATCCAAATGATCCGGCTTTTAAACCCAAAAATATCAAACTATCTAGACAAATTCGTAATATTTCAGAGTTTGATACGTCGAAAATATACGATATTGAAACTGATCCAGAATTAATCGATATTTTAAACGCAACTCTAAGCATAAAAGTTGAGTTCTTTGATGTGACAAGAGATTTATCTAAAAAATGCTATTCAGTTCCAACTCCAAACGGAGATCAACTTTTACTCCCAGAATTATTTGATAAACTTATGGAAATAATACATATGCATGAAGCAAAACTCAATAAATTCATAATCACTCAACAAATTCTTCAGATTTTACAAAGTGTTGCAATTACAAGCACAAATCCAGAAAATCCTTTGTTTGCACTTCCAATACATGAAATATTATTTGAAATCATAGATTTCTGCAAAGATGATGACGTTACTATTTATGTTCTGGATACTTTAACTGCAATTTTTACGAATCCTGTTCTAGGAGCTGACAAATTAGCATTTACAATAGAAAATTCCAATTATATAGAGTGTGTATTCTATCAATATGAAGCAGTTAGTAGTTTTATTGTCAAAGAAAAATTAATTAATTTATTTTCTTTGGCAATTCATTCATCAATTGCAAGAGAAACACTTCCCATTAACATAGAATTTTTCAGTAATGCATTATCAACCATTATAAAGTCAGGAAACGTCCCTGATTATGGAGATTTATTTGATTTAGTATTTGCTTTATGTTTGAACGATACAGTGCTTTTGGTTTATTGTACAGATAATGATTTCTTAGCAATAGTTAATGAACAACTCAAATATGGCCTAAATAGAGCTTCAATTTCTGCAATAGCACTGGCAATTAAATTTTGTGAGTATAATACTGACCTATGCGATAAATTTTTCACACAAGAAGTCCTTGAGAAGGCCAGATCTTTAGTTTACAACGTTGAATGTGATTCTGATATGATAACTATCTCTAGATGCTTAGAATACTATAGAAATAATCAGAATGAGATGTTTTTAGATGTTTTCCTATTTCCTATAGCAAAATACTTTAAAAATCTTCAACACAGAGCAATTCGCCATTTAATTGTTTTCTTTGGCCAAGCCTTAGATGAATTTTTGCAAAGTGATGTTGCTGATGAGTATAAGGTATCAGTTTTCAGTCATATGATCGATGAAGTTTTCGAAATTCCACAAGAACAAACAATTATGATATTATTATCACTTTGCATACAATATGATAGAAGGAAATTCTTTGTTCATCAAGCATTTATAGAAGATGACTTCGAAGAGGCGCTAATTACGAATTTACGCTCAGAAAACGAAGAAATTGCATCATTATGCCAACTTCTGCTTGATAAAATGCACGGTGATTAATAACTCTGTAAATTATGTTATTTATTATATAAATTTTCTATTGTTTTGTTTAATATTTTATAAACATTCTAAATACTAGAACATATGGATTTAAAGATCTAGGATTTGAATAATCATGCATTGTTTTTATACAAATGCACTACTAATAAGATCCGAATTTGAAGAGATATAAAATCATACAAATATTGCTAGTCTATTCTGAAAACATTAACAGAACATGAGCTGCCTGTCTCTGTTTGGCTAAAATACTTGGCGAAAGTTCATTTAAATAATCAAAATTGTAAAAATCAAATTTATTTAGTTACATCATGGAAACAATCACACCCGATATAGCAAATGGGTATCCATCAACTACAACTAATGATGCTAAAATACCCCAAATGCTATTAAATAATCAACAAAACAAAGATATTCAAAAAAATTCAACAGAAAGTCAAGCAAATACTAACGGATACCAGTCGACTACTCAAAAAACACAAATTACAATCAAAGAAACAGATAATCAAGAGTATATTCCAACATTTTTAGATTTATATTTGAAATATAAAGATAATTACAAAGATCTTTCATTAGTATTCAATGATCCATGTGTTAATGGATTCCTTATTAACATAATTTGCCTTATTGGAACCCATATTTGGTCTTATGATTCACAATATCCGTATAAAATGATAACAACATTCTTAACTTCATATATACTAGTATTTATTGCAACATTTTATCTCATTTACGAGAATTTATACATTGATAAATTCAAAAATTACAGAATATTAATTTCTATTGCGATACCATTTGCAGTATATGCGATCACATTCCTTCATTTCCAATATTTTATATACATCTGCCTGTTTTTAGCAATTTTAGGCAAAATTATTAGTGTTTTTACGCAAAATTCAACAGAATTTAATGCTTCTATCACAAAACTTGTTTGCAAATGGATATTTAAGGACAAAACATTCGTTTCCGTGCTAGTTTTCACATTATTTTTATATACTTTGTTTTCATTTATGATGATTTTATCATCTTGGGCATTTTGGGACTTTTTCTTATGGACACAGCTTTACCTTTTAGTTTCTTATCTAATAACAACAGGAGTTATCGCAAATATTGTCTATATGATCTCATCTTATTACACAGCAAAAATTTATTTCACAAAAGTGAATGAAATCACGAAAAGTGACTATTTTGGAGGTATTAAAAGGATTCTGTTGTATAATATAGGTGATGCTTTTCGATGTGCACTACACCAACCTGTTTTTGGTCTCGTAAATTCGCTTGCAAAGTTGGATGTAATAAATCAAGGAATTTTTGTAAATTCTGTCAGAAATTTCGGTTTAAGATTGAAGGAGAAGCTTAACCAAAGGTATGGATATCATTCCAGGAAGGCCCTTGTCTACTGCGCTTTGTTTGAAGACGATTACAATTTCGCGCGTGGAAAAGTCGAAAAGAAAAATATTTTTGAAAAATTTGACAAAAATGACATGATTTTATCATTTAGAACTCTTTGTTTCGGGATCGCTGTTGCACAATTAACTAATGCAATTGGCCCGAGATTCCCTCGTTTTGGTCTTTCTTATTCTCGTGGTTTTGTTTTGGTTTTTGGGTATTTCTACATTATTAGATCAATGATGAAGGGATTTTCTGATACGATATTCATGTTGTTCAACGACATTCCTGAGAATGCTGACGTTTTTCGTGATGGTTTAACTCACGAATTAACTAATATTATTAGACCAAATAATATTTTATTGTAATCTTTAATAAATTGTTTTGTATACATTTTTTTCTATATAATGTGTTTGTAAACATACAGTTTTCATTGTTATGCAATGAAACAATTTTTATTTGAAAATTGGTTCATTGTAAAACAACTAAAACAGTATGTTGCTGAAAAATATTAATATGATACGTTTCAAAATCATTTTATAAAGAAACAAATTTTAGATATGAAACTGACTCATTCAAATCCATATAAAACTCATCAAATTATTGTATAGACTATCTAATTTTAGGATTATTTGATTCAGTTGCCGACAATAATTTTAAAAAATCTTTGTTTGTATTATAATTCTAAAGAAGGAAGCAACCGAATGCAATTTTACTCAAAATATTCGTATCTCTTTTGAGATTGGACTTAAAATAAAGAAAAATTCATTTTTCATTTGTTATTAAGATGAATTCCAGAGTTTGTAGCTCTTATAGAAGTATGTTCAAGGAAATCACTAATGAAATTTTATAAGTTCATGATCTATTATTCAGTAATGATGTCTTTGGATGCATTTCTTTTGTCAGAGTAAAAAAAAAATAATTTTTCATGCTAAATACTTTTAACACTATTCACCCTAATTATGTTCTTACAGAAGTTGCAACAGCACTAGCAGCTTTTACATTTACCAGTGCTGTTAAGAAAACCAATTCAATTTCAAAGAAAGTTAGAGCAAATATTCGTGAAACAGGTTTTCTTAAGCATTGGTGCTTTACACTCCCACAACGCTTCCCATCTACAGTTGAAATCAACCAATCTCTTCAAATTCACTATTCCGAAAACTACGATGCAAATTCCAGAGCAACATTAGTTTTTTCAAGAACATTTGTTGATGGAAAAGAAGAAATTACAAATTGGTATCCGCCTAAAATCGAGTTTCAAGAACAAGATGAACACTACGCTGTTCCATGGGATTATTATTACAGAGTTTTTGACGGTTCACATAATATCTCCATTCATAACCAATTAGATTATAAAAACCAACACATTGACTGGATTGAATGGACATTTACTTACACTGTTCCCGCTACAAAAGCAAATTTCAAGCCTTTATTCTCATTGTTGTTCTTAGTATTCTCAATACAAAATCCATATTTGATACCTCTTATCCTTTGCTATGCTTTGACTGGTATCATTCCTTCATATTCCAAAGTTTTCCTCCAATTATTCTATTTGCAGACTTCATTGTTCGTATTGTACCAAGCCTACAGACAAAACTTAAAGCTCTCATCACAAGCTGTTAATCTTACAGTTGGAATTGGAATCGCTCATATTATAATTTCAGCATTTACAGCGTTTAAACAGAATTTGTCTTCTGAAAATGGTGGAATACCAATATTGGAGTTATTCTCATTCTTGGCTATCCTCCAAATCGTTACAATTTCTTCAAAAGAATCATTATTAAATACAAGCTACACTTTATACGGAACATTACTTATCTACTTACCATTTATATTGGATATCGTTGTTCCAGGCAATTTCATGGATTATCAAACAGGAAAATTCTTAATCCAAACATTAGGTCATTATTACACTTTCTTTGGCTTGTTCCTCTTAATTCTTGGTGATATGAAGTTCAATAGTACAGAGAACAGCTCAGATGTTCAAGTAAACGCAATTATTGTTCAAGAAGACTCTTCTGACAAAGCAACACCGAAAAGCGATATCGCAATTAAGAACAGTAAGGTATTTAACAAGATTCCGTTCTTACTTACTCTTATTCCAATTGGATTGGTCGTATTAGAAACATTTTACACTAATTCTTCATTGAAAGAGCCAATATTCGAGCTCCATTAAACATACATATATAGTCATATGTTTTTCCATCAAAAAATAAACATTATTTTAAATTTTATTTCAATTTTTTAATTAATAAATGAAGTTTATATCAATAAACAAACTTTTATGGTAAAACAGCATACTACAGCTCCATTTGCATAAGCATATCTTCAAATGATTATCATCCATGTTTAAAATGTTGAATATTTCATGCAACCAATAGTATGCCTTACATACATTAATATTATCTTATATTTTACCAACTAAAGCCAAAATTAAATTTCAATTTTTTAATTATCATGTTGATATTTAATGATGATTATACGATCTATAATGTATCGCCATTTGCGAATTATTTACATACTAAAAACATCATTATCTTCATCATATTTTCAACAAGATTTAATTCAAACTTAAAATGATGAATAATTCATGCAATCAATAGCTTGTCCTATAGAGATATAAATTTCCTTATGCTTTGGCAATAATATAAAAAATAATTATATCACAAATTATCTGAGGAAACCAGTAATTTTAAGGTGTGCACTAGTAATCAATTTAAGTTTTAAAGCGAATGGATTTAAAAAACATTGTATTGAAATAGATTTATTTTTTAATGATAAAAATATTTAAATTTTATTCGTCTGTGATAGCAAAAAAACGTTGTATTTTATTGAGGAATTTTACTTGCCCTTCTTTTCTGGCTTTTTCTCGAGTGGCTTGACAGAAAGGAGTGCTTCGACATTAACTGGAAGTTGAACGTTGTCATCATACTTAATGCAAATTGGGCATCTGTTTTCGAATGGTAATGTCATCTCGTAACCGCAAACAGGGCACTTCTGTTTTCTAACTTCAGACATCGTAAATGGACCACTAACCGCAAAATCTTCAGAATTTCTGAGGAAAATTTTGCCCAGTTTGTGAAAACATTTTGCAAATTGTTTTATAAAACATTGTGTTTTATGGTCATGCTATTAAAATGGTAGCAAAATAATAATAAAAGCTTGGAATTTTTTTAAAATCCTCTAAATGATTGAAGTGATTAGCGTTAATACTGGATCCTCCTCAACACTCTGTTCAGTAAATGTTAATTTCATAATCATTAAATGAGGAAATCACTTATATTATCTCTTTCAAAATATTGATCTGACTGAATCAAACTTTCCACAAAAAAAGAGATTAACTGTCCTATGAGTGTACTACTTACGCTGTTGTCGCCTCAGCATATGGAAATCGGAATCTAAAAACCTTTTCATCCAGTCTCATGATACTTATCTCATTTCACTTTCGTCATGGAAATGTTTGATCCATAGAAATATGAGATGAAACATCAGATATTGAATACTGATGATTTTAATTTACTGCATAACACTATGATCTGTTTTGATTTGCCCATAAAACATTCTTTTATGGCGCCTTCTGCAATTATTCAATATAATGCCAGTAATTCAAAGTCCCAAGATTGAGGATGATGAGGTAATATCAAGATATTTACGCGTTTTACTATATACTTAGCATATATCCAATTCCAACAGATAACATAAATCTCATCGTGAAAAAAAAATATAAAAATTTAGATGTTTGCGGCAACACAACAAAATAACTATCTTTGCTACGGTAAAGTTGCTGTTGCAAATCAGAAGCTTAACTGGGATGATTATTGGATCAAAATTAATGGATTTTGGATTGAAATCTCAAAGAAAGTCGGTCAGCCAGATTATTTCTTAATTCCACTTGATTTAACGAAATGCGAAGGAGCATACAATGAAACAGGATTCCAGAACTCCATATATCTCGAAACTACAAATCTCACAAATTCATTTAAAGTATATATCGCAACAACAAACAGATTAGACATTTTACAGCTATTCCAGACAATTAAAACAGGTCAGAAGATTATAGCTTCAGCACTTCAAAAGCGCCAAATCGAAAGAATGGTTCGTCATGATGTAGAAACTGTCTCTGGCTTCTTTGGCTTAGGCAAAGAAAAGCTCCAATTTTCAATGGGTCCTCAGGGTCTTGATTTGAGTGGAGGAAAATCAGCTCCTCAACACTACGATTGGGATAAAGTTGTAGCAGTGTATGCAAAGCAAAACGATCAAAACTGCCACACGAGGTTAATAGTTGCAGTAGAGGAAAATGATCAAACATCTACAAAAGAATACAACTGCCAAGAGCATTCAAGCGTTATGAACTCCATTGCCTGCTACTTGATGAATATAGCAATCAAGCGCCAGATGGAGGAGAAGGTACGCGCCGAAACTCAAGCAGCAAATAACGCTCAGCCGCCTGCATCTCCAAAATAAAATTTGTATCTATGATTTAAGCTACAATTTACTTCGTCTAGTTCAGTACTATCAAAATGTAACCAGTTTATTTTATTTAAAAAGAGTAAAATGTTTAAATATGAAAATTTTTAATATTTTTAACTTTTAAACGAAAATTCATATATACAGCACTGAACATCAAGCCAAGAAAGGCCAAATGGTTATTGGTATTTAATGTTATAAGGTTAATTTTATGTGATATTTGAAAAATTACTTATTAATATAATCTTTCATGTTGAACAACTTCTAACCAACGAAAAGTATGTAAATGTAAGAATAACATATATAAATATAAGCAAATTGTATAAAAATATAAAATATCTCAATAATCTAAATAATAATGAGAATTTTAGGATATAATTTCGGAGTTTTGTATTGAAAAATAAGTATTTTCAGTAATTCAATTAGTTTAATTCAAAAAAAAAAGTATATTATTTGTATTATATAGGAAAGTAATATATAATAGCTTAAGCAGGTGGCTTTTCTTCATTGGCAGCTGGTGTCTCTTCTTTCTTTTCTGTTTCAGCTGGTTTTGGCTCTTCTGGGGCTGGAGCTGGAGATTCCTCCTTCTTTTCCTCTTCTTCTGTAACTTCGACGACCTTTGGAGCATCTTCTTTGGCTGGCTCCTCCTCTTCTTCAGGAATTTCCTCTTCTTCCTCTTCAAGATCAGCTCCTTCGGCTTGTGCGGCCGCAAGCATGTCCTTGAGCTGTGAAACTATCTTCTGTTGTGTTGCAACGTAGTTGGCGTATCTTTCATCGTGCTCTTCCTGAGTTTCATGAATAATATCTTGTTCAACGAGAGCATCGTAGAGTTTATTTAATTTTTCGCTTGTGTTGAAGAGAGAAATTACTGGGATGGCTGTGGATTGCTTGTCGGCAGCTGATTCTGTAAGGGACATGATAAGTTCTTGAATTCTGTTCATAATAATAGGAATTGGGACAAGAGCCTCTTCAGGATCCTCTTGTTGTTGTTGGGCTGGTGATTGGAGTGTAGAAATAATGGCTTCTTGGATTTGAATAAGCTCTTTACGCTTTGCTTCGAGTTTTGCTTCTTTCTCTTTTAATTGTGTTCTAAGAGATTTAGCACGAATGCGAGCATCATCAAATTCAGCAAGTAATTTCTCGTTTTCAGCAAGTTTAGATTTTAATGTTTCATTTTCTTCTTCAAGCTTCTTAGTATTAAGAGTTGTTTCGATAGCAAACTGAAGAGCGAGAATAGATGGATCTTTCTGAGGAGCACCAGCTGTTTGTGGTCTTGGCTGAGCATTTCCTGAATTTTGACGTAATTGGTCTGCTGTTGGAGCAACTGTTACTGTTGGGCGTGGTTGGTTATTTGTATTTGTCTGTGAAGGATTTGGATTTGAAACACTCATTTCGTTCTAAAAAAAATTTTTTTCAATTCACAGAAACAATCAGAAAAATTTTTAAACGTCACTTCATTTTAATATTTCAAACATCCAAAAGCGATAAACATAGCTATTTGGTTGTTGTAAATGCTATTCTTTTGAATTCAGAACAAATTTAGTTAGAATTGTGTTCAATCAAATCAATGAAAAAAAAAATAAAGACATATGATTTTAAAAAAGAAGGAAAGTCAAGCTTTATGAGTTGTTTGTGAATATATAAGGATATAAGAAAATAATAACTTAGGAAAGTTCATTCTAACGGAGTTTTTCCTCTGAATATTGCATAGAAAAGTAACTTGCTGTCCATAAAAGCTACTGTATGTATAATTGCAGAGAACATAGATTCTATGTGCAGATTCATATAGTGTATGCTCTTCTGCAGACAACTCTGGTGATGGATCAGTTCCGTAGTAATATACAGAAAAATAACGATCATTATCATTCCCATCTAAGATATTTTGGTTCAGCTTTAGAGGATAATATAAAATAAAACTGATATTTCTCATGAAAGCACCGCTTTCAATCTCAACTGTTTCGCATGAAAGAACAAAGCATTCGATCTGATAATCTTCAGCAAAAGCTCCTTCGCCTATTGATTCAATTGAATCAAGATGTACTTTTCCTGTAATATTAGAGCATTGCCGGAATGAAAACTTTCCGATTTTTTTGATATCATTGAAATTAACAAAATGAGCTGAGAAACAAAAAGAAAATGCATTATCATCGATTTCATCAACATAAGATAAATCAACGAATTTTAAGTTTTCACAGTATGCAAATGCTGCTGAATTGATTGTTAGATAGTTGGTGTTAATAAGTCCCTCGATGCCACATTCATAAAATGCGTTTTCATTAATAACAGATAACTCACTACAATCAAGATATCCAGTCATCTTAGTACAACCACGAAATGAATTTCTACCAATATTGAAAAATATCATCCCTGTAAATGATCCTTTCATTTCACTCTGTCCTTCGAAGAATGAATCCAATATTGATTTTATTTTGCCTAAACTAATGAATTCTGTAAATATACAATCTGATAATGAATCAATATAGATATACTCTAATTTAGGGAAATTAATCGAAATATTAACTCTTTTTTTTGTGTTAAATGCACTGGGTCCGATTGTTTTAATGTTTGGTATATTAATAGGCCCTGTTATAATTGATCCTTTAAATGCTCCATAACCAATTGATTCCAATTTAGGGAAATCAAATGGTCTTATAATAGAGGAATGAGAAAATGCTCCGTCACCGATGGACACTAATTTTGGACAATTGAGTGACACATTTACATTAACACCATAAGAAAATGCTCTGTTACCGATGGAAATCAAATTAACACAATTTATTGCTATACTTACATTTTCACAGTTTTGGAATACCCAACCATCAATGGATATTAAATTTTCGCAATTTAATGTGATATTAATATTTGCGCAACATTCAAATGCAGATGATGATATTGCTTCTAAAAGTGGACAATTAAATGCTAAATTTGATCCATCAAAACCACTAAATGCTTGATAATCAATGAATTTCAATTTTGGACAATTAATTGGTCCAATTGGAGCGAAGCAATTGCAAAATGCATTATCTCCAATTTTCTCTAAAAACGGTAAATTTAAACTGATATTTCCATGGCACCCATAAAAAGCATTTCTTTCTATTTCTTTTAATTTGGGTGGGAAAATTATCAAATCTAGAGATTGATACTCAAACATTCCATCTGGAATTTTGAGGATATTGATGAAATTTGTAAAATTTGCAATATAAATTTCTGCTATTCTTGCATTATAGTCAATTTGAGTGACAGCTTCATTAACTTCATAATATTGAAGTTGACATCGGAAATTGGGATGTTCGATGTTAGTAATAGTATTTCCAGATATTGTTAAAATGCAATCATCCATTAGATATCGTTAAATAAAGCAATGATACTAATTTTTAGTGATAAGTATAACTTTCACATAATTGTTTGAGAATATTGTTCACATTATTGTTGTTTTTCTTTATATTTTAGAATTAAGATCTAAGTGTTTGTATGCATAGCTCAAATTCTAGAAGTAACTAAAAATATTAAAAATGCAAATGAAAAATCTGATCGAATTAGAAGTTTCAGAAGATAAATCATCATTTAATACAGATAAATTATATTATCTGTATTAAAATACTATTAATATAGTTGTGGAATATCCGAAAATTGGATTTCATTTGTGTAATGTCACTTTTACTGAATTGTCCTAATTCAGATAATTCGGAATTTTATGGGTGCGCTTACCACTTTCTGACATTCTCTCAATTTTTTTGACACCAGAGCTTTATACCCCAATATGCTATGATAAAAAGGTAATATTTTCCCTCGGGAAAAAGTTATTATAAATCACTACATAAAGATATGTTGATGTTATGATAGCATGTGCGAAATTGGTAAGTGCACCCTTAAAAGAAAATGATAGAAGAAAAATACTCGTTCAAATATATAATTTGATTTATCGATCTTCGGAATATACAAAATTCAAAAATGGAAATACTCCTCTTTAATATGCAACATAATTTGAAAAAATTTAAACTTATTTTTTTATTAAATTACATCAAATAATCAGTGTCGATGAGTGCATTCTTAGCGATTTTAGCGCGTGCTCTCATCTTGAAAACGAAAGTGATAAGAAAATCAACAATAAAAACAACAAATGCAGCGATCATGGAGTTGTGAGTGTGCATGTCAACTCCTACGAACAGAATGATTGCGAGAATGTACAGAGACCACTGTGCTCCGTGAATCATTGTCTTTCTGAACTCTCTGTCGTCATCTTTAGAAAGAATTGATCTGTCCTCGATCTTCGGAGACAAACCGAAGACGTACTGTGTTATAGGTACTTCTAGTTGTACTTCTGCACGATGTTCTGACTGTGACATGTCGAAAAACCTCGTGAATAACTTATTCAATTCCGAAAACGCGTCAATGCATGCGTGTGGTATCTCAGATGCATTTACCTTGAATAGCTTAGAGCCTGTGTTGTTCATAACTGAGTAGAAAACCTCTATGAACTTTAATCGGAAAGATTTTTCATAGAAAACCTCGTAAACTTGGCTTTTGTCTTCAGGTGTCAAGCCACGACCTGAAGCAACTCCCAAAGCTTCCTTCGCGAGGTTCGTTGTCAGTCTGAACATCGACTCATCAGCATGAGCATGGACACAACGGCCGTGGACGTAGTATCCGTGTTGCGGGGACTCGATAACCATTGTGGAGATGTTGGAGGTTGAACATAAATCGACAACGTTGAGGAATGGATCTGATCCGAAATGCCAATAAAAGAATTCGCACCAAATCCACTGAACGAAGCCTAGTATGACCCAAAGGAAGGTCAACCAGCCAACTCTGAGTACCATAGGTGAGAAGCCAACGTCTTTAAGCAACGTATCTGGTATTGCTTGGGAAATTAAATCAACATTAAAACCATTTTGTATGAAAACAATGGTAATTAATGTGAAAGGAATACTGTATGAGTGGACAAGAGTAACCCTGAGCCATTCCTTGGCAACAGTGATCCTTCTCCATGAAGAAACAGTTTTATCATCTGAATGAGGTGTTTCCCAATCGATGAAGAAGAGGTCTGTTGTGGTAATCTGCCATAATCTGAGTAGTACAGCAAAGAATTTGACCACAAATGCTGTCCAAACGAAAGGAATGAGATATGGAAACTCTTTGGAGTACGGGAAGGAGTAGAAAGTGCTGTATTGGAGCTTGTAGAAGAACCAGTAGTACGTGGAAATAAGGAAGAAGCAAACAAAGAACCAATTTGATATGTAATCTAAGATATAAGCGAAAGAACCAAGCATTATATATGAAGAAAGGCCCTCTGCGTTATGGCGTTTGCAGAAAGTGATCAATCTCCAAACTAATGCCACGACAAGTAAGAATAAAAATACAATAATCGTTGCAAGAACGCCATTCCAGAAATCTGAAAGATCCATTGTATATTCGACATTAAATTCGTAATGTGGCTGATAGATTTCTTCGGTTAATGGCTTAAATGAAGGAGATCTTTCTTTGAGAGACGATTTCAAGACTTGAATGTAATCAACAGCGACATATGGAACGTACATATATGTCTTGTTTCTCATACGTGTCTCGAATACGAGTGTGAAGTTTGTTAAGTACTGAATGTAATCATTTGATGTATAATTCTCAGCAAGGAAGAAACGGCGTGTAAGAACGTGGTATCTTTCGTCTTGTCTGTTCAATGATTGTGATGTTGTTGAAGCGTAATTCAAGTCTAAAGCAGGTAATGGGCGAATAACTTGTTCTCCATCAACTGTGTTATCAACAATGAATGGCTCGTAGAATTCTTGTGATGTTTTGTTGAGTTCTTCGTATAAATTGATGTAGCAATCGTTGTAAAGATTAGATCCAAAAGATCTCCAAATTTGTGCGTTAGAATTCTTAATACTGCAGCGTTCAAAGTCGATAGTAAGCTCTTTGAACCCAAGGAAATCGCCATCTGGTGAATATCTAGCAAGTTGAATGGAAATATCGCGTTTTGGAGGATAAGTGCTCTTAAAGATGTCTTCGTCGACAATTTCACTCTGTGTTCCATTGTAATACAAAAACGGAACACCTTTACGCCAGTATTCGTAGCCATACTGAGAATCGCCAGTTTCATTGCATCCAAATCTAAAAAGATTGCAAACAGCGGAATCTGGCTTGAAATGGTTAGCTGTACAAAGATTGGCGAAAAATTCTTTAGCTTTGACATCATATGGCGATGATTTTGCAATTACACCATAATAGAGTATTTTTTTGAATGTTTCATCTGAGTATTGGAGATTTAGAACTGTTGTTGATGTGTCTGTTGTTTTTGGATTAGTAAATGTCAATAAATCAGTTTCTTGGTTCGCAATTGTTGTATATATGCGTTCATATGTGTCTGTTTTGATGCAGGCAGATTCATAACGATCATATCCGTCTTCACAACTGGAATATTCGCATGTTTGTGTAGTTGAATTATATGATGAGCCAGAAGGGCAATCTTCGCAGCTATAATTGAAAGGATCATAAATTTTACCTTCGCCACATGTTGTTGATAATATTGGCATATTACCAACAGCAGTAGCAAACGCTGTATAAATCAAAAACATCTAATTTGAATAAAAACCGTTTGAAATCTTGAATACAAACGGATTTATATCTTGATTTTCGGATTGATTTGTACTATATTTGATATGTTTATTTCAAAAATTAGATTTAAATTGCTCAAAATTCATTATTTGGTATAAAATATTGAAAAATGATTCATATGATATTGATTTGATTACTCATATCTAATCTTTAGTCTATATGTATTTTGTGTACACCTATATATTGCTTAGTAATCACTCAAAATATTAAGATATTGACAAGACAGTCATGGAGAATTTCATATTGGCAAAGATTCTTATTTACCAGCTATAAATTACATTCCCCTCATTAATGGTAATAAGAATAAAAATTTCATAAATTCTACATAAATTCTTAAAATCTGCTGGTCGGAAGCGTGTTCTAAAATCCTTCAAATATGGGCTAAATCGCCGTTTGCAAAAAAAGCCGCAAAACCCGTTATATATGGATAAAAATCATAATTAGTTATTGCGTGTTGTGTATTCAATTAATTGTTCTGTATATTAAATAAATATTATGATTTTATGATTTTTTCATGATTTGCAAATTGTTTGTCACTTTTGTGGATGTCACCTTTTCAAATGTCTGGAATTGAGAAAATAAAGATCGAACAAGCGCTCAAAGTAACCAGAAAGATGTATGAAAATCCGGCATTTGCTCTATTTCGCGACCCTGTCGATCCTGCAACCCCTGGTTATTATCAATCAATTAAAAATCCACAAGATATTTCTAGTATCCTCGGTAGACTTGAAAAAGGCCAATATCTTTCTTTCGAAAAGTGGAGAGATGATGTTAAACAGATTTTCACTAACTGTAGAAAATTTAATGATCAATTCGAAGATCTCGTAGATTATGCAAATCAATGCCAAGCAATATTCGAGAAATACATGAAAGAACTTCCACCATTAACAATGTCACTAATGTCTACTGAAATGCTCTCACAAATTGATAAATTACAAAAATTATTCAAAAATCCACCAAAAGCAATCAAAGAAATTCTTCCAAAGGATAATAAATATACTCATGATCAGTTAAACATGCAGGATAGCGATAAATCCAAATTATTGGAAAGAATAAATAACTTTTCTTCTCCAGATGATATCCTTAGAGTTACACACATCATGGAGTACTTTAAGATACCTAAGAACTCAGAACACAACGGAATTATTAACTACAGCGCTGATAAACTTACTGATGAGGTTTATTGGAATCTCGGAGCTACATTCCCTAAATAGAGGCCATAGAACTATTTATTTTTTATAATTGATAAATGTTTTCTTATTTGTTTGTTCAATATTGACAGTCAATGTTTTTTTAATCATTTTTTATATTAATGTATGCACTACAAGAATAAGTTAAGTAAATTCATTGTATTAATTAATGAAACAAAGAAACATAATATTTTATTTTCCCAATAACAAGATATAACTTAATGGATGAATCTATTTGAACTTAGACATGCCAAAATAGATATTATTTGTAAATGTACTTGTAGTAATTTGTCGTAGTTAGTTATATTCAGATAACTTCAAATATTTTGGTTAATTTGGTTTGATTAAGGCATCTGATGGAATAAATGGCTTTTTGAGTTCTTCGCGAGGGATTGTAAAGTAATGTTCGAATTGAACTTGCTTTTCTGCACATCCAACAACTCTTGCTTCTTGTTCATTATCATCATGAGCAAAAAACATTACAGTTCCGACCGTATCTTGTATTTTTCCTTTGATTCTGTCTTCATCTAATTTCAAATAAATTTCATTTGGTGTTATTGATTCGATAGATATATTGGAAAATTCTTTTAACTGTGCTGGAATAACTCCGAGAACATTGATTTCTGCATCCTCAACAACAACGATATCTCCTTCACTCATTCAATCTGAAAAATGACTTTGGCCGATATAGTTAAAAGAATCTAATTGATATCCAACAGCAAACTTTATAATATTCGGCTTATTAAAGTTTGAAATTAAGTTACTTTTTCCATTCTGAGATTTCAAACTCATGATGCCGGCATCATTTCAAACATAGGATCCTTTACGCATGCATATTTGTTTTCATATTGAATATCCATAGAAATTATAAAAAAAATGAAAACGTAATAATATAAACAGAAAACTTTACATTCAAACAATGACTATATCTTACTAATTGTTGTTAGTTTAGTAACTTCATTATTATCCAGTCCTGCAAGTGTTAAACGCTGCTTTTTAATCTCATCAGAGAGACGCTTATGCTCCTTCTGAAGTTGTTCATATTCTGCTTCAATTGCTTCAAGCTCATCAATATCCGACTCTTCTATATCAATAGTGTTAAATCTCTGTTGAGCATGAATCATTTTAATTTCACCAATTTTTGTTTCTAGCTCGGTTGAGAGGAGTTTAGCAGTATTTTGTAGGTCATTATAACGGCTAAGTGCAATGCTATTTCTTTTCTCTGCCTCAGAAAGCTGTCTCTTCAGTGAGGATGATTTTGAATCAATAGTATGAAGTTCTGAAGATATTTGATTATTTTCATCTTCTAACTCTGTAAGCTGTGATTGTGTCTTTTCGATTTCGGCATTTAATTCAGCAAGTTGTTGATCAACTTCTTGAGCCTTTAAACGATATTTATGATCTTGTTCAATATGTCTATTCTTGATTCTATCTAACTGTTCATTTGTAGATGATGTTAATGATGATATTTTTTCGCGTAATTGTGTATTACTTCTAGTATATTGTTCGCGAATACTAGAATTTGCTTCTAATTTGGATTCAATTGCCTTTTGAAGACTTGCAATTGCATCTTCAATTGAGTCTGGATCTATTATGGCCGAATTCGGAACAACTTTAGATTGAATTTTCATAAGTCCGTTAATGATATAATTATCTAATGTATTTGAATTTTGTAATGATTCTCTTAGTTCATCTCTTTGGCGTTGCAAATCTCTGTTTTCTAATGCAATTTTCTTCAAATGAGGATCAAGTTCTAAACTTTGGTGAGAATTATTGAAAATCTTTTGTTTGATTCGATTGTATTTCTTGTAAACCTCGCCACCATCTAAAACTCCAACAATTTTTTCGGCTAATTCAAGGCACTGAGAGATGTTTTCTTGCATTATAGCCGTTTAATAATTCGAAAGTTTGGATTATCATGCGAGAATATGTGTTTATTCTTAATAGCTATATTATTTAGGAATTTTTTGAGATTATCCAATTTGTATTTATGAAAGAGATGAGATAATTTTATATCAAAAAAATTAAAAATTCTCTATTAATGAAATTAAACAGAGAATTATAAAATTATACATAAATTTTATTAATTACGCATATTTGAAATATTAATAAATCTTCAATATCATGAGAAATATATATTTTAAATTAAAAAAATTCCAAAAATATTTTATTTGAAGATATGTGATTATCATTGCAACATAATTGAACTTGAAATTATGCGTTCTTGATTTTCTTGGAAAATTCATGTGATGAAATATTACGAAGTCAGAACTAAATAAACCATTTACAACGTATTCTATTTGATATAAACGCAATTTCAAATTAAATCTTCTGTTGATAAGCCAATACAATCATCATTCAATCACATAACATAAAGATATTGATATATCAGACTGGTTACATAGGTATTTATTTGATTCTTTGAATTATCGAAATATTATTTGAAAAAAATTCATTATTAATCAAATAAACAACATCAATCTTAGTAATGAATCTTTTGCCATGTCATAAAAACGATGAAAAATTACAATTTAAAGAACATATCTTTATTTTATTCACTAGCGTGAGGGTTAATTGCAACAACGACAGCTCTATATGTTGCAATGCAAGCAGAACCTAAACCAAAGATAGCGAAACATGCGCAAAGGATGTTTGACCAGTGAGTAAGTTTCTGTGAAGAATCCTTGAGCCAAAGAATGGCAGGGAAGAAGAAGTTTGTAAGGCAGCCACCGAGAGATCCACCAATTGCAAGAACTGGTGAAATATTTGGACAAACGCAGGCAATAATAACTGGAGGAACATTTGCGCAAATAAGAACGATTACGCGCTGCTTTGTAGAAAGGTTGTTGGGGTTGTTAACGTGGAAGATGAGAGCAGAAAGGTCAGCTGTGATGGAAAGGGCGATAACTGGATAAGATGCTGTAACAACGATGAAGAAAGCAATACGGACAGCCTGAATGATTGGATCTTTAACGTCGAAGGATTCAAGGATGATATCGCTGATGTCATTGCCAAATCTGAGATATCCGAGAACGCCTGGGATAAGAACGAACAAATAGCATGAACCGAAAGCAGAACCGATGATTCTGAATCTGTGTCTTGTATCTGGCTTTGTTGGCTTGAGAATTGGAAGAATAATTGCGGGTAAAGCGAACATAAGGGAATAAATGGCCAAAGCGTTGAAGAAACCAAGGTTAAGGTCATAAGCTTTAGCTGCTTTGCTGAAGCCATGCGATGGAAGGTATGATAATGTTTTCATAACAACGACAACAGCGTAGCAACCCAAACAGAAGATGGAGAAGGTAGAAAACATTGAAAGGAATGTCATCTTCTTTGAAATTGTAAGGGCAACTGGAAGAATGATAGCATAAATTAAGATGACAAAATATCTACGCCATCCAGAGTTCCATTCTGGATGCTTGAGAAGTACGAACCATGATGCAATGTTGTTGCCACCAATAATCAAGTAGGCGACGCAGCATGAGTAGGTGAAGAGAAGTGTAAGAATTGAAAGAGCAAATGAACCCTTAGATCCGAGAATGTGAACAGCCAAATCGTGGAGGGACTCAGCTTTTGTCTTGTGCTGGAGTTTAACTGTCAAAATTGTGGCAACATAAGAAAGAATGGCTGTCAATGTCATAAGACCAACGGAGACGTAAAGTCCGCAGTATCTCATTGAGTGAGAAATACTGAGGATTTCAGCACCTACAAGTGAGTTGAGTAAGTTCATGACGGCTGAAAATGGTGATTCATATTTTACAGCGGCTGAGGCCTCTGAAAACTCTGAAATGGAGAGATCTACTGGTGCACTAGAAAGACGGATTGATACATTTTCTTCGAAAGGCTTCTCATCTCCTGGAATTGGAGTGTATGATGAATCCATGCTTCGACAAAAGTGACGATTGATATCGTCGCTGAGTAAAACTGCTATTGTTCTCCAAACTTCATATCATTATCTCGCCAAACCACGTAGAAATAAATATTTAAAAAGTGAAATTTTTTATGATCAGCTTTATCTCTCTCAATTTAGAAAAAAATCGAAAAAATAAAAAATGCCATATGAATAATTTTACCAATACAACTCCGAAATACTTCTTGTAATCACGTGACCTCTGTTTTGCACGTGAAATTGCAAAATATTGAGTTATTGACGAATTTTGCATGTTTTTTTTGGAAGATATCCGAAATAGCTTCGTAATAAGGGGAATGGAAGACAAAATCGAAGCAGGTCCATTAATGAAAGGATCATTTCCGCAACGCTCTAATATTGCATTTACAAATTTATCATTAAAAACAATTCAAATGAATTCTTATACAGAGAGACCACATATAATGTAAAAGTTGCAATGGATGCAATGATTATACATGAAAGTGTTTCAATAGGTTAAGATAATTAATTAATGCATTTATTAAAGAACGATCTTGAATATCACAAGTATTTGGAAAAGGAAAGTATTTCAAATAGGAAGTTAAATTCACAAACCTCAATCTAAAACAAAAATATCGAATCAATTGAAAGAATAAATACTACATATTGACACATAAGAGACGCTTGATGCTGATTCACTTTTCTCGTATAATGTATACTAGAAACATTCTCCAATACCCAGTTTCAAGGAATATAAATCGTCCGTTAATCGTAAAAAAAGAATGAAATCAAGTGCTTCTTCTATTCAGCAAGCGTTAACAATAAGACGTAGAGAACTTGCAATGACAGGTTTGCTGAACTGGAAAAACGTCGAATTTACAGATTTCAGACCACTTGGAACGCAAAAATCTTTAAAAGTTTTAGATCTTGAAAATTCTGCTGTTACTTCACTCCATACACTTCAACCACAACCACAAATGACAGAAATTAATGCAGATAACTCCAGACTTGCAACATTTGCAGGTTTATCATCACAACCTCGCTTGTCGAAGATATCTTTTAATAACACACCACTCGCTAAAACAGAAAATTGTAGATTAGCAGCTTTACTTTGTATTGGACCAAGACTTTCAAGAATTAATGGAGTTCCTGTTTCTAAGAAGGAGTGTGCTTTAGCAGAAGCATATCCACCAGTTGCACAGTTTTTGATTGAAAGTGGCTGGATTGTTCAATATCCTCCACCAAGTATTCACGATTTTCAGTATCTAGCAGACCAGTTTGGCATTAATGCAAAAGCGTCAGACTTCGTTACTAAGGGCGTATTGCCTGAAGAATCACCAAAACAACCAAGTTTTGATTTTGAAAATGATTTTTCATTTGAAGAAGTTTCTGTTAAGCAGAAACTTTCTAACTTGTTACGACCACTTGGTTTTGCTATTCAAAGCGGTCCTGATGAAAGAAATGATATCGTTAGAGCCGTTTCTCTTATGTGCGATGCTATGCTCGCAATAGAGCAACAAGCAGATAGAATATAATCTTTTTATGTTGTTATTGATTAAATTTGTTGTCTTTTTATCTGAAATATTATATATTTATTCTCAAAACAATGAAAAGAATGGTTAATTTCAAAAATACTAATTACAAAAAGAATATTAATACTAAGAAGTGAAGTTCTTTCCGAGACATAAAATTTGAAATTTTATAAATATGAATCAGATTTAAAGAAAAATCCTATTGAGAATCAGTTTGTTTGGATAAGATTTTGTTAAGTTTTAGGAAGTTGACTAAAGATTTTTTGATAAAAAAATTTGGACAATTTTATATAAAAATCAAATATTTATAATGAGAAAAAGATAATTATTGTTGTTACAAAATCAAATTTGACATATTTATAGTTAATATCTTAATTCTTCTTTTCTTCGATATCTTCTTCTTCCTCGAGCTCTGGTTCAAGGTTGAGATCGACACCCATCTTGTCTCTAGCAAGGAGAGATGACTGATCGTTGTTGTGAGCAGTGATTTCAGCATAGCCAACATCAGAGCAGATCTGGAGGAGGATGAGAAGATAAGAAATCATGAAGATGTGGGAGGCACCGAATGTGAGTGTGCGCTGGAGTGGTGTAGCGATGGCCTGGGAAACGGAGTGGTAGTCCTGGTCGCGGAATAAGAGGAGGAATGTGAGAGCCTCGAGGACGCACATGAAGATGAGACGGCGGGAGTAGCCTGTATCGGACTTAAGGAATGCCCAGATTGTGAGAGCGATGGAGATACCGAAGTATGAGAAGTTGGCGCATGTCATAAGGAGCTGGAATATAGAAGCATTGCGGCCCCCAGAGAATGTAACAGCTAACTCGATGAATGAGTAGATGACGAAGAAGATGATGAGTGGAGAGTTGACCTTCATGTTTGGAGACTGTGTGCCTTCTGCTTCGAGCTGGATCTGGGAGGCAACGATGTAGCGGAAGTAGGAAACCATGACGGATGAGAAGAAGAACTGTGGATAAGAGTTGAACTTCGATCCAAAGATAAGTGTGTATGGGAGAGCAGCGAGAACGGAGACAACACCAAGGATGGCGATGTTGATCTGTGTGAACTGCTCTGTCATGGAGGTGAAGTGGAATAAGAAGTGGATTGTGAGGTAAAGGGTTGTAGCTGGGAGAAGGACCTGGAGGAATGTGATGTATGTTGGCTTTGGAGCTGTGCAGAACTGCCAGTAGACGTGCATACCAAGGAAGTTCTGGAAATCTGAGTTAAGGATGAAGTGGACGTTGACTGTATCGTAGGAGGAGTTAAGGAGAACGTTTGTCATGAAAATCTTGTCTGAGACAGCACCGTTGCCGAAGTTGAAGGAAGCCTGCTGGATTGGTGTTCTGTAGAATGAAACTGTAGCTTTCCTCCTGATGCCTGTTGTATCGATTGTGTAGTTAAGTGGACGTGTGTTGAGTGTGTCGCCCTTTGTGGAACGCTCACCGGCAATCCAGATCTTAACATTACGGTGAAGTTCTGTGAACTGGTCAATACGGAGGTCAAGGTGAAGAGAATAGTAGTGGTATGATTGGTTGCATGCGTAGAATGTACGGCGCTCAGCTGTGTTGTTGGAGCGGAAGAGAAGGAAAGCGATCAAACATCCGAAGAAGAAGATGGTGAAAACCAAGGAGATGTGATCGAGAAGGAATGGGGAGTTGAACTGACGGATATCCTGCTCGGACTCTACTGCAACATTGCTCTCATTCTCGTCCTGAGACAACATGAGAAATGTAGGTCAAAACCGCCAAAAAAGCAGTTATTAATTATTGGCTCGGCAATTTAAATAAATTGTAGTTTTTATTTGATATATAGTAATAGCATATTGTGTAGCATAAAAAAGTCTAGGACATGGTCGTTCTATGGTCTGAAAAATCACTCAATTTTTGAACCTGATAATCGTTTTCCCCTCAATTACAAGATACAAAACCTTGATAATAATAACACTGGTATTTCTGGACATTTTGATGTACAATGAATTTACAAGTAAGGGTTTCGTTTTGCGAAAAAAACGTACAATACGCAATTTCGCTAAAAAAACATTTAGCTAGCAATTTCGACCTTTGACTCCACTCAAGACGTCACTTTTTTAATTTTGCGGTATCATATTTTTGGAAAATCTTTATGAATATTATATAAAAAGTCTCTTTAATATCTATATTTCATATTTTTATCGATTTTTAAAGTTTTTGCAAAAAGTATTCAATTATTTTTGCTATTTGGTCGGGTAAATGTCAGATTTGCGACATTTTCTGATATGATATTCAGATTCTACGTTGATAATAATGCTTATAGTGTTGCATGCTAAGTTCGGTCAACGATAGGAATTGAGGGGAAATTAATCGTCGAGGAAGTACGATTATGTAAAGTAAAAAATGTTGTGGAATTTTTAATATTGTATATAATTTTATAATAAAATTTTTGTGAGACATTTTAAGAAGCACATATAATTTTTTGAATTTAAAAATTAAAGTAGTGTTGAATGAATTTATTGATTAATTTAATACGGATATTTCTCAAAATTAATCAAAAATAGGTTTTCAGAGAACTTTTGAGATATCTTTTCAAAATGTCTTTTTGAAAATATATAAGTATTATATCAAATTTAAAAAAGGTATTTATCAAAATTCTAAATTCTTAATAAAAAATAACTTTTCAGAGGATTGTGATTTTGAAAGCATGAGTAATAAGTAAAAAATATCTACGATTTTAATGAGGGAATTGTTCCTTATGAGGTATACATTATAACTATATACCTCATAAGGAACAATTCCCTCTTGATAGCTGGGAAACTTTCTCTGAATAACTTATCATTTGGACAGAAAAAGTGACACTTTACATGGCAAAAAATAGAGCCTTACTTTTGAGATACTTGAGATTGAAACTGAATCTTATGAGGCGGTGATCTTGAATCACTACCTCATAAGGTTCAGTTTCATATAAAATTTGTTGCAATTTGTTATTCTTTTGCAATTATTTCTTATAAGATTTTACATCTTTTAGCGGGGAATGTTTGTTATCATGTATATATTATAAATATCTACACGATAACGAACATTCCTCGCTAAATTGCTGAGAAACTTTGAGGAAATGTCGAACAATTTCCTCAAAGTTTCTCAGATTTATATAGATCACTAGAGTCCCTAGGCACTGATTCTGGTTCAGTACCTAGGAGGCTCTAGTTCTCTAACGAACTGATAAAATGTTTTTAAATTTTTGGATATTGCTACCTGTGAAGCACTGACTTCAAGTCAGTACCTCACAGGTAGCAATTACATTGAAAGATGGGAGAAACTTTGTCCGAATGTTAAACTATTCGGACAAAGTTTCTCACATTTGTAGTGGAGATGGAAGGCTTTGAGGTATATTGTATTAATATATACCCCAAAGCCTTCCATCTCCACTTGAAAGTGTCCAAACTTTGGGTTAATACTTTGCAATTAACCCAAAGTTTGGACACTTTCTAGAAGGAATTGGAGGGTAAGAGATATACATTCATATGGTATATCTCTTACCCTCCAATTCCTTCTTAAAATGGGAGAAACTTTGTCCGATAGTTAAACTATTCGGACAAAGTTTCTCCCATTTTTTGAAGGAATTGGAGGCTATGAGATACTGATGCAATGTCAGTAACTCATGGCTTCCAATTCCTTCCTAAAACTCATAAAAGTGGACATTACATGCATATAAATTTGACATGTAAAGTCCACTTTTTGTGAGCGGGATTTGACTCCGTCAAATCCCTTTTTCGTTTACGAGAAAGCCAAATTCTCTCAAAAAGTTAAGTAGGACCAATTTTTTATAAAAAAATCCAATTTCATTATGAATGTTAATTAATTTATATAATTATTGAATAAAAAATTTTCTTTGAGATTATGAAAAGTTCTTTGAAAAGTTATTTTTTCTCATTTTTAAATATTGTATTAGCCTATTTATTTATAATCCAAATTAAATAACTTTAAATTCAATATTTAAAGAATAATTTTGAAGGAATTGAGTTACTTCCCCCGACGATAAAATTGAGAGGTTTACATTTTGACCGAACTTAGCATGCAACAATAGAACCCTCTTGCTATTGTGTCAAAATTGCGAAACCGATAGCAAAAATATCTCGCAATATCAAAATTGAGATATTGAGTGAATTATGCATTATAGAGATTAAAAATCTGATTTGTGAAAACATCTCATCAGTTTCTAGCTAATTCAAAAATCTTTACTATCTTATTCGATTAAAATGAAAAGGGAATAGTTTCATTATGCTTTAAATGACAGCCTTATAATATAATCATAGTTTTCGCTCAATATGCAGCATTTTTTTTCGAAATCTATGGTCAATATCCTAAATACTGATTGCTTTGCATTCATATCTCTTACATTTTCTATACCCACATCACTATTCATTGCTATTCCTATCTTTTTCATTTTTGTTTGTTTCTCATAATTTCTCAAAAAACATGATAACTTGATATTTGTAAATATCATACTTTATAACGTAAATAAGAACTTGACCTATTAAGAAAAGCAGTAATGAAAAGAAAATCTGAAATTCATAAAAATTACAAGTTTCTGATGACAATTAGCTTAATTAAACCAGGTACAAGATTATATAATTGTATTTTCTATCCAATTATCCATATAATATCTTATCCAGAAAAAATAACTTGATCAATACCAAATGATTTTTTAACTAGTAAATAAAGTATTTTCTTTACACACACATTGTATATCATAGTTTTTTTTTTGGTTTCGCAAAACATCCAAAAACAAATATGCTATAAAAGTGACAATTTTAGCAAAACGAAACCCTTATTACAAGCAGCTAAAAGTTTCATTTAGCTTGGAACCTAAGTATATGACCAAATTGATTTTTGATTTCGTAATAATTTCGTTGTGTGCGTACGTTATATTGATGAGCTTGATTATTTTAACAGAAATGTTGGGTTCACGAACATATAATGTTCTTTAAAGCATCAGAGATATATAATAATTTGATTATTCCAGAATGAGTGAAATTTTACAAGCTTAGATAGTAAGCACAAGAGTACAAAAAAGCTCCTTTGCGTTTAAAAAAGATCTCAATTGAATATATATTATGAGTTTGAGATAAATATCTTCATTTATCTCATGATTAGCAAGTAATAGCATTTATTGAATGTATGTTATATCATAACATAATACAAGACACATATTGATGCGAATCAAATGAAAAAGATGTTTGAAAATGCTTGTTTGTGGGCAATATTGATTTAAAAAGGCAGGAAATTGTGATTCTAATATCTTTAGATCAATGTTATTCAAATTTATGATCTAATTAGTTCAGATATCTTCAAATATGATAAGAATTATTAGTTACGAGGCAACAGACTATCACTATGTTATTGAAATCAGAACACATTAGTATATTGTTTTTATTTCATTACTATTCGCTTGGAATGAACAACGCAACCAAATATCTCAAAAAAGTGACATTCAAAATGATTTCTTTCTTTCTTTTTTCGATTTCTAATTCAGTAGCACTATCTGTTGATTTGGGATCCGAGAACATGCGTGCCTCACAATTAACACGTAGCGGTCCTCAGCTCGTTCATACAGCAGATGGCAGAAAATTTACACCTGCAATTGCATCTTTAATGCCAAATACACCAGACGCTCCACTAATCCTAACAGACATATACGTTGATCAATATGATCGCTCAATTGGAAATCTAAATCATCTTTTAAGATATCCGAAAAACTGTACTAGATACATTCCACAACTTCTAGGCAAGAATTTCACAAAGAAAATCACTGGTTATTTCAAAGTTCGTAATATCACACTCCCTCTCGATCAAGATGAAGATAATTATCTCGAAGTTTTACAGCCACCAGAGTTTTTCGCTGCAGAACTTCTCGGCAAAGCGATTGAAGATTGCAAGCGCACAAAAGTTAACCTCACAGTTGACTCTCTCACTGTTGTTGTTCCAAAATTTTACACTCATCATCAGAGAATTGCAATGATTCGTTCAGGAAAGCTCGCAACACATAAGCCAATGCTTCTCGATACTCCTACAGCCGTTTCTCATCTTTTCGCCGTCGAAAGGAGCAAAATCTTTGCAGATAAGCCCCAAGTCATCATGTTTGTCGACATTGGTGCCTCCCAAACTCAAGTCTGGATTGATGAGTTCACAGTCGACAAGAATGCTACCATAGTTAACGAACTCGGATACGGTTGGGTTGATGGTGTCGGTGGTCAGGCCATAGATGTTGCCATTGGTCGTCTTATTCGTAAAGAACTCACGAAGAAGAATCCAAATGCCGAAATAACGTACAAAACCGTTGAATTAATAATGAATTCCGCTAAAAAGCTCAAACACATGCTTACATTGCAAGAGGAAGTGAATCAGACATTAGAAGACATCATCCCCGGTTTCGACTTCTCATTCAAAGTCACACGCGAAGAAGTTCGAGAATCAGGAAAGAAAGACATTCAACGATTCAAGCGAGCAATCACACAATCTATTACATCATCATTACTTTCATCTAGTTCTGATATCAATCGTGTTGAACTTGTTGGTGGTGCATCACGTATTCCTCTTTATATTGATGCTATCAACGAAACATTGAACTTCAGTGTTCCAATCCATCGTACAATGAATCCAGAAGAAGCATCAGTTACCGGTTCATCATATTACATTGCGAACATGAAACGGACATATCTTGAGAAACCAGTTATTTTCAAAGCGTGCAAACTATATAATATTGCTAAGAAGAACATTGGTGAAAACAAGTTCTCATACTTCTACAAAGAGAAAGATCTTCCTATCGGCATCAACCAGTTCATTCTTTCCGCCGATTTACAGAAAGATGGTTCAGCCGAACTTGTTAACGGTATTCTTCAACTTAGTGGTTGTAAGAAACTCACACACAGTGGCTTACACCGTCAGAAACGATTCCGCACCGAATCACTTCTTACGGCATTCGAGAAGAAAGAGAAAGAAGAATCCGAACGGAACGCACGTATTCACGAACTAGAATCATATGTCATTGAAGTTCGAGATAAACTCACCAAAGACGCATACATCTACAAAGTATCCACCGCCGTTGAACGCAACAAAGCTATGCGTGCTGTTGCATCTGTTCAACATCGCATGCAAAACGAAGTTGTTAGTGACGAACAAGAACTGAAACACATGAAGCGTGATTTAGAGCAAGCATGTGGTGACATCATCAAGAAGGCAGAAGATGCCCGCGAGATGCCCAACGAAATCCAAAAACTTAAGCATCTTATTGACGAAGTTTCTAATGCAGTTTTAGTTGATTTCGAAGAACAAGGTTATGAATTACCCGAAAGTGTCGAACACGAACTTGGCAAAGTCATGTCCAAATCCGAAGAAATCATGAAACGAGCTGAGAATGGTGACAGTGAGATTTCAACCGATGATGTTCGACTTGCATTAGAACGTCTTCGTCGTCAATACGAAGACTCTAAGAAATCCTTAGTTGTTCCACCAAAAGATTTATAAACTCAAATAAAATGTTATTTTTTTATTATTATTTCAATATTTTTAACTTCTTTACAATATACACAGTTTGTTTATCAATTTGTTCTCCTACTTGTTTCAAAATTAAGTTAAATTAACTTAGAACAAATCTATGATTTTCACAGCATCTCTCATTTTTCCTAATAATGTGATCTTGCACTCATTTTTTATATAAACCTACCAAACTCATAGAAATGACAACATATACGTTTGCTTATCTATCTACATTGTAATCACCTTCATTAGCCCAAAGCTCAAAGTTTTTCTCGTTCATTGCTTTAAATTGAACAAAAAATTGAACACTTGCTTTAAATTGAACATTCAATTTAAAGGTCGTCCCATTTATAAATTTTTTCTCCTCTCTCCTGTAGATGATAATGATATATCATATTTACACTGAATGGAAATATACCTATCACCACGTAAGGATGTCGTTTTGGGGACAACTGGGGATCCGACCAAATAAATTTGGAAGTCTGGGGGACACGTAAAGTGTCAAAAAATATTTGTAAAGTGTCAAATCAGTATCCTTGAAGATTCTCTCTTTAACATTGTGATTATAGTACTATATGATTTATGTTTATACTCCTTATATGCTTTTCTTGAAAAAGAATATATAATAATTTGATGATCTCTAAAATAAATATTTCCAATCAATATATCAGGATATTATTCTTGTATTTCATAATTTTGATGATTGTTAATGGCTTTCCTCTATCTATAATTGTTGTGTATGAGTTATTCATTATTAATCTTTAAATCCTGAATTGAGTTTCTCAAGATTTAGTATCCCATATCACTTATCTATGTAATATATTTCAACCACAACTTATTATATCGGTATTGATAAACTATAGACAATACTACAGATTGATTTCATTTACACAAACATATATACTGAAATGAGTATATGTACTAGTTTTTTGTGTCTAATCAATTCTAAAAGCTATATGTTTAAAGATGTTTTGACAAAGGATAAATAATTTAATTTTTATTTAATGCAATAGATTGTAAGAAACGGATAACTTTAGATTCATATTGTTCACAATAACCAAAAGTAGTAAAAGCAAGACACTAAAAAAATCGAAGTTCACAAATATGAGCTAAATCAGTAAAACACGTCGATGAAAAGAGTATAAAACAAATTTTTAGTCTATTTATTTTCATATTACAAGTTTCAACATGCAATGTTAAAATTGTAGTAGACATATGAGATCCTTGAACTTGTTAGTACTAAGTGCATGATAAAGTAAGCTTCAATTTTATACCAATATTGTAAATTGAATCAAATATACGGCATTATATTGATATATAATTCGTTTTATGATATAGCACTGATATGCTACTTGTACTGGATTGTACTATCGTGGTATTTAAGAGATTTTTCTCGATAATTCTGGATGATGATATAACTCTAGATTGTATTTGCCGATTTTCTCCAAACTATGTATTCTACATATGCATAATATGTATAGCCTGCAGCTGGAGTTTAAGGCCAAAATTTTGGTTAGAAGGGAGTGTCCGTATCTTTTGATTATTTTTTGACAGTTTACTAAAAATCTCTGACATCTCGAACTTATCTTGTCACTTTTCAGTCGTCCCCAATGGGGAAAAAACAACATGCTTACACCACGAAAAATAAGGGGATATTGTGACAACAAAACATTAGTACATATGACCCTAATAATACCCAAAAATCATTTTTTGTCTTTAAAACGATAGAATCAATTTGGCCGTAGTGAAGTCAATATCTCCTGGGAATTTGCATTCCCAGGATCAAGCTATGACGAACAGCATTATAACAGCAGCACTGAATTTTCAAGATCGAACAACTTAAACTACTTTGTTTCAAGTTGTTTTTTTCTTGAATTAAGTCCAAACGGTACTGTTCGAATTTCAACATCAAGTAATGACGCTAAAACATATGCGACAACAAATAAATTCGAATCTTGTTCCTCCGGGGCACAAGAAGGAGGTTCTCTCTACTTTTACGACAAAGGTGAATTTGTTCAAACAAAAAATTCATTCATTAAATCAACAAATTCAGAAAGAGGACCTTCGTTTTCCATACAAGTTTCAGAAATACCAAATTACAAAAATCATGCTAATGAAACTTTAGTTTCCAACTGCGGCAGTTCAGAACAAGACTGCTTGCTTACAACTTTCATGGTTAATGGCTTTATAATCATGAATGAATGCAATATTACACAAAATAGAGTCAAAAAACATAATGGAGGTTATAGAACAACATCAATTACCTCTGATTCATACATAACTTGTGTCAATGTCATTGAAAACAATCAAACATCTAGTGGACTTAATTTCCATGAAACATCTTTATCATATAGATCATTAATATTTAAAGTTACTTCATGTAATTATATAAGAAATAAAAGTCCAAGTGGTTATCTGATTACTTTTTAGTATTCTAATGCTTTCACGAGTTATTGTTGTATTCGTGAAAACAATATGAATTACATTTTTAATGTATATGAATGCACAATAACATTTGAAAATTCAACAACAGATAACACTACATATACAAGTAATTCACCAATATTTAAGAATACATTTATTTCGTTTGAAAACGATTGCCCTTATTTGATATTATCTACATTCAATAATTCCAGTCCAAAAAACGATGAAATCAAAGAAGGAAAAAATAAAGAAAGTAACGATTATGTTCAAAATCATATTCGATTTTTCTTTTTATTGATGACTATTAAATGATATAGTAGTAGAATATAAATTCATATTTAAACTAGTTTCTGTTTCGTAAGTGATTTCATAAGTTTTATGCAGCTCATTTGAACATGTTAAGAATTTTTCAGACATCATCTAATATTATAGAAATATAACATCAAAAATTGTTATCAATGAACCATTTATTACATAAGTTCATGCAGTATTCTTCCAATTGAGTTTTGTCTAAGAGTTAGTTGAATTAATAATGAATTCCGCTAAAAAGCTCAAACACATGCTTACATTGCAAGAAGAAGTGAATCAGACATTAGAAGACATAATCCCCGGTTTCGACTTCTCATTCAATAACGGAGGTTACCTTGCAGGAGCAATTACCTCTGATTCCTACCTAACATGTGTCAATGTCATTGAAAACAATCAAACATTCTCTTATTTTAATCAGCAATCATCATCTGATTCATATAAATCATCAATATTCAAAGTTACTGCATGTAATTATATCAGAAATAAAGGTCTTTATACAAGTTCTCTGATCCATTCTATGCATTCTAATACTTTCATGAGTTATTGTTGTATTCGCGAAAATGCGATTTCTACGATTTTTGATGCACAAGATTGCACAATTATTTTTGAAAATTCAACAACAGATAGCAATACATCAATGAGAGATTCTCCAGTATTTAGGAACACAAATATTTCATTTGAAAACAAATATTTCGAAATCAGATTTCGTCGATTCTTCCAAATACAAGTGTGGATATTCCGCTTCAAATAACAACGAAAATGAAGAAGGAAATAACGTTTATGCTCAAAATTATATTAATTTCTTCTTTTTATTCATTCATTCCAAAAAATTTAAAAATATAGTATAAAATGAATGTTTCTTCCCTTTACTATTTCACAATTTTAATAAAAAATGTTTGATATAAATAAATTAATTGAAATTTATAATTTTTATACTCTATATGTATATAAACTGGTAGACAATGAATTAAAACAGTATTATTCTTTAATATTTCTCGGGCTGAGGCGGAATAACGTCTAAAATTGTTAAAATATCTTTGTAAGTATTATAACTGAAGTCAATCTTTTCTATATTATGCGACATATCTTGGCCAGTCATTGTTTCAAACATTGCGAAAGAAAATGCGTCTTTGAAATTTTGATCTGCGTCTAAAAGCATTGCTAAGTCATTAACGCGTAAATTAACGAAGAAGTATATGACTGCATTCGTTTTCTTGAGTCCTGTATCGATAGATTGTAAAGTTGAATTAACAAGTTCAAATAATCGTTCTTGTTTGTCATTCATGCCGCGATCTGGTGTTACAGGTAGTCCACCAACCCATGTTTCGATTTCATTAAGTAAATCTCTGTAAGGTCCAACACGGACGTATTTTCCTTCAATTTCATCAGAAGAGAACTTCGTAAGCTTCTTCGGTGGCCTCATATCTGTAAACTTTTCGACAATAGGGCCAAGAGGAATTGGTGCAGGAACTGGATCTCCATCTTCTTCCTCTTCTGTAGCGAAATGCTTGAAGAATTTGTTGCGACATGCTGTACTGCAGAATACTGGATCCTTTGGAACAGCTTCTGTTAATTTAATATGATGATCACACTTTGGCCAACCACATAAATCTGAGCAGTTTCTTTCGATCATTAATTCTTTGAAAATCTGTTGATCTTGAAGTCGAGGATCATTAAATATCTCGTCTCTGACAATTGGTTCACAGAAATCAACAGCAAATTGCAAATTATCCATGGATTTTAGAAAAAAGTGACAAAATTTTGCACTTTTTCTCCAAAGTTACATTTAATTGTTTCCTTACTCAACTGCATTAAGGAGTTCCAAAACTCGTCAAAATAATACTAAGACAAATTTTTCTTTTTAAAAATTACTAATGTCCGAACAAGACGTTCATCCAAACAAATACAGCGAACTGCGTAGTATTTATAAATACTACATTGATTCATATATTGTGTTGTAACTGCTGAAAACGGAAAAAGAAGAAGATTTAAACTCTATTTACAAAATTATCAAAACAGAATTGATTGATACAAATAAATATTCCCCCAAAAGCATGATAAAAGACATTTTAAATATCATTCCGTATAATAATCGCTATGCAAAGTCATATTTATTTCTCGCCAAACTCATATTTGATGGATTCATGTCAACTGAGGTTAAAAATGTTGTGGGTACTTTCAAGATTCATGTTTTATAAAGAATATAAAATTGAATTATACAAATCTGATGACTTCAAAAAATATAATTTGAAAAATCTCGATATTCATACAGAGAATACAATATACAGAGCTATTATGTATAATGACTTAGAAAGATTCATTTCATTCACAGAAATAGATGAATTTAGTAAATATCAAAGACTTCAAAGCAATTTATATCCAAGTTCATCCTGGGGATATTCATTACTTGAATTATGTTGTTATCATGGAGCTGTGGATTGTTTCAAGTTATTAAGAACAAAATTTAAGTCAGAAATAACTGAAGCATGTCTCAGATTTTCATTTTTAGGAGGAAATGCAGAGATAATGAGTGAATGTTTGAAATATCAAAAACCAGATTATAAATGCATGGAATATGCAATTATTTCACACAATATTGATTTTGTTACATTCTTGATGAATGAGTACAATATCAAGATTGTTTTAGATTATTTGTGCAAAATATAATAATCTTGAAGCATTTTTAGTTTATTTCGATCAAACTAATGATTTTAACAACTGCGTTTTTTATTCACTGATTTTTAATATTCCATCCCTTTTGGAATACTTCCTTTCACATGGTGCAAATATCAATGGAAAAGAATATGGAAAAACCGCTCTCCATATTGCAGCACGACATAATAGTAAAGAAACAGTTGAATTTCTTATTTCACATGATGCAAATATCAATGAAAAAAATAAATATGGACAAACTGCTCTTCATAAAGCAGCAGAAAATAATAGTAAAGAAACAGTTGAATTTCTTATTTCACATGATGCAAATATCAATGAAAAAAATAAATATGGACAAACTGCTCTTCATAAAGCAGCAGAAAATAATAGTAAAGAAACAGCTGAAGTTCTCATTTCGCATGATGCAAATATTAATGAAAAAGATAAATATGGAAGAACCGCACTTCATTATGCAGTAATGAGTAATAGTAAAGAAATAGTCGAACATCTCATTTTGCATGGTGCAAATATTAATGAAAAAGATAAAAATAGAAAAACCGCTCTTCATATTGCAACAGAATATAATAGTAAAGAAACAGCTGAAGTTCTCATTTCACATGGTGCAAATATTAATGAAAAAGATAAATATGGAAAAACCACTCTTCATCTTGCAACAGAATATAAAAGTAAAGAAACAACTGAAGTTCTCATTTCACATGGTGCAAATATCAATGAAAAAAGATGAAGATGAAGAAACAGCACTTCATCATGCAGCAAATGAAAACTATTCAAAAATTGCCGAAGTTCTCATTTCACACGGTGCAAATATCAATGAAAAAAATAAATATGGAAAAACCGCCCTTCATATTGCAACTGAATATAATAGTAAAGAAACATTTATAATATAAAATTCAAACAAATAATACTAATGAGTAAAATCATAATCAAATGACAAGTTTTGTTATAAATCTTCTTCAATCAAAAACAGAATCAAAGTAATCAAGATCTACTGGCTTTGAAAAAATATAATCCGGTAAAGGAATTGATGTTTGTTCTCTATTGTTGAAGTTTTCAATTTTTTGATAAAAAATGTCGCAAAATTCTGTGTATTTTTCATCATCAATCAGTTCTAGAGCAGATTCCATTAAACTTGCGAAATCTGTCGTATTAAAAAGTTCTAAAATCTCAACATAGTTAATATATTCGTGCTCATCTACATTTTTTAATAGAAATGGAACAACTTCTGGGTCAGCATTGAACATGTAGTTATTTCTTTCTGCAATACATGTGAAATGAAAGAAGAAATTGATGATTTTTTGACACAAATCAGGGTTATCACCATCAATCAGTTCAATCATTTGTTGAAAGTGGGAATACTTGAATATATGAAGAAAAATTGTTGGATTGTTCTCATGAATATTAAGAATTGTTTGATATAAATCAACAATTTCATATTTAATATGAAAATCAAGAGCTTGGGAGCAATAATCAATATATTGGCACATATCTTCTGTAAACAAAAGACAGAAGCCTGACATATCTTCAAAGTTAATACATTTGGTTATTAATCTTATAAAAAGCGAATTTGGCCATTTTGTATCAATTGATTTCATTTCCCTGTTGAATAAAACATTCAATATACTGTCAATCATTGAAAAAGCAATTGTGGGATTGTTTTCATTAATATTCTTCATTTCTTCGAAGAAACTTTGAGCATCATCCTCTTCAATAAAGAATATAAGTATATTTAAGATAATTTCTAGATTGTCAATGTTATTTAAGCAGTCATTTAGCTGAATTAAAAAATTTCGTGTTTTAAAAAACGAATAATCATCTGTTTCTTCAAACCTAGATTCTTTTATGAATGACCATATAAATGAAAGTATTCCTTGTAAATGAATTTGATGCTTTTCAATTATATATTGGAAAAAATTTAAATATATCGTGTTGTCTTCAATATCGTAATAATAGAATGATTCAAATATTGTACTCAAATAAATAAGACATTGATCGTAGTATGGAGTGCCTTCTGTTGAGGTAACAAAATTAATTATTTCGTTGTGAAGATTTTGATTATACAATCCTATTGCAATATCTCTATTATCAACTACAAGATTTGATATAAGCATTAAAATTGAGTGCTTGAGCGAAATTTCTGTTTCATTTGCAAATAACTGAGATAAAAGTAAATCAAAAAAGTCTTCTTGTACGAAAATCTCTCTGTTAATCTGTACTACAATATTGTTGAATAATTTGATTGTTTCGATAGAATTTAATCCATTTTGTATTAAATCGATTATTCTGTTCTCGAAAAACAGTTCGAAGTCATCCATGTTGGTTAGTAATTTCACAAGCTCTGGATTTACAGAAATGTAAGATTGAATTTTAATAATTTGATTATTAAACGTGTCAAAATCGATATCTGACCGCATAATATCAATCTCTTTAAGGAAAGAGGTCTCTAGTTCCTTATCATCATCTAATTGTTCGCCTTTAATATCGTCAGAAGGCTCTAATTTGAATTGCATTTCATAAAACTTTTTTTTGACAACAATCATCACTAAAACAGGATTGTGATTATTGTAATGAACAAAGAAGAGTTATAACTGTTAGTATTTGGCATAGCCTATCATCCCATTCCTATTTTCTGTTCATATCTAAAAGATTAAGCCATGAATCAAATTGAATTTGAAAAATATTTGAAATAATTATATAAATACACTATAGTTTATAACATTTTATTATGATTCGTTAACAGGGTATGGTATATCATCTGGTTCGTTTTCTATATCTTTTTTATCTGTATAATTAAGGTAACCTCTGCATTTTGGCGATCCACATAAGCAAACAATAGCTTTTTCTTTGGATTCGTACGGAAGATTATAATCATAAGTCAACTCTTCGAATGGCTCGATTTTCTTTTTTGCGAAAATTACAATATGGCGCTGTCCTCCTGCTTCAACAACACATGTTTTACAGTTCGGATCGCAGCTATGGTTAAGGAAACGAGCAATTCCTCCCTTATGAGTAGCATCAATATATAAATCGTCATCAAGTCTGAAAATATATGAGCCATGATTACCCTCTGTTTCGTAATATTTCTGTCTTGCTTCTGTAACAGATAATCTAACAAGTTCACCTGTATATTCCACGATTGGCTCGCCAGGAGCAAAATAACAAGCAGAGAAAACACCCCAGAGGTGAATACCACTCTTTTCAAATCGTAAATATTTTAATTGTGATCGGATACTCTGAAAATCTTTTGGATGAACAACGATTTTATCATCAAGATCACGACCAGAACAAATGAAACTAGGGAATTCTCTATCAGTTGGGAATCTCTTGTAAGTTAAGTCTTTCTGGAAAACGGATTTCATATGTCTTGTGAAAAATTTACGTCTAATATCCGGATTTTCTGTTTTAATTTCTGTAAAACGTCCACATTTAGTGAGTGACTCTTTCAAGCCAGCATTTTTATCTACAACTTCTGCGCTTGGAGGTGGATTTGATGTATTCTCCATATGCGCGGGGAAAAAAAATATTTCAAGAATAAACAGACAGGAGAAAATTTGAAAAATAAATTAACAAAGACAAGATCCAATTATATCCATTAGATTTCTAAGTTTAAACGACGATTTTTTTGTAAACCAAAAATGGGAGAGCAAAATGAACCTGTGGTACAAGATTTCGAGAAATACTTCCAACTGCACTCAATAAAGAACAAAAAGACACGTAAGAACGAGAACGAAAACAAAATGGCTGGAGCTTTCGATAGATCAGCTGTATCAATTGAAGCACAACCACCATTTGATCCAGAACCATTCGAGCAATATTTCGAACATTGGAATGAAATATTAAAGAGATTTCCTTTATTATTTTACGGATTGGGCTCTAAAATCGAACTTCTTCGTGCATTTGCTGAAGATATGTTAGTTGACCAAGGATATGTTGTCGAAGTTGATGGATTCTCAGGACAACCAAGGTTAATCCAAAATGCTATTTCTCAATTATGTGATTTGGAACAAGTTAAGAAAAATGTTGACACGCTTAATAGATCTCTCAGAACTTTACGCCGCTATGCTTTTATTATTGTCCACTGCATCGATGATGACTGCATGAGCGATGATGATACAAGAAGAGATTTAATTGAAATCGCAAACTCAAGTAATATCTTTTTAATTGCAAGTTTAGATCGTATCCCTCTTTGGTCATTAAATTTCTACACTTCAATGAAATTCTTTACAATTAATGTCAATACAAACAGATTATATTCCCAAGAAATCGGATTTACAATGTCAGCTAAGAGCGCTGTTGTCTTAGATTCTATCGAGCGTTACGATATCGTCCTCAAAACTCTTACAGAGACCGCCAGAGTCGTTTTTGGTGTTTTGGCCAAATATCAAATGAAAACTGGCAAAGGCTTAACGGCATCAGCATGGCAAGATAAGGCACAGGCAGAATTATTTATTAGAATGCGTGATTCATTCAATACTCAAAAGAATGAATTTTTGGACCACAAACTTATTGCTCAGAAGAAGGATACCGATTTATATACAATTCCTCTTTCTCAGCAGCAACTTTCTGCTTTGATGGAAAGACTATTTCCTTCTACAGATAAGCAATAAATTATTTTTACTACTATTATTGTTAAAAATGAAAGTTTATACTCTTTAATGTTTTTTATTATCATACATTTTCTAATCTTTTGAGAATAATTTTTTTCATAAAATTATATCGAATTCAAAACTATTTAGGAATAGATACAACTATGTGAATTCAGGTATATTTCATGTTTATTGATACTAAATTTCATTGTTTATTAATGTTTCCTGGATCGCGTAGTAAAGCTCTTGCTAAAGAGCAGGAAAGGCAAAGACAACTACAAGAACAGGAAGAAAGAGAGAAACTTCATGCAGATATATGCAAATATATCGAAGAAGACGATCTTGACAAATTAAAGGAATACGTTCCAAGCGTAGTGCCTATTGATGAAGTATTTCAAGAGGCATCTATTAATACGTGGAAAGGCTTAAAAACCTCTTTACTTCACATTGCAGCAGGATATGGCAGCGAATTTTGTTTAATTTACTTACTTGAACAAGGTGCAAATGTTATGGCACGTGATGGAGACAAACGAACTCCTTTACATGAATCTGCACAAAATGGAACTTTATCGATATTTCATAAACTTCTTAATGCAGGGGCTGATCCGGAAGCTGTTGATGACTATAATATTCTTCTATTTTTAACTGAACACTCCACTTCATCTTGCATCTTTCGCAGGTAACTTTTTAATTGTTGAACAACTACTTATCTCAGGTGTAGATATAACTGTTCAAACTATTGATCATAAAACAGCTTTGCATTTGGCTGTAGAAATGAAAAGATACTCAGTTATTGATGTTTTCGAACTTTTCGTTTCTTCAGAGCCCAAATATAAGAGCTTCTTAGAACAGAAAAATAAGATCATAAAGGAATTAGGCGACTAATATTGTATTTTTAAAAATTTTAAATAAAAATCAATTTATAAATTCAAGCAATCCATTATTTTAAGTTTTTACAATCAAATATTAGATATCATCTCATAATTATAAGAATTCTTACAAGCAAATTAAAGATCTCATTAATTTTACTGAGCAATGAGCTATAAATGTCAATGTATAGAAGAATAATCATATGTGAAGTATGTTATATAAATTATTTCGATAATATAACTATTCAACAGTAGGGATCTCAAATCAAATATGAAATCTCAATTTCAGAGTTCAAGAATCATATGTAATGTTAAACTCAAGGTAATATATCAGTCCTAACAACTTATATTGCTTTCAAATAAAAATATTATATCAAATTTAATTAAGCCATAAAATCAAATAACCGCATTTGATTGTTAACACAGAGGTATTTGTATCAAGAATTATCTAATTTATTTTGGAATATTTAGTTAAAATTGTTGCAAAATAAAGACATAATAAAAATAAAAGACAATTTCATGCTTAATGACGATGCTGACGTACTGTTGTTGATCTCTTCGGAATTCTTTGTCTAGACGGCTTTTTCTCAACTTTTGTTGCAGCTCTCTTTCTCTTAGGTCTTCTGTCAAGGACATCCATCGAATCATCATCTCTATTATTATTTTTGGCTTTCTCCTTGCTCAAATTTTTGAGATAATTTGCATAATTAATAGATGTTTTTCTCATACAGAAGATTGCATATATTGCTCCTATTAAGAACAATATTAATGCAGGGACTCCTACTAGAATATATGGCTTTAGAAAAACAAATTTGTATTGTAATGTTGGAGTTGGTGGTGGTGTTTCACGGTTAATTAATACTTGAGTTACTGAAATTGTTTTGACTTTTGTTACTGCACTGATTGATATATTTCCTTTTGTAACACTTGGTGTTAAACTATAATAATAAGATTCATACTCAATCGTAGTATTATATACACCAAATTCTGGTTTAGATGCGTTACCCTGGGTTTCAACTGTTGTTGATTCTGATGATACTTCTTCGAGTATGTTCTTTTCTAATGAATCATCATTTGAAGATGAAGCAAGGGCAACTAAATACAAGACAAACATATTATTTAAATTTTTTTTTCTGATAAATTATTATTCACATTCAAGTTTTTGTATGATCTAAGAAAAATCTTAACAAAAAAATTAACCAATTATAGTTACAAACCAAAATACTGATGAATATCAAAATATAATGCTCTCAATTAAATTTGTGAGAAAACCGACTTACAAAGAAAATGACAAACATGAATAATTCTGCATTATCGTTTTAATGGTTTCTTTTTAAATTAATTTAAGAAAGTTCACAAATAAAAAATTGAACTAACTCGAGTTTATTAATATAATTAATCATAAAACAACAATAGATTAAATGTTAAGCAAAGAGTATTGGATGAGGGGCTTTTTCAACATAAATTTCTGGAAATCGTGGAAATTTAATCTACATTATATAGTTAAAGAAGATAATATGATTTTTATTCATGAAGAAACATCAATTATATAACAATATATCTATTCTAATCTAAATTTAATAAGAATTTAATTTTCTTTAAAAAATGGCTTTGGAAGATCATTTTATAGACTCAGTCATCATCAATCTTGGCCTTTTCAAGTATTGTTTCACATAGAACAGCTGATTTCTCATAATTTTTGTCAATAGCAGCAATATTTTCGATTTCTTCAATTGTAGAGAGATCATAGAACTGTTCTCCGTATTTAAACTTAAGTTCATCGCTTGCCATTACTCTCTCAAAAAGTTGATCGAAAATAGTCAAATAATTAAAAGAACTGATAGGATCATTTGTTGCTAACATCTCTGCTGATGATAAAAATTCAGTTGAAAGAAGCATATCTATCTGATAAGGGTTCAATTCGAAAAATGAAACCGCAAAAATCGACAAAATCTTACATTTACTGTCAGTATCCATATCATCATACACAGATAAAAGCTTTTCAAAGATATTGAAGTACTGAATTTGGCTTGTATCTATAAGAACAAGATCTGTAATTTTATTAAAGAACATTTTGTTGCATTCTTGATCATAACCATACATCTTCTGCCATAGCAAGTCCCAGTCCAAACTATTATTGATAAATCCCATTCCATCTTCTAATTTGTAAAATTCAGTTAATAATTCCATATAATACTGAATAAAATCATATCTTATTAGACTGTAGTAGTCACTTGATGGATCCGGGAGGTTTTCAATCAATGCTATCATTTTTTCTATAAAACTACTCATATTTGCATCAATTTTCTTGGATTTCATAGCTTGTATCAATATTATATACACCTGGTATATTTCCAAGTGAAATCTGATGTCATCGAGCTCCAAAATGTTGTAAATACTGATTTGCATGTTTTTGTAAAAATCCATATGTAAAGAACCATTTTCTTCATCAAAAAGAGCAACATAAACACTTGTTCCAACCAATACATGATAAACAAACTGTTGGATGGAGCTGCTACACTGCATAGAAAAGTGTAAAATTTCGTTATTAATTTCAAAAATAGTTTCAATAGGAAAAAGCTTGGAATAGCATAAGTTGTAAAGAGTGAGTAATAATCTTGATTGGATTTGTACCTTTTTTGAACTAGTAAGGAATATATTTTGCATTTCTGTGTTTTTGGCTGATTCTGTAAAAATATTATCGGTATCAAGAATTCTCTGAAGTAATAAGTCAACAATGTCTGGATGGAAGTAAACTTGAAGTAAATTTAAATCATCATTTGTTGAAATATAACTATATGCTGTACAAATGCCTATCAACAAATCTTCATCATTAAACAATTGAAAATATTTGTATAAAATATCTGAATAGTTGTTGTGATCTTGTAGAATATGAAATAACTGAGAATTCTGTTGGTATTGGTTTAATTTCTTGTTAATTTTATAACACATATCGATAAATTGATTTCTATTTCGATTGTTTTCGTCTTGATCAAGCTCACAAAAAGAATCAAGTAATGAAATTAGTTCAAATGGATTAAAAGGCATCTGAACTTGAACAAACCTTGTTTCTAGATCAAGAACTTTATGTAATTTCCTTTGGTTTTGATCTTCAATATCTTTTAATGTTTCATCAAATGAATTTTTCATAAATAATGAAGAGACAATTGCTATAAGTTTAGAGAGTTAAAGTGTTTTGTTGATGTTTTGGTCAACAAAATCAAAAAACAATTAAAATGAAAAAAATATTGTTACAAAAAAAGTATTTGTTTTGTAAAAACGTGTTATTAGAGGTATATTTTAAGGACAATTTCTCGCAATAATTTATCTTAATTGCCTTCAGAACCGAATTCGTTAGTCCAGGTCTGGTATTTCACAAGTTCGGCTGGAGAAACTGTTGGGTGGATCTTGCAGATAGCCTCCTTGAAGTCCTCGAACTTAACTGGTGGAGATTCGATCTTATCAGCTGGGAAATCTGGATCTCTGAGGCTCCACTTTCTTGCTCCTGGAGCGTTTGGAGCGCAAGCCTCGACTGTACCACGTTCTGTCATGCGGAACCATTCCTGCTTATCCATAAGGTTTCTAATAGCGAGCATTGAAGCTTCACGAGAGAGAATCTTGATATCTGCACCGGAGTAGCCTTCTGTCATGTGAGCGATCTTCTCAGCCTGGTCTGGTGTAATGTTGTGAGGTGTTCCCTTCAATCTGAGTGTAACCATGGCCTTTCTAGCCTCGAAGTCTGGGAGAGGAATGTAAACCTTCTTTTCGAAACGACGTCTGACAGCGGGATCGAGAATCCATGGTGTGTTTGTAGCGGAAAGAACAAGAAGTCCTTCCATTGACTTGCCGACACCATCCATCTGGACAAGGAACTCTGTCTTGATACGGCGGGATGATTCAGAGTCATTTTCGCTACGTTCACTGAGGAGTGAATCGACTTCATCGATGAAGATAATGGCTGGAGCAGATTTACGGGCTGTATCGAAAAGAGCACGGATAAGCTTTTCGGATTCACCGAGCCACTTGGAAACAAGATCGGATGTAGAAATAGAAATGAATGTGGAGTTATTTGCTTCGGAAGCTGTAGCCTTAGCTAAGTAGGATTTACCTGTACCTGGTGGGCCGTAAAGAAGAATACCTCTCCATGGGGTACGCTCACCGACGAAGAACTGTTTAAATCTGATTGGATAAATGACAGCTTCGTAAAGAGAACGCTTAGCTTCGTTAAGACCAGCAACATCTTCCCACTTGATGTTTGGCTTTTCAACAAGGATGGCGCTTGCCATACGACTTTCGAATTCGCTGTTTTCGTCGTTTTCTTTGCCATCCTTGCCGCCGCCTCCACCGCCGCCGCCTTGCTTCTTGTTGCTCGGCTTAGAGGCTTGGGCTGCACCGCTGGATCCTCCGGCTGCTGAAGGAGCCGCTGGTTGTATATTATCTAACTCAGATGCTCTCTTAGTGCAACGTTCGGCGTGTTCTGTAGCCTTGTTGAGAAGGTTTTCGGATGTTTGTGGGCCTGCTTGCTTCTTGGCCAAGTTAAACTTGGCAGCAGCTTGATTGTAATAATTCTTTGCTTGCTCGTACTGGCCGGCATTATCCATAGCAACGGCATTCTTGATGAGATTGACGCCGTCGTTGAAATATTGCTGGAATAGGTTACGTTTCTGCATTAAAGAAAAATAATCGAAAAACTTTTTTTCACCGCTTTTTCATTTCACTTTTTCACCGGACTCAATTTTAAGATCATGAAATCTTATTGCAGATCATGTATAAATTTCATCACAAATATACGGCCAAAAAGTTAAGACAAATTCAGTGTACGCCGATTATTTTCCTGAGGTTGCAACGGTTGCAACTTTTCCAAGAAAAACTGAATGAATTTGAGCTTTGAAATGAACCTTAAGGGTGTTTCAGCAATAATTCTTATTAATTGCTCTATCCAACTAACAAAAGCTCATGTTCGGTAAAATTTTCTTGGCTCATAAAAAAAATATCGTGAAAAATTAAACAATAAAATGATTTTACTTTCAATAAAGAGTATTATTGGTACAAAGTTAACTTTATGCTTGTCACAAAGCTATTTAAATAGCTATTTAACCTAAGTTAGGAAAAAATTCAAAAATTTATGCCTACGACCGGAGTTGAACCGGCGACCTTGCGCTTACAAGGCGCACGCAATAACCACTATGCTACGCAGGCTTTACAATAAGGGTTTTAAAGTCTTATATATGATTATTTACGCTATAAATCAACCGTAACAATATCTAATAATCATGCACCAATCATTCACTAAATTTAAGATAAATCGAGAAAAATTTATAATGATAAATAGCTCCTATCATTATTGACAACTGATCATTATGAAACTTTAATATCCAATTCTCTCTTCGATGGAATATCCTCAACTTCAAATGGTGGTGCACTCGTTATTAATAATATCAAAATTCATATATTTTGTTGTAAATTTCATTATTGTCAAGCTGAGGATCATGGCGGGGCTTTTATTTTCCGTAATTCGATTAGCCTCATATCAAACATTTACTTTGAGGGATGCTATGTTCGTCAACATCAAGATGCACATTTTGGAAATTGCTTTTATGCTTCAGAAGGAAAATGCAATTTTGAAACGAATTCTTTATTTAAATGCGGTCCAGATTCAACCAAAGGAGGTGATAGTGCCGTATATGTGAATATGCTGCTCTACGATATCAAACATTTAAATGCCTCAAATAGTTTTGGGGAGTCTGGAGCAGGTAGTGTAAGCATTTGGAATCCATTTTATGGATCCACGATCTCGTACATTCAATGTATTGATATTACTGATCATAATTACTTCGAATTGTGGTTCGGACAAAAAACAATTTCGAAAAGTAATTTCATCAATCACTCAGGAATATTTTATTCATTTTTGTCATCTACTGGATCAACTCTGACAATACAAGATTGCTTTTTGATAAACTCTCCAACTCAAATCGTTAGTGGAGGTGGAACTTTAAGAGCAATAAATTGTCAGAGTGATGTGTCATATGAAGGTTATGGAATCGAAAAGCTAAAAAACAAAGATGAATTTAGAGTTGTTGTTTCTGACTGTAAAATTCAAAAGTGCATAACGAACCAAAACTATATTTCATACATCTATTTAAAATCCGGATATTCTTTAATAATCTTATTTGCTTTATAAAATTGAATTTTCTTTAATTCATGGATGGTTCCAAGTATAAAAATCATCAAATTGAAATGTCATTAGTTTTCAAATCACTTGTCCTCTTATTTCCGTGTAAAGTGAAATAATCCTAAATTTCTGCACGAATAATTGTTTTCCACTACATATGAGTGGCTACTACTCATTTTGATATCATTAATAGAGCATAATTATTGAATGTTGAATCCCTTTTCATCCATTTATATATTTTTATTCGAAATTTACCTTATTAATGAAGTTTTGAAAAATTATTTTTGGGTACCATTTTAAATGAATTTGTAACGATCAAAATAGTTTGAAATAATTGGAATTCCAACAAACACAAATATTTTTCTGAGAACAGCTTTTCATAATTGTCCGATTATCATTAACTTTTTAACCCAATAAACTAATTTTAGAATAAAGAACTATAAAAATATGTTTTATAAATTGAATGTTTTCAAATTTTAAAATACTTTCTATTCAATTTTGAGAGAAACTTGAAAAAGATAATTGCTTTTTCGGATCCAAGCTTAATGGCTCTGTATTTTTCCAAAATGTTAAATTCATTGGTAAAGATGCTTTTCAAAATAGCAACGGTTTGAAAGGTTTAAATTTTAGTAATGTTACATTCATTGGTGATAGTGCATTTGATAGTCAATCACTATCAGGGCCTGTTTATTTCGAAAAGGTGCAAATAATAAATGATAACGCTTTTTGTGGCTGTAAGTTTCATGGACCAGTTTATTTCATTAATGTAAAAACTATTGGAGCGTATTCCTTTAAGTCTTCAACGATTCAAGGTTTATTATCTATGCATAATGTCGAAAACATTGGAAATTATGCTTTTTGGCATTCAAAAATTTATGACTCCTCAATTTCTATTGAAAATGTATACAATATGTTGGAGATAATGTATTTTGGTCCACTGAAATAAATAAATCTTCTTTAGATTTTGTCAATATACAATCTATTGGAGATGATCTATTTTGGTGTAGTCAGATAAACACGAGTGATATTTCTTTCGAAAATATATCTTCTATTAGTGATCATTCCTTTTGGTCAAGTCAAATACATCAAACCTCCATTACTTTTCTCAATATTGGAATAATTGATCCCTATACCTTTGTTTCAAGTAACTTATTAGAAAGCCGTATTTCTCTAAAAAATATACTCAAACTTGGAGAATATGCTTTTTATGGATGCAACATTCATGATCCGTTGTATATAAGAAATGTAAGCATCGTTGGATCACGTGCATTTTCTTCTTCAAATATATCCATAGATTTGAATTTTATTAATGTACATACAATTAAAAGTAGTGCTTTTGAAAGAGTCAACATTAGCACATCATTGATGTTTACAAATGTCGATTTTTTCGAATCAAATTCCGTTTCAAACTGCGTCATTGAAGGTAATATTACATTTAGGAATGTTTCAAGTATCGGATCAAGTGCATTTTCAGCATCAAAATTTAGAGGTCCTGTAGATTTTGGTAATGTTGTCAATATTTCAAATAGAGCTTTTGAAAACTGCAATTATTTGGAAACAATTATCAATATTGGAAATATCAAGAGAATTGGAAGTTATGCATTTTATGGTTGCTATAATTTGACCGGCAATTTGAATTTTATTAATATATTGTCCATTGGAAGTTATGCTTTCCAAGGATGCTCTAAAGTATATATCAATACAACATTTCCATTCATAACAAACATTGAATCATATGCTTTATACGATTGCAAAAATTCTGGCAATTTGATCCTTTATCAACCAGACATAATATTTGGATCCTCAGTTTTTAAAAGCCTTATTAATATTACTCTATTTATGGAAACAGATATATCTTCAATGCTTGTTTCGAATAATATCCAAAATATTAATGTATATTATAATGGCAGCAGTGTTTCAACTAGTAGAAGAGGTTCATTTTATCAACAAGTCAAAGCTGTATATGTATTATGCGGCTTTAAATATAATACATTCTATAGGAGAAACGTAATTAACCCATGTAAAACAAATGATTCAATTGAAAGCATTGCAAAGCAAGAAAAACCATATAATCAAGAGATTCAAGATAATCAACAATTTAACTTTAATAATCACCTTTCAAGAGGAAAATATGCTCTAATGTTCCTAGCTTCTTGAATTAGATCCTAAATCACAACTTCATATTTTGAAAGCTATTATAGATATAATTTAACCAAATTAGCTTTCATATTTTTATTGATTCAAAGTTTAGAGAAACTTTACCCGTTGCATTGAAATATATATGATCCAAATAATCGATCTAACTGTACATAACATTCAAGAAAGTTTCTAAAACTAATTCGATGATTTTGAGAAAAAATTGAAATGAATTATAGGTATATTAGATAAAAAATACAAAGAATGATTTGTATAATCGCACTGTTCATGTAAACATTTAGTAGATGTGTTTGCAGCTCTGGATAAACAATAAATAAATTACTTTTTGTATGAAATTAATAAAAATATTAAGGGTGCACACGAGAGGATCATGTAAACTTCAGAATTTAGAACCTTATTTTAGGCATTATCTTGGCTACCTATTTAGGCTCGAAAAGCAAAAAATATCAAAAAATACAACTTGACTCCATTATGACCCTTTCATGGAGGTAGTTTTTATCCGCTAGTATTTTCCCTTTGAATCTCTTTACAATTCGAAATCAAATTCAAACCTCAGTAGAAGAAAGGAAGAATCGACTTACTACGGTTGTAATACGAATAAATACATATATTTAATTATTTTTATTTACATAATAATTGTTTGAAGCTCATATTCCAACAAATTTTTAAATAAAAACATTAAAATGTTGAAAATGTTCATATATTTTAATAGGGTTTTGGCACTTTATTGAGGAATTACTACATACATAGTCGAACTGAACTTGATATTTTGAAATTTAAATTATTTATCAAAATTAAAATTTAACTTGAAATTTATAATTATTTAGTCATATTTTGCATAATTCTAAGTAGATTTTGTAAAAAATCAAGAAAGAAAAATTTTAACGTGCTTTATTTTTTCTTTTTTATAATAATACATATTATTATATAATTAACATATTCATAATGTTTCACCCTTTCAAAAATATAAACCTCCTCCTCTCAAATAAACGTGCATACGGGTGGCCTCTTTTTTCAAAAAATTAAAATTTGAAATTTTGGGCTCAAATATTAGAGATTTTTTCAACCTTCAACGATATATGTTGTCTATATCAGACCTCCTTTCTTTTTGATACTTAACATTGTTCCTAAATCTTAGCCGTTAAGGCTGTTCTGAAAATATTTTTTTTTCGAAAAAATTCGAAAAAAATTCTTAAAATTCAAAAATCCCTTAATTCCTGAGGATTTTGGAAAAAAGTTTTTACATGAACATGTGTATATTATATGAAGTATTGTTGTAAACAGAAATTCATCAAAAGTGACACCTCAGAAAAGCTAAAATATTGAATTTTTGGAACTTTTGATAGAGCACGTTTTTAAATATTAATTAAAGTAAATGTATATTTTGTAAAGATTCTTTTTAATAAAAAATAAAATTTTGAAGAAGAACACAAAATCTTCTGAAAAATAATATCACATAAACTCATATTATTTTCTAATATATAACTATTTTATATAAAAATCAAATTCAATGATCTTAAAAGCGAAGGATAAACCTCAAAATTTACGAATATAATGAGTGGGAATATAATGCTTATCTATCATAAAACCATATGAAATATCAATTTTTGCTTTACGCCTAATTTTTGACGACAATTAGCAAAAAACGTTAAATGTTAACACTCAGTCCATTTGAATATGAAAAATAAAATTGACTTTGATTAAATGTTTTTATTTATCATGCAATTCTTCTTGCGACCAAAGATTTGAATAAAAGTTCAAAAAATAAGATAGCTTAAAAAATAATATACGGTAGTGTTTACTAATAGATGAATAGTATATAAATTCTATTAAAATGGATTTGATCCAAAAAAATATAAAACCAAAAATAATTGTTATAATTTAAATGAAGAAGTAATTTAAAACGATTTTATTTATGATCAAATTTTATATATTTTGAATGGTTGATTAATAAGTATAAAAATGTCTACGATTTTAAGGAGGGAATTGTTCCTTATGAGGTATACATCATAACTATATACCTCATAAGGAACAATTCCCTCTTGATATCCTGGATGTTTTTGAATATATTTTTTTAATTAAAGTTCTCAAAAGTATTATCAAAAGTGATTTTTTAAAAATATCTCCAATTAATTAACTAATTAAAAGTATTATATTTTTAAAATTAAATAGTTTTTCAATTTTTTTGAAGGAATTGAGATACTTCCCACGACAATAAAATTGAGAGGTTTACATTATGACTGATCTTAGCATGCAACAATTTTACCAATATTTTTAGTTTTTAATAAGAATTTAGCACTTTTCATGTCACTTTTTATCGTTGTGTGATAAAATATCAAGTAATTTTGAATAGAAGCAGCAAAAACTTTTGCTAAGCATCTCTATGATCGCTTACTTCCTTATGAAGATCAGATCACAAAATTCGAAGCAATAATTGCCTTTGGCACAGCTAAATGGAGAGGAGCTGTTTTCCTTGTTCTTATTAACTTAATTTATCTTCTCCTTGTGTACTTATCCATCCCAACATACTCAGGCCTTGCAATTATTGCTTTACTTTATTTCTCAAGAACAATGTGGACACCAATTTTGTTCAAAATCATCAATCCATCGGATATCGCTGATGCTCCACACCACGACTTAAAGGAAATATCCTCATGGTTCGCAACAATAGTCCTCGTTATTAGTAACTTATACAACTCTGCAATCAGCTCTGTTCTTGAAAAGAGATTTTTAGGTATTTGCACAAACATGTTCATTTTCATGTTCTTGTTCTACTTATTCCTCTCAATTCCAGACTACTTCCTTGGCCTCTTAATCATGAATCTTTTGGCACTTGTTCCATTCTACATGCTGAAGTTCGATTCCTGCAAGGCCTGCGTCACCAAGAGGTTCTGTGGAAAATGCGAAAAAGCTGAATAAGAAATAAACCTTGAATTTATATTGTTTTGAATAAAAATTTATTTTTATTTCTTGAGAAAGTTAAAAAGTTATGTTTTTAACATATCAAATATACATAAGATAGTTTTTTTAAAAAAATACTATAGTATCAAAATCTCGGGAACAAATACTCAGAAAATAATACTATTGGACTATTTGAATAGAATAGTTTGCAAATGTCAATTTTATATCATATCTTTACACTTGTAAGCTGAAGACTCAAATTTGGCGTAATTTTTTTTAACTATACAATATTTCGAATTACAAGATTATATGGTAGTTTCAAAAATTGATGTATACATAGCTTGTCGCTTTTTGTTTTCAACTTGCAATGCATAACAAAATCTTTAATATATTTTTGATTCAAATCCTGTTCGACATTAGAAGCAAAAATAATCATATGCAATTGAATTACGCTTTTCAGACTGTTTTGTGTTGCTTCGTGCCCCTGGCAAAAGTTTGAAAAGTGATCATTTTCAAGAAATTTCTCAAAATTCAAATCAGCCAAAGGATTTTACTCCAGGCTGACTTTAATTTGAATTCCTGACAACTGGCGTGAAGTGCCATTGAATATTAACCTTGAACACCATATTTGAAGGTCATGTCATATGGGCGTAAGTGCATCCTTAATTGATAATCGATTCAATTCAAAAAGTAAATTTCATAGGATCTCCCTCCTAATTCTTCATCCTTGATGTCTCCCTATCCTGAAATAGCTAAAAGTTCCTTAAATGCTCCTCACTTTCTCAAGATAATTTTTGGATGATAAAAATAATTCAATTATAATCAAACTTCAGGAGAAATTTTATAGAATTCTTTTTATTTTATTATAACTCATATATTTTAACGTCTTCTGTTTCTAGAAAACTTTTTGAAGTTTCCAGTTGGCATGGAGACTCGGCAATTATCTTTTAATGATTCCATGAAATCGAGTCGATTCCAGTTTTGTTAAATAATCGTACTCGAATTCCAGTTTTGTTAAATAATCGTTTTTTAAACGTACATTTCAAGTAAGTCAACGAGAGAGTTTTTATTCTTGGCTTCAAAATCTGTAAGTGTGATTTAGAAAGCCAGAAATATGTCAGATACATTATCTCCAATAGTTATTTTTTAAATCAAAAAAGCATCATAAATAAATTAAAATTATTAAACAAATAAATACGGAAATGCGGGCTGATATTGATAGATCATATCGAATTACTTATATTGTTATCAATGATATACAACAAAACTAAATCAAACGAATTTTAAAAATTCAAAATATAAGTCCAAATTTAAATTACAAAATATTTCTTAAAACTGCAAATATTCGTAAATATATAGTCATTGCCCATCAGAATCTTGGATATTTTACTTTATTTGAGGTTCTTTCTTATGGATATTGTCAAAGTATTTTGATAATATTCAAAAGAAGATATTTCAAGTAAGTAGATTATAATGGATTCCAAGCTTATACAAATTATAGTCTTTTAAAGAGCAGTTGTTCCAAGATATTCGAAGTTTTCGAATATCTTGGAAAAACTGTCCTTTAAAAGGCTGTAGCTTCGGTAACATTACTATCTAGTATTAAGTTCACGTAATTACAGTCTTTTAAATAGCAATTGTTCCAAGATATTCGAAGTTTTCGATTATCTTGGAAAAACAGCCCTTTATAAGGCTGTCGCTGCGGTAATATTACTATCTAGTATTAAAATTGCGTAATTACAATCTTTTAAAGAGTAATTCCTCAAAGAACTTCGAAAATTTGGAGAATCTTTGAAAAACTACTCTTTAGAGTAATTTGACTGAGTTAATGAATGAATTTTTTGTTTGAACAAATTCACCTTTGCTTTCAAAGTAGAGAGAACCTCCAGATTGTGATCCGGAGGAACATGAATCAAATTTATTTGTTGTAGTATATGTTTTAACATCATCAATCGTTGAATTAATTCGGATTGCACCGTTTGGTCTTAATCTAAGAAAAAAACAGCTTGAAATAAAGTAGTTTAAGTTGTTTGACCTTGAAAATTCAGTGCATTTGTTATGATACTCTTCATCAAAACTAGATTCTGGAAATGCAAACTCATGAGCCAAAAAAAGTGTCAAAAAATGTCTAGTCGGTCTCGGCTTAAAATAATACATACAATTTTACCATATAACGTAGCACATTTTTCTGAGTCCAGGAAATTTTTTGAAGAGTGTGTTTGATTTTGATAAGAGAACGATATAAAGCCGATTGTAGATTTTGTAGAGTATTCAAAATTCCCCAAAAATTCATCACATGCAATATTTCAAATATAAGTGTATCTATGGACAACTGTTTTAAATAATACCCAGGACCCTCAAGAAAATGTGGGACCCAAAAAAATGTGCAACGTTATAAATTTCCCTGCAATTTGATTGCTTTCTTTATTTCTAAAAATAAATAGGCATATGAGAAGAAGAAAGACTAAATTTCTAATCTTTATTTTTTTATATTTTTTTTTTAAAATGTTCTTCTTAATTCTTCTATGATCAACGATTAATTTGAAAAATAGGAATTGATTTGATAGCAATACAAACAATTGTTCTTAATCATATAGAAAAAGGAATTATAAAAAATTAATTTTTACAAAATCTATTTTTAATTCAAAGGAACATCATGATCTTCTTCTGGATTCTCATCTTCAGCATTATACAATGTATTGATTTTCAGACGAGTCCTCACGTATCTCGAGGCGAGTCTGTCGTCGAATTCCTCGTTGTCGCTTTCGTCTGAATCTTCAAGGAGTTTCTTTGGATCCTTGAGGCAGAGTTGAACACTTGGAGCGCATGGAAGATGTCTGATTGATTCTGTAATACTTTCGATAAGATGATCAAGAGATTCTTGGGAGTTGAGGTTAGCCATATTGGAAGGAACAAGGTCAAGCCTGTAATCAGGTCCGTAGTAGCCGAGATAGTCATGGTAAGGAAGCTTATCTTCGATTTCTTCGTCAAGAAGAACAGCTGTTTCGTAAGTCCAGCATCTGGAGACGTTTCTAACTGTATAGCCACCACCGCCTGCAACGAGCATTGGAAGCTTGAAAGATTTGACGTAATTAACGCATTCGCCGTGTCCATGGATAGTAAGGTTGAAAGAACCGAGGCGATCGCCTGTAAGAGAGTCAGCTCCACATTGGAGGAAGATTGCTTGTGGTCTGTACCATTCAATCAAGTGTTTGATAATTGGTTTGAAAATATAATGATAACTCTTATCATCCATGCCATCTTTGAGTGGGACATTTACTGCGTAGTGCCTTCCCTTGCCAAGACCGATATCCTTATCATGCCCTGTACCTGGGAAGAATTCATTTCCGAACTTGTGGAATGAAACTGTTAAAACGCGATCAGTTGTGTAAAAGGCTTCTTCAACACCATCACCGTGATGAATATCGATATCAATATACATGACTCTGTCGTATCTTTCGAGTAATTCTAAAATTCCTAAAACGCAATCAGCAACGTAGCAGAATCCAGATGCTTCTCCCTTCTTGGCATGGTGAAGACCGCCAGCCCAGTTAATGGCAATATCTGCGTGTCCGGAGTTTAAATGGCGCGCAGCTGAAATTGAGCCTCCTGCTGAGCTTTGGCAGAATTCGAAAAGTCCTTCGAATACAGGGGAGTCTTCGCCGACGTTAAATTTATCGAAAAGACAAGCTTGATTCTGTGTATTATCTGGTGTTGCCATTTGAAGGAATTGGATATATTCTGGAGTATGAAATCTTGTTAATTCTTCGACTGTTGCTTTTTTAGGACGATAGATTTGCAATTTAGGGAATAAATTATATGATAGAATAAGATTGTGTGCCATACGTATTCTGTGAGGCTTCATAGGGTGATTGGGCGCATAGAAGAAGTTTCCGACATCTTCATCGTAAAAATAAACAATGCGCTTCTTTTTTTCGTCTGCCATTTATAAATTTAATGAAGGACGATATGTAAACATTTCAATGCGTATTTTGAAATTGATCCCTTTGTGATGAATTTGACGAACTTATTTCATACAATTTAGTTATAAAGGAAATTCGATAAAAACTCAACAATTGTCTGTAATTGAAACAAAACTTTAACAAATTTTAACATCAACACGAACACGATAATGTACATATTCTACATTGGTGGTTTATCACGGAAATTCGAAAAAAATTCAACATTTGTCAATAATTGTAAGCGATCTATAGTGAATCTTGGCATCAACATGACCATGATACTATACATATTCTAATTTATTGATTTATCATGGAAGTTCGAAAAAATTCGAACATCTCTCCACATTTGGATTGCGTTCTCTATAAATCCAGCTATAAGCTGTTAAAAATTACTAAGGTAAGTATACATGATTATATTTTTTATTAAATACAAACAAAAAGAAAGAAAGATAAAATTATAATCGTAACCAAGTTCTATTATAAGGTAGCTTGTCATCCCAACAAAATGTTCTAGATGATGTATAGTCATAATGCAAATCTGATGAATGAGAAGTTTCAAATACGTTCTGAATCTGAAAAAGAGGCATATTGTTATTTGTAATAGTTATAAATATGGAGTCCCGTATAGGAACAACGTCAACTTTATCACATTGGCTCATAAACTGTCTCCCCATGAAATATTTGATTTGGAAATCCATATTTTCAAATTCAGGGAAAAATATTGGTGATTTAATTGACGACATATTAGTAATGCTAAAACAAATCTTAGTAAGTGAATTTTGAGTTGAAATTTCGTACTTTGGATTTGAATTTAGAAAAACTTCAACTGCATACCTTGACATGAGGAATGCTTTGTATGACATCATTTTTACCTCGTTAATCGATGATTTAATAACAATATCTGTTTTTGGATTCGAAATTTCTTGCATATACTTTAAAAATTCTATTAATTGGTCAGTGTCAAGAAGAACATCTGTGTTAACATGAATATACCATTCAATATCTTTATTTGCAGATACAAAATCTCGCATTGATTCTATTATTAAGTCCCATTCAGATTGATCGATTGAAGGGACTCTATTATACACTAATCGAGTGTAATTTTGAAATTGATCGATTGGTTGATATGTATAAATTTTGTAAATCGAAGAATTTGGATTAGAAACGAATTTCTGTCCCCAAATCGCATGAGTTAGTTCTAAGTCCTTTAGATATATATTTCCTAGAATTGTGACTGCAAGAAAAAGGTCGGGAATTTTTGAAATATGTGTAGTTTCTGTTTCTTTTCGAACATTGAACATAACAACGAAAAATATATATGTGATAGGAGATAAAATTAACAAGAAATAAATTACATCATTATGATTCATGGTACGAAATCGTAATTTCATTTTGTCACTTTGAGTCTAAAATATTATCCACCTTTTCATAAAAATTGAATACTTTTGAATGCATATACGGGCATATTATTAAATATAAAATAATGAAAGAGTTAGAGTACATAGGAACCAGGATACTTATTCTATTGTTATGTTCCTTTTTAAATTCAAAGTTAAAACTGTAAGGTATATGTCAATATCTGCTTTCTGAAAATATTAAGTATTTACCTTGAGTTAGTTGAAGCACATATTTAGATATGCTTGCATGTCATAATTCAATGGATTCTGAAAGAAAACTCAGATCGATAAAATCTTTTGAATCAATTTTATTCAACTTCTTTAGAATCCTTCAATGATATTGTTACTCATTAAATTGTATAACTACTAATAGCTTCAAGCATTATCAGATCTCGAAATTGAAAAATTTTAGAAATTATTACAAACGTTCGGAACGAAATTTCATGTTGTTTTAGTTCACATACGTAAAACATACTGATTTACAATTTTTAGAAAAATTACTACGGTCGATAAAAAGTGACGGAGGTTTGGCCTCCCTTTTGTAATGACAGAGCAAACAAAGCTTTTCGTTCCAGCCACATTCGTCTCATTCCGCCGCTCCAAGAGAATCATCAAGCCAAACCAGGCTCTCCTTGAAATCCAGGGTGTTGTTTCCAAGGAAGAAGCTCAGTTCTACGCCGGCAAGAAGGTTGCTTCTGTCTGGAAGTTCGACAAGCAGGAATTCATCAACTGGGGCGTTATCACACAGCTACATGGTAACTCTGGTGTTGTTCGCGCCAAGTTCGAGAAGAACCTTCCACCACAGATGCTCGGCAAGCAAGTTCGTGTTATGCTTTACCCAAGCACAATCTAAGTGAAATAAAATTATATTAGATATTCCGCATTTCAAACTATATAAAAAATACTCTTCATACACAAAATCAAAATAATATTTTTTGGTTACAACCTGAATTATAAGAAATATAACAAATCTATTTAGTTTCATTACAATTTTTTTTTTCATTATTGATTAATTTTTTTCGATATTTTTTATTGTGATTTTGTTATTATTAAAAATTCTTATGAAATTAATATTATGTATGAGAATATTAGAAAGGTTAAAAGACAAATCAATATTAAATAAATATATTTTATAAAAAAAAATCTATATATACTCTAATTTTCTGCTTCATCTGCAGCAGCATCGTCATCATCATTGGCTCCTTCTTCGTCATCGAAATCAGGAATAGCATCGAAACCAACGAAGCAATTTGTGACTAATTTCTGATCATCTTCAGAAATTTCAGTAATTCCAGCAATATGCTTTAACTGTGTTGTAACGGCGAAGTCATCGAATGGATCTCCATCGTATTTGACCTCATTTCCTGTAGCTATTGCAGTAGCGAGTTCAACAACGCTTGGATGGAAATAGTTCATGTACATGTTGAGGATCCATGGGAAAGTAACTGTTGATCCTTCGGATTTCGGAGAATCTGATCTGAAATCATATTTCTTCTCAAGATCTGGATTGACCTTCTTGATCATTGATCTTAATTGTGGCTTCTCTTTGAATAAAGCAGCACAGAAGTACAAAACAGAGACAGCAAACATATCATTCATGTGTAATCCAATATGTAACAAACGATGTAAGAAAGTACATGTAATAGAGTTATCATTCTCTGCCTTAAGAACTTCCAAAAGGAAGTTTAAGATCTGTGGATGTTTATTTGAAGATCCAAGATCAGCAGAGTTGAAGAATTTGTAGAAGAACTCGTAGAATTTAATTGGAATTTCACCATGTGCCCTGTGGATAACGTAAAGTAGCCTAAGAGCTGGAAGAGTTGTAACAATGCTCGAATGTTGGATGTAGCGGTAAAGAGGATCGATAATTTCTTCGACTTCCTTTGGTTCGCACTTGCCGACGCAGTTTTGGACTGATTTCATGAGAGCTGTGATGACTTTATTATTTGATTCGTCTTTTTTATCGAGAATGGCCATGAGTTGCTTACGGGCTGTCTTAAGGACCTCTTTGGCAGTATCATCGCTTCCATTTTTGATGTTGATTTGGCCAATAAACTTGAGAGCTCTTTTTTGAGCTGGTTCTGTAAATTTATTCATGCGAGATTGAAGTACTTTGACTACTTGGTCGCACATGTATGGATGCTGACGTAATACTGTTTGAATTGTTCCTTTGGCGATATTTGAAACTGCTGACAAAGGATCTCCGAATTTATCGATGAGAATGTTGAGATGGACAGCAGAGTTTTCTTTTGTAAGACGGAGGAGTTCACCAAGCTGACGAATAGCGTTATCACGCAAGAATTCTTGTTTTGCACGTGCAGCGCGTTCTAAACGCTTTGTGAACTCGTCAAAGTAGAATTTGAGTCTATCTTCAAAGTAGAAGAGAAGAAGATGGTTTTCTGGAGCATCTTTGAGAGGTTCAACTGCAAATTTACGAAGATTGCGTTTTGGAAGTAAAAATTTTGTATAAATGGAGACACCACAGTTCATTGCATCAACTTGCAATCTTGGTTTGCCAGCAAGAAGTTCATTGATGGTTTTGAGGTATTCAAGCATTTTAAGTGGCTCATCTTGAGCTAAAACTTTGTAAGATGCGAATTTATCCTTTAGTGTACCCTTCTCGAGAATGTTTTCTGTGATTTCATCAAATGATTGCTTCTCAATCCAATTTTGATAATTTTTTTCTGCTCTTTCGAAAGATCTGTTTACTTCATGTGGAGGGACCTTCTCGATTTTGTCTGTCTTCATGTACATAAGTTGATACCAAGGCACGCCACGCTTAAATTCCATTCTAAAATCTTTGTCAGTTTTTTTGCCTCTCAAGGAGACATATGCGAGATTTTCATTGCTTTGAGCTCGAATTTATATTTACCATTTAGTGGAGATAAAAATTCATCATATTATGTTCACTAAATTCATCATTTTTCTTTGAATAAAATTAAATTAAATTTTTTTGAGCTACTGATTTATGATATCAGCTCAATAGATTAAATATGTTCTCAGTTAAATAGTAAAGAGTACTTAAAGATATATTTTTATTAAATAATATAATTAACGCTTGCGGGTGGCACGGCAAGCACCACAGAAGATTGTCCAACCGAAGACAAGGAGGAACAAGCACATGAAAAGAGCGAATGTACCTAAGACAGCGGAAACTCTATAAACTGGCTCTGTGTGGACATATCTGATTGTGTATGAAACTGGTTCTGTAGAAGTAAGGGTGAACTTGAAATAGAAAGGCTTATCTGTTTTCGGATAGGCTGTGATGGTTGTGTATTTTTCTGTTTTAGATTCGCCTCTTGTAGCATTCTTAAATGTCATATCCTTGTATTCTGTCTCACCATAGATTTTACTCTGAACTTTAATTCCGGGTACCTTTTCCGTTGGTAAAATTAATAAAATTGCGGCCTTGTTATCGCCTTGTACCAAATACTCAAAGGAAGGATTAGCGACACCATTCTGATATGTATCATCTAATGGAAGTGGAATACTTGAAAATGCATGACTTAAAAATAAGCTTAGCATCTTACAATTAGAAAAGTGACACGTCTACAAAAATTTACAGGAAACCATCGGATTTTAGAAAATTCACAGCCTTTTTCAAAGCATAATCATAATTTTCAGTCAAAAAGCTGATAATTTTACGATCAGACCGAAATTCAGCCAAAATTAGTAAGAAATGAACCGAGAATTTTGGCAAGATGGAAGAACTTTTAAGAACCTTCTTTATGACCATATAATCCGATTGAATTTCAGCTTTGATAGCTTTAAGTTCGGCATGGCAAATTGATTTTAATTGCTAAAGACATGAGTTCAACCTCACAAACATATCGGAACAGTCTTAAAATACCAGGGATCAACAAATATCAATTCCGAAAATGTATTTTTAAGAATTTCGCACAAAAAAAATTCAATATAGCCAAAATTTTAATAAAACATGCACATTTTATGCGAAGAAACCCAAATGGCAAAATATTCTTACAAATCCTATATTATAAACAACAAATTTTGCATATAAATCATCATTGTAAAAAAGATATTAGATATTCTAAAAAATATAAAAGATATATAGAACACATAGTCTGTATAACCTCATCAATATCGTGAATTCTTTCTTACTTGATAACATCTCTTTATTGTAAATGAAATTTTAAGATGGAACGTGTGGCTACATGTCAAAGAAACAGGCAGCCGTTCTATCCCATCCCATATTTGTAGAATAGATTTTTTGGTGAAGAGAAACGATCCTTCCACCGTGGTGTTATTCTTTTATGTCAGACCAAAACATATCGTCCTATAAAAAAAAAGAATAAGAATAATTAATTAGAGTGGCGTCTTCGCCTGTAAACCAACCAATTCCCTCAAATTTCGAGAGATAAACTAGAAGAATATTATTATTTCAAGATTCATCAATGCCCGTTAAAGTTTGGGCAAACCCAAATTTTAGCTAAAAGTGACAGGGGAAAAAACGTTTAGTATGAAAAAAAAGACCGATGAGAGCTTCGTTCGAAATATAGAGGGAACTGAGAATGCGCAACCATTCTCAGGGAATATTGGATGCTATTCCCATTCCCTCTGTATGGAAAATTGAGGTTTTCAAAGGGAGTTAAAATAATATCAAATTTATACTAATTTACTTCAAAATACAAAAGTATTTGACAGCTAAAATTAGTTACTTTAGCAAGCCTATCAATACCCTTTTACGATTATTGCTACTTTTTCGAAATAAAAGTAAAAACAAATTTATACTAATTTACTTCAAAATACAAAAGTATTTGACAGCTAAAATTAGTTACTTTAGCAAGCCTATCAATACCCTTTTACGATTATTGTTACTTTTTCGAAATAAAAGTAAAAACAAATTTATACTAATTTACTTCAAAATACAAAAGTATTTGACAGCTAAAATTAGTTACTTTAGCAAGCCTATCAATACCCTTTTACGATTATTGCTACTTTTTCGAAATAAAATAAATTTATTATCAAAAACCTTTTTTTTCTTAGTAAAAATAAACGAAATTTTTTACCTTATGAACTTTTGATGGAAATATGCAAATTTAAAATAATAAAGAAAGCCGCGAGCGAAGCGATCGGCTTAGTTCGAAGATTTTGATTCAAATCTTTGCTGATCTGTAATTCGCGGAAGCCGCGAGCGAATCGAGCGGCTTAGGTCTAAGATTTTGATTCAAATCTTTGCTTATATTCCTTAAATTCTTTATGAAACTCGCAACAGTTCCATAAAAAAATTTTAAATTCTAAACTGTCGAAATTACCGATCGGTAATCACACCCGTGAAGGGTGTGTCACTTTTTACAGGTGTGTCACTTTTAGCTAAAATTACCCCTACTCTTAAAGTTTGTTATGTCATTGACACAAGTACTCGCATATCAACCAACAATAGCTCCCAGATTACACGAAGAAGAAATATGCCAAAATAAGATAATGCAAAGATGACAGGAGCTATAGCCAGAATAAGAAAAATATTATAATATTATAATAGGATCAGTTATAATAATTCCTATTGTTTATATCGCCTTAATACCAGAAAAGAATTTGAAACTTATGAATCCACTGATGTAGCAAAAGATGACATTAGAGATGTTTAAAAAAGAATCAATTTCTAATTTGAAAATAAATCTCAACCCATCTCCATCAAATCCTCAGAATAAACACTTATATCTCAAAAAGCCATTTAATTCTGCTTTTTCAAAGGCTTATTAAATGCTTATGGAAAATCAAGCCTATAAAAAATCCATCAAGATTTAGATAATTCCAGAAAATAAAAACCGATTCACTCAATCTTTTTATTATTTAAAAAAAGGATATGTTATCCTGTTAGATGAAATCTGCAAATTCTGGAAAAAATCCATGTCTGTGTAAATAATTCAAATTGTGTCACATTTTTCATAATGATTTCTGAGAACAAAGACATGAAAATCAGCTATGAAGACCTTATCAATAGGTTCAAAAGTCATGTTGAAGTACTTACAGCAATATTTTGTCTCAAAGCAACAAGAGAGGAAGAAATCCAAGCAATTTATCAAAAATTCAAGAATTGCTTTTTCGACACAAAAATTTTCACCCCAATTAAATTATATCTCTTCATTACAAACGCATTCATTTACAATAATAGATGCTTACGATCTTATATAAAACTTTTGAAGATTGCATATGAAGAATTTTAAGTCAATCCAGAACCATACATTAGTCCTGTTTTATATTATTTCTTTTATCAGGATTATGGATTACCAGTAAGTACAAAGAACAAAAAACTTTTCCATATTTATCATGCACAAAATTACACAATTGATGTTCATGAAGAAAACACAATTCAAAGGGCAATTATGGATGATGACAAAATATCATTAGTTTCATTTACGAATAAGCCTGATTTTGATATAAACCAATGGTTCAAGAGTGATTTTTATCCTGATTATGAAATGTCTTTAATCGAATTATGCTGCTATTACGGGGCTGTAAGCTGCTTTAAATTCTTATGGCAAGAACTAGGTGCAAAAATCACTTTAAAATGCCTTAATTATTCGTTTTTGGGTGGAAATCCTGACATAATGAACAAATGCTTGAAGAAATGTCAACCAAACGAAGAATGTATGTCATACGCAATAATTTCACACAACATTGACTTTTTTACATTTTTACTGAACGAATATAGCTCTATCAATGTTGATTTATCTGACTTTGCCACGTATCAAAATATCTTGGCATTTTTTGCATATCTTGACAAGACACAAGATATTAACAATTGTTTCGTTCTTTCACCACTTTTCTTCATTCCTTCTCTTGTGGAATATTTTGTTTCACATGGTGTTGACACAAATGCGAAAAATAGTGAAGGAAATACAGCTCTTCATAATGCTTGCAATTTGGTGAACAAGCAAACGTTCGAAATTCTTATTTCCAATCATGCAGATATCAATGCAACAGATAATAATGGAAATTCAGTACTTCATTATGCAACTTTGAATAATAATATTGAAAGAATAAGATTTCTTGTTTCACAAGGAATAAGTATCAATATCAGAAATAAATTTGGCGACACACCACTTCATTTATGCGCAAAAAAATCATTACGATCTATAGATACAGCAAAATTCCTTCTTTCATGTGGTGCAGATATAAATGCCCAAAATAATGAAGGTGAAGCTCCTATTCATCATTCTTCAAATTACAATGAGAAAGAATTTGTAGATTTGCTTCTCTTAAATGGTGCCAATATCAATGCAAGAAATAAAAATGGAAATTCAGCTCTCCATTCTGCTCTATATAAGAAATGCAGTGAAACTGCCGTATTTCTGATTTCAAAAGGAATTAATATAAATTCAAAGAATAATCTGGGAGAAACTCCACTTCATATTGCCGCACTCTCCAATGAATTAAAAATAGTTAAATTCCTTTTAACAAAGGGAGCAAACATTAAAGACTTAGATAATGAAGGACGTTCAGTTTTGCATTTCACGGCAATGAGAGGTAATATATGTGTATGCAAGTATTTTATTTCTCTCAACTTCGACAAAAATATAAAGGACTATAATGGAAGAACACCAATTCATTATGCAACAAAATCTGGCTCAACAGATTTGTTGGAATATCTTTTATCAATTGGTTCGGATATCGAAGCAAAAGATAACACAGGAAAAACTGCACTTCGTTTAGCTGCAGACAGATATAATACAAGTTTAGTGAATCTCCTTATTTTGCATGGTGCAGATGTCAATACAAAAGATATTAATGGTGTAACACCTCTTATTTATTCGGCAAAATACTGCAAAACCAAAATAGTAGAAATTCTTATTCAAAATGGTGCAAATATCGAAGCAAAAGATAACAAAGGAAAAACTGCACTTCGTTTAGCTGCAGACAGACATGCTACAAGTTTAGTGAATCTCCTTATTTCGTATGGTGCAGATGTCAATACAAAAGATATTAATGGTGTAACACCTCTTATTTATTCGGCAAAATACTGCAAGACCGAAATAGTAGAAATTCTTATTCAAAATGGTGCAAATATCGAAGCAAAAGATGAAACTGGTAAAACTGCTCTTCAATATGCCCAAAATAATAGGAGTCAAGAAATAATTCGGCTTCTTCTTGCAAATGGCGCAAATGATTATAATTTTAAGCTGTGGGTGAAAAAAGGTTTTCTTTGCAGGCTATCATAATAGGTTCAATCAATCAATAATTATTGATTCTCTTATTATATATATATATGATGAAAATTTATATTAATAGGTTCGTATATTCATTTTCATTATAAAAATGCAAGATTTTATGCAATTACTTGTTTTTATGACTGATGTTAAGCCATGTCGGCCTATTTGATAAATTATTGAGCATAAAACTTCGAAATATTGCCAGGATATATAAGTACTTCGAAATTATTGATTATAGGTATGATGTGTGATATCAAAATCTATACACATCTATTTTTATAGCTAATTTTTGTAATATTTGTGATAAAATGCCAGAAATAAAAGATATCTTGAATGTATTTGAATTTCTATCAAGAAAAAAAATTCATTGTTTTACCCAGATTTTCCTTACTTTTACCACCTCTCTAAAGCTGGGGACACCGCCTATCGTTGGGAGTAGCTATTAAATAGAACCACCAAGGGTATTTTTCGAACTGCCGGTGTAGTGGAAACATCCGACATAATGATTCATTATGCCAAGGTTTGATTCCCATTTAGCCAATTTTTTTCTTTTTTGGATCATGAATTTTTTTTGGGTCACTATAAGATTTGTTTCATGTTCTAAATCTGCTGCATATGTAATCTATTTTTATTTACCTATTTTTTAAAAATCTATTGGATTGCCAAATTTGAATATATTTAAAATCATAAAAATCCAAAAAAACTATAAATATATGTTTTATGCATAGTGCCGATACTCAAATATCAGATTACTTAGATCCATGAATAATATCCGAATTTTTTTTCTTAAAATTAAACTTCAAAACTTCGTCCAATCTTATTCTTCATCTATTGTAAATTTTTAAAACCATTTTTTAAAATAATTTTGCGTAAATTTTATTCTCATGTTGTTTTAATCGAAAATTGATACATTTTCAAAAAAATAATATTGACTTATGAAATTCATTTTTAAGGTGAAATAGTATTGTTTTTATTAAAGTATATGAATAATATATAAAAAATTAATGAATAATATAAGCAGATTTTTAGTTTACAAAACAAATATGAGCAATGCAATTTCAAACTTTTGCTGGCAATTTCGATATTGCTCAAGTTTGTAGTATTTGTGATACCTATAACATCGGCTTAATCAAAATTCGATTTTTCTTATGAGTTATTGAGAAAATTTGATTGCAATGAGAAGGATTTCGACGTTTTTGATAAACTAAGAGCTGAGCTTTAGGGGTTCAGTTCATTTATGGCTGTAGTTTGATGCGTAGATCTCTTTTTTATTGTAAATTCTTTCAGCATGGAGATCGAGAATGAATCTTTTGAGAACTTTATGAGTTTTTACACCCGTAAAGAGGTCCTTCGAGGAAAGATAGTCCAGACTACATGAAGATGTGGGTTAACCAAAAAAATCCGATGGTTTCCCCATATTCATGTAGATCTTCGAAAAAATGAGCACCAAAAAAGCCAAAAAAATAGGCTTTTTATTGGATTTGTACACTAGATCAATAATCTATTTAGGATCTGACACTCTTTTTAGCCAGAGATATGAGGTCCTTTCTAGGAAAACGATCTATTCATCCATAAAAAAAATGAATTATCGTTTTCCCCAGAAATTACATGGGGAGTGGTAAAAGTAAGGAAAATCTGGGTAATTTCAATACAAAATGATGATTAAAAGTTTATTTTATTAAATTACATTAAAAGTGATTCAGCAACATCGTCGTAATCGTCTTTTCCTTTTTGATCTTCGTCCTTTAATAAATTATCTGTAGTTCTTGATATATAAACTTCGCCAGAGTTCAAAAACAAAGGCATTCCGCCGTCGCCATCTTCGCCTTCTTCTTCATCAGGATCTATAACATCGTAATGATCTTTACTATAAATATCATCATCGTCGTCAGATCTGTTCATTGCTTCAACGAAAACGTCGTCGGCAGTTTCATCTTGGATCTTTATGTCATCAGGAATCTCACATCTCTCGGATTGCTTGAGAACCCTTAGTAAATCGTTGGTTCTAAGCAAAGATGCAAATTTGGCCGCATTATTACCTTCATTATCAGTGACATAAGTATCTACATTGTCACTATCTAAGAAGGTCTTAACTGTTTCAAGGTCGCCAATCTGGCAGGCCAAGAGGAAAGCGGTCATTCCGTTTTTGTCTTGGACATTTGGAGAAGCGCCAAATGTTAAGAGCAGTTTAGCAACTTCTGATGCCCATGAAACTACTGCTACCATCAAAGCTGTCTGTCCTTCATCATTAATAGCATCAAGATTTACATCATGCTCTAAAAGTGCATGAACAAGGCTCGGATGGTTAAGGCGTGCGGCAATATGCAAAGCAGTATCATGCTTGTTGTCTGTTATGTCTTGGAAGTCAACATTATTTTCGAGCATAAAACTAACAACTTCTTTTCGGCTCCAAAAGACTGCCGTTAAAAACGGTGTCTGGCCTAAATCATTTTGGCTGGAAAACAATTGTTTTGTTTTTTCATTGTCTATAAAAAGTGACAAATGACGAATGGAACCAATTTGAGCGGCAAAATGAACAGATGTCCATCCTCTTTTATCTTTGATGGTTGGATCTGCTCCGCGCTCGAGTAATTCGTTTAATATTGTCTCGTCGTTTCCAATAACTGCTGTAGATACGATTGGACGGTGATTATTTGGTAAAATGTTTGGATCTGCGTTGTTATCGAAGAGAACTCTAAGTAAATGTAAGTTCTTTGTCTCACAAGCAATGACAAGAGGCGTACGGCCCATGTTATCGCGTGCATTTATGTCTGCTTTTTCTTTAATGAGTAATTCAACGATATCTGGGTTATTTTTGAGTACGGCAATGTGTAATGGTGTGTTACCGAGTCTGTCTGCATGCTTTAAATCTGATTTTTGTATGTAATATGTGACGATATCCAAATGATTAAATTCGCAAGCGTATAAGAACGGAGTTTTTCCGAATTTATCATCTAATGTGAACATTTCTGGTTTTATTGACTCAAGGATCTTGAGAACTTCGAGATGTCCATTTATTGCGGCAATATGACCAACAGATCTATCTAATCTGTCGAGTTCTAAGAATTTATCAATTCCGAATGTCTCATGCATGTATTTAAGTAAGTCAACGCAACCGGATGAAGCTGCAAAGTGTACAATGGACCAATAGTTATGATTTGCATCGTTATCTTTGAATTCATCGTTGATATGTTTCTTTACAATATTGTCGAGGCATTGCGATGCTGCTAATTGTGTATATGAAATAAAAGATTCGAAAGAAGTATCGTAGCATTTGTTATCTATTAAGTATTCAACGATATCTATATGTCTGTTGTAAATCGCGTAGTGGAGAGGCGACCATCCGATGATGTTTAATGAGTCCATGTGGTCTTCGAATTCGTGCAATGATTTGATGATTTCTAAATTGCCGTTGATAGCAGCAAGAAATGCTGGTGTAAATCCTTCATTGTTTTTAACATCTGGAACAGCTCCTTTTGCTAATAATAATTTTACAGCGGGTAATCTATTATATTTTACGGCGTAATGAAGTGGTGAATTACCTAATCCATCAATTTCGTTTAATTTTGTAACATCATTCAGTATTGAAGAAATTATTGATTCGTTACCACCTGCAGCTGCGAAATGGATAAGAGAAAGTTTAGATTCTGACGCGGATATATATGGTGATTGGTTCTTCAGATAGAAAAAGCACTTAACAGAGCCGTAAAAGGCTGCAACTTGAGTTGGAGTGACATTATTCATCAAAATTTCGGGAGTATCCTCAAGCGGAAGGTTCGTAAGTGGTTTTTCTGATCTGACATTCATTAAATACGAAAGATTATCTTGTTTAATAGCAAAAAACACCTCGTAATCACGAAGCATTTTTTTTATAGTTTACAGAAGAAATTTACAAATTTTATATTTCAAAAATTAATCTAGAAGATAAATAATATATAGTTGAAATTAAAATGTAAATGTAACAATTTTTACATCGTTTTGTAAAATTGATTTACGTGTCATAAATTTCATCAGAAATTTTCAAAAATTATGGGCAAAAAATAGCTATCAGAGTTGCAGAATTGATTTCAATCGAATAACTCCTATCAAGAGAATTCATTTTTCTTACAAACTATTGTTTTCAGAGAAGATTTAAATTGTGTTCAATTATTTTAATGCGAAGACTCTGTATTTCATAATGTATTCATTACAAAAAATTTGTATATATTAATGTTTCATAATTTATAAGGTTGAAAAAGAAAAATATTTATCGATAAAAATATATTTTTAAGGAAATATCGAATGGCGATCATGCCATCCAATTCTGCATAGCACCAATAATCTGAGAGTCACGGTGAACGTAAGTATAACCTGTGCCTCCTGGATATGATTGTGCTGATGGGTTGTAGGCCTTAATATATGGGCGATCTCTGCATCCACCGCATGTAACTGTGCACTTATCACATGTTGACATGCCATCTGGGATACCCATTGCGCCGTTAGAGTTCCTGTAGTAGGATGAAAGGATTAATCTGATTGGGTAGTCATTCTTGTTGTTGTTAGCTCCTGGTGGGTTATTGAAGAGCATTAATTCGTAATTTCTGTGATTCTGTGGTGCGCAGCCCTTAATAAGAACGCAGCCAGAATCGTGCATATCTCTTGATGATGAGCCATCATTCTGTTGATCGTGGTCATCGTTTTCAATAACCTTACGTCTGATATCAATGGATCCAGCATCGTTCCATGGCTCTGTTGGATATCCACTCCACCAGATCTTGATCTTAAGAATTTCATCATCAGAAAGACCGTTCTTCTTAAGATACTTTGTAAGACCACCAGTGAATGAATAGTCACCATCACCTTGGACTAAGAGATATGATTCACCACCAGTCAAAACTTCTAACCATGAGATGAAATCATCTGGTAATCTGCCACCTAATCTTTGCTTAACCTTTCCAAAGATAGCAGCTAAATCTTCTGGTCTGATGTGCTTAGCAGCATCAATTCTGTAGCCAGAGAAACCAATGGAGATGAGATCGATCATGAAATCAGCAATTCTCTGTCTGACATAATCCTTTGATGTATCTAAGTCAGATAAGCCTGTAAGCCAGCCACTGTTGAGGATGTTTGGATCACTCCACGATCCGAGAGCCTTGTCGCAGTGGAAATCTTCTGGGCCGTATGGAACAGCTGGGAATTCTAAAACGTTTGTGCCTCTGCCAGTATTTGGATTGATTTCATAGGTGTATGCTGGTGTGTAGTATGGAGAACCATTCTCATAAGCAGAAGATGTCTTGTTGCCCCACTTTGTGCATCCAGCTCCTGGATTTCTGTGGCTGGAAAGATCATTACCGTTACCAGACATGTGGTTAACAACTGCATCAGCGTAAACTCTGACACCAACAGCTCTGCACTTGTTGATCATGTTTCTAAGTTGGTCGCGAGTACCCATTCTTCCTTGAAGTCTGTATGAAACTGGCTGGTACATGAAATACCATGGGTTCATTTCGCCATTGAATGGTTGGTATGACATAACTTGTTCCTGGTGTGGGAAGACCTTGACACCTAAGTAGCCTGCATCAGCGAGGAACTGGCATTCCTGAGCGATATCATCATCTGGCCAGCCGAACATTTCAACAATAGCACCCTTTTGGCCATTTCTGTAATCGAATCTTCTTGATTTGATTGGAGCAGCATTCCAAGCAAAGTCAATGCCATCAAGTTCAAGAACTTCACCAGAAGCAGCAATAACCTTGACTTTAAGGACCTTGTTGTAAGAGGAATCAAATGTCTTTGAATTTGAATATTGAGCAACACCATCAAAGTAGTATGTGAGTGAGAGGGACTTTGATGTCTTTGTGATGATGTTAACTGTGCAGGACTTCATTCCGGAAGCGTACTTGAGTTGAGCATAACCAGTTAATGTAGACATATCCTGGAAGCCTGGTTTCCAACGATCTTCACCGCGCTTTGGTGTATTCCACTTGTTCTGGAAGTACTTGGAATCCATGTCACCGGAATTACCATTGCAAGAGAATGTTTGATAAGTATTGCAATTATCAAGTGTATCATATTGATTTGAGATAGCAACTGGTTTGGATTTGAATGCGAATGTGCAAACCATACCAATTATGACACCAGTTAAGATGCCACCAGCAGCAACAGCACCAAGAAGAAGATGTTTCTTGTTGATGGAAATATTGCGTGACTTTCCATCTCTTTCTACGCTCTCCATGTCGCCCTGAGAGCCGAGAAGAGGATCATCATGAACATCAGCCATTTTAAATAATGATGTGAGATGCTAATTTTTTTATATGGCACACAATTATGGCGATCCTATTGAAAAGTTTTCTACCAGGTTCAGAAAAAAAATTAATTTTGAATTACCCAGATTTTCCTTACTTTTACCACTCCCCATGTAATTTCTGGGGAAAACGATAATTCATTTTTTTTATGGATGAATAGATCGTTTTCCTAGAAAGGACCTCATATCTCTGGCTAAAAAGAGTGTCAGATCCTAAATAGATTATTGATCTAGTGTACAAATCCAATAAAAAGCCTATTTTTTTGGCTTTTTTGGTGCTCATTTTTTCGAAGATCTACATGAATATGGGGAAACCATCGGATTTTTTTTGTTAACCCACATCTTCATGTAGTCTGGACTATCTTTCCTCGAAGGACCTCTTTACGGGTGTAAAAACTCATAAAGTTCTCAAAAGATTCATTCTCGATCTCCATGCTGAAAGAATTTACAATAAAAAAGAGATCTACGCATCAAACTACAGCCATAAATGAACTGAACCCCTAAAGCTCAGCTCTTAGTTTATCAAAAACGTCGAAATCCTTCTCATTGCAATCAAATTTTCTCAATAACTCATAAGAAAAATCGAATTTTGATTAAGCCGATGTTATAGGTATCACAAATACTACAAACTTGAGCAATATCGAAATTGCCAGCAAAAGTTTGAAATTGCATTGCTCATATTTGTTTTGTAAACTAAAAATCTGCTTATATTATTCATTAATTTTTTATATATTATTCATATACTTTAATAAAAACAATACTATTTCACCTTAAAAATGAATTTCATAAGTCAATATTATTTTTTTGAAAATGCATCAATTTTCGATTAAAACAACATGAGAATAAAATTTACGCAAAATTATTTTAAAAAATGGTTTTAAAAATTTACAATTGATGAAGAGTAAGATTGCAAGAAGTTTTGAAGTTTAATTTTATGAAAAAAAATTCGGATATTATTCATGGATCTAAGTAATCTGATATTTGAGTATCGGCACTATGCATAAAACATATATTTATAGTTTTTTTGGATTTTTATGATTTTAAATATATTCAAATTTGGCAATCCAATAGATTTTTAAAAAATAGGTAAATAAAAATAGATTACATATGCAGCAGATTTAGAACATGAAACAAATCTTATAGTGACCCAAAAAAAATTCATGATCCAAAAAAGAAAAAATTTGGCTAAATGGGAATCAATCCTTGGCATAATGAATCATTATGTCGGATGTTTCCACTACACCGGCAGTTCGAAAAATACCCTTGGTGGTTCTATTTAATAGCTACTCCCAACGATAGGCGGTGTCCCCAGCTTTAGAGAGGTGGTAAAAGTAAGGCAAATCTGGGTAAAACAATGAATTTTGGTCAAAATTGAATAGTGGTAACTCTGTCGCTTCAAATAGGTTATTTAGCCAAATCTCTACCGACTCTATATAAGGTTACGAGTCCTGCTGCATTTTATACCGGAAATAACCATTTCACTGAATGATAATATTTTTTTATCAAAATAGAATTGCTTGGCCAAAATTCATGCAATAAGAACCAATCAAAGTCATTTGAGAATAAGACACTTCGTATTTTGATGATCTATTTTACTTATTGCTTTCGTTTCTCTGTATCGCTCTTGAAATTGTTTCAGCATTTATCTCTAGCTCAACATGTCAGTCGGAATTGCAAAATATGAGATTTATCTATGAGATATTTATGAAAAATTTAACAAATATCCTATTTATAGATGTACTAAATGAGAAATAGCTGTATATATGTAATGATAAAGATATTTACCAGCTAAATAGTCTTATATGCAATTTTGAAAATTAGAAATAATTTCTATAAATTTTGTGGAATGGTTATGATCGATGATTAATATACAAGAAATTAACGATATTCAATACATTAATTGTGAATTTTTGTAAAGAAATGGTTGAGATATCAAATTGTAGATAAGATTACGCTTGGAAATAAGAAAACAAACAGCATCAGTGAATTTAAATATTATCTAATATAATATTTTAGATGATAGAAAATAATATAAAACATTTTTTTTTCTTTTCAATAAAAAACACAAAAAGTGAAGCATAATTAAACGAATATGTAAACACATATACCAAATATCGGTTCTTTGACAAAGAATTTTCCGATATATCATTAAAACTTCAAATTTGCTTGGAAATCAATCAGAGTTATCAAGATTTGAAGTAATAAAAGGATGGCGGAGGGCCTCTGCAGCCGAAATTCTCTTTTCGGGGTCAATTGTTACGCATTTCATCAAAAGGTCAATAAACATCAATCTTTGCTCCCTTACTTCAGGTGGAAGTTCATTCAGATCTGGGTATCTGTAAGTTAAGATGTTTTCGGCGATTGTCTTATAAATAAGGCAATTCTTCCAATCCTCGATGTTCTCCATGTTTTCTTCAGCGAGTCTTTCCGCGGATTTCATTGTCCCGTCATGAAGGAAGAAGGAAAGCCTTCTGCTGCTTTTCTCGATCATATGTTGCGGAAAAGGCCCAACCATGCTGTTAATTATGTAAAGCATCTGTACCTCCGTGTTCCCAGGGAACAGTGGCACACCGACCATCATCTCGAATGCAGCAACTCCAAGTGACCAGATATCGATTTTACAGCCATATTCAAGGCGTAGTAAAACTTCCGGTGCTCTGTAGAATCTCGACTGCACGTAGACTGGATTGGTGCGACCCTCGAGGCCAGCGCAATGATAATCAACGACAATGAACTTATTCGGATCATTTGCGGACTGAAGAATGTTTTCTGGTCTGATATCCATGTGGATAACGCCAATGGAGCTTATGTCATCAAGCGTAATCAAAACCGATTTCATAATGTTTTGTATAGTTTTTAGTGGCATTCCCTCCAATTTCTTGTCTAAAAGTAGTTGATATACTGATGGACCAAGGAGATCCATGCAAATACATGGGAATTCCTTCGTAATGATTGTGTTTCTGTAGTATGATAAGTTGTGTTCGTATAAAATTTTGCAATTTGTCTTTAACTGTGTGTTAGATTTTGCTAAAAAAAGTACCAGCACAAAAAATAATATGTGCTGGTACAAAAGATACATACGTATTCTAATACATTTGCTTCAAAAATTATTGTTTGAGCGTGCTGAATTAATGCTGGTATTTTCACCGCATAATATTCGCCTTGATTCCCGGAGTTGTCTTCATCCGTAGCTTTGTAAACACGGGCAAAAGTCCCGGTCGCAATTTTGGAAATTATGTTGACTTTCCGACCATTCTCATCTTGAATTACGTCACCCTTGACAAGAGGGAGCTGACATCTCTGATGAACCTGCTCGCGCTTCTCTTCCTGCTCTTGATCACGGGAATTCATTGAGAAAAGTTTTTAATCCCTAACAAAAACCGGTTTCTCTCAAAATATGGGTTCAACCATTTATACTTGGTTAGATGGTGGGGATGGTATGCATGCAATATGTAATTTTATTTTATAAACTGAAATCATTATATTGCAACGGAAAAAGAAAAATTTCAATTTCAAAATCTTTGAAATCAACTTGAAAATAATAAATTACTTTCATGTAACAAAAGCTCATATGATATTTGTAGTCCAATTCCACAACCACTCAATTTCGATAATTTATTTTTGCGAATCCATGAGTTATTTTCATGTCTCTCAAATCATTCATATTCTCTTATATGATTTAATATGTTATCAGATGAAATCATAACAAATAAACGTTTATTTTACAAACAATATTAACAAATTTGCGCTACTAAGTCATAATCTTCTGCTTTATCAAGCATCTGAGAAATAAAATCATTCCAAATATTGATTTTATTAACATTATCTAATGTTTTTTGAGATCTGTTTAAATCATTAACTAACTTATTGATATCGCTTTCAAAATTGCTTAAATAATCGGTGAACTTCTGAATTAGATCTGCTCTTTTAAGATCATTTGCGTTGATTTGAGTTTTGTCAGCAATTTCTGAGTATTCTTTAGTTTTGTCCTGTAATAAAGAACTCTTAAAAGCAACTTTGGATTGTGTTGCTGCAAGTTTAGATTCAAGTCTAGTGACTTCTGTTTGTAATGAAGCCATGGATTTGGATCTGCTTTTCATTGGACTTGAAACGATTTCGGATGAAAATGTTGATGATAGAACTGTAGTACGGCGATATTCCGAATTTATGAACGAGTTTCGTATTTCTTCTGTCTTAATTTGAGCTTGAAGAGTTTTGTTCGAGTCTTGGACAAAATTTAATTTTGATTTATAGCCATCAATAAAGATATTCTGACTTCTAGCTACTTCTTGAACATCTTTATCATTTTCGAAATGCTTAAGAGATTTCACATTCTTATATGACGAAATAATATTCTTTTCATCTTGATGTGCCTCGTTGATTTGCGTTTTTAGCTTTTTATACTCTGTACTCATTTCTTGTTGCTTATTTTCATATTCTTTATCATCATTTTCCATGTTTTCAAATTCAATTTGTGTTGAATTAAAAACAGATAAGCTTTTTTCAGTTTCTTTATCAACAACTAGAATTTCTTGGTCTATTTTATTTAAGTCGTTCTTAATATCTATTTCTTCATCTTGTGATTTTTCAATTATTGTTTCTGTTTCAAATTGTTCGATATCTGTCTGTTTTTTAAGTTCACGTGTAGTCATCAATTCTGTTTGAACTTCATTTGTCCGGTCTTTTGCTCTTTTGTTTGATGTTTCAATGTTTTTATAGAAATCAATTCTTGCTTGAATGGCATCTGTGTACTTCTTTTTCTCTTGAAGAACCTTGTTGTATTCACTATTCTGAATATCATCTACTTTCCTTCTTTCTTCTAATTGGGAGTTTACAGTTGAAAATTTCACATCTATTCCTTTTATTCTTTCTTCAATTGAAGCTATCTTATTTTGCTTATGTTTGAATTTCCGTTGGAGATCGAATTGAAGTTTCTCAATTGTATCTGCTCCATTCTTGTATTTCTGTATTTTTGAGGTGGCCTGAGTTTTGAACTTATTATACTCTATATTATCAAGCTGTATCCTCTGATTTAATTGATTTAATGTTTGAGTTGTTGATTCTACTTGACTTTTAAGTGAAATCAAGTTATTATTGATATTTGTAATGCTTTTGTTTTGATTCTGGATTCTGGTGGTAATAGGTTCTATTGATTTCTTTGATTCATTCAGCTGTTTTGAATATTTATCGAGATCTTCCTGATTATTAGTATTTATATCAGTATTACTCAAACTCTTATTAATATCATCCATTACAGTTGAGAATTTATCTAATTCGCTGGTATTTTCATCGAGTTGTTTAGTAGCTTGATCAAATACGTGTTTATTTGCTTCAATACTTTCGGAATTAGCTTGATATCGTTCTAAAATCAGGCTATATTCTTCATTTAAATCTTTTTCGTATTCCTCGAGCTCTTTAATCTGTTCGTTATAATCTGTTTTGAAATCCTCGCGATCTTGCTTTAATTGTTTATCAATATTAATAAGATTAGTAGCGTAAATGTTTAAAGTTCCTGTTCTTTGTTTGATTTCTTCAACTTGTATTCTGCATTTTTCAGCAAATTGTCGTAAAGTTGCTTCTTTAAAATTTATTTCAGATATTCGAGCTGATACATCATCTGGAACATTATCTAAACTTTTTTTCACTGCAACATACTCATTAACGGAATCATTCTCACTATCCATGGTATATTGCAAAATTGAGATCTCTAAACGTACACTTTTAAAAAATTCAATTGGAATGAATAATGAGGTTCCTCTATGTAAGGATGCAGACTTGGCAATTCTGAGTAAGGGTTTCGTTTTGCGAAAAAAACGTACAATATGCAATTTCGCTAAAAAAACATTTAGCTAGCAATTTCGACCTTTGACTCCACTCAAGACGTCACTTTTTTAATTTTGCGGTATCATATTTTTGGAAAATCTTTATGAATATTATATAAAAAGTCTCTTTAATATCTATATTTCATATTTTTATCGATTTTTAAAGTTTTTGCGAAAAGTATTCAATTATTTTTGCTATTTGGTCGGGTAAATGTCAGATTTGCGACATTTTCTGATATGATATTCAGATTCTACGTTGATAATAATGCTTATAGAACCCTCTTGCTATTGTGTCAAAATTGCGAAACCGATAGCAAAAATATCTCGCAATATCAAAATTGAGATATTGAGTGAATTATGCATTATAGAGATTAAAAATCTGATTTGTGAAAACATCTCATCAGTTTCTAGCTAATTCAAAAATCTTTACTATCTTATTTGATTAAAATGAAAAGGGAATAGTTTCATTATGCTTTAAATGACAGCCTTATAATATAATCATAGTTTTCGCTCAATATGCAGCATTTTTTTTCGAAATCTATGGTCAATGTCCTAAATACTGATTGCTTTGCATTCATATCTCTTACATTTTCTATACCCACATCACTATTCATTGCTATTCCTATCTTTTTCATTTTTGTTTGTTTCTCATAATTTCTCAAAAAACACGATAACTTGATATTTGTAAATATCATACTTTATAACGTAAATAAGAACTTGACCTATTAAGAAAAGCAGTAATGAAAAGAAAATCTGAAATTCATAAAAATTACAAGTTTCTGATGACAATTAGCTTAATTAAACCAGGTACAAGATTATATAATTGTATTTTCTATCCAATTATCCATATAATATCTTATCCAGAAAAAATAACTTGATCAATACCAAATGATTTTTTAACTAGTAAATAAAGTATTTTCTTTACACACACATTGTATATCATAGTTTTTTTTTTTTGGTTTCGCAAAACATCCAAAAACAAATATGCTATAAAAGTGACAATTTTAGCAAAACGAAACCCTTATTCTGAGGTCATTTTGGCAATTCTTAAAAAATTTCCGGCGAAATTGGCGTCCGAAGGGCGCCAATTTCGCCCAATAAGATACATATATCATAGTTATTAGTATTTGGTTTTAGGACCTATTTTTTTCTCCTTTTTCTTCATTTTATTTTTAATTATATTGTATTTTAATTTCTATGTGAAAAATAAATCACACTCTGTTCATTTTGATGAGAGTCCTCTGCTATATTTTGTGAGCAGTTAAAAAAAATATTTTAAAAAATTATTCGAAATATAATAACAGAAATGCATTATCTTATTGAGAATTGAATATTAGTTCAACAAATGTATCATATTCACAAAAGAACTCCGCAAAACAGTTCAAATGATTAATATTATTACATAATAATCAAAAATTTACATAATAATTCATGTAAGAAGGCCATCTCAGATGTAAGAAAGAATTTAGTCTTAAATTCATGTTGATTAAACGAAACAATAAGTAAAAATATATTGCATTTTTAATAAATGAGTCTGATTTGATTTTACGTGTAGTTAAATATGTTTCAGTGTCATTGTTTCAGCTTTCTTGAAGCTTATGGCAATTGGGCAATTCTCAATAACGTACAATTGCCAAAAAAGTTTAAGGTTTGGCAATTCACTCAAATCACTGCGAAAAAAAAATAACGTACAATTGCCAAAACCAAAATTGCCTTGGCAATTGTATGTTATTTTAAAAAGAGTTTACATTGAGTATCTCTAGTTTCGCTATAACCTAATACACAACATCACAAAAAACATAAATCCTTCGGCAAAAATATCAAATGATTCAATTTCAAATATCAAATTTCTAAAAATCATCAATAATGCTACCATTTTATTTCAAAAATATATAGAAACTAAAATATAGCATTCTCTTGCTTCTTTCAGACTTAAATAATGCAAAATTTACTATTTTTTTTTCAAAACTTCGCTCATCCAAGAATTGCCAAGCTTGGCAATTCGTGATGAACAAAATTTGCGCTTTTGGCAGTTCCGACATCCTTACTCTATGTTTTTAATTCATTCTTTATGGAAAACAAAAAGAAAATTTATAGAAAATCCATAAGATTTTTATTTTCATACAAATCTTTGTAACATAATGATTTAATATATCTTACATGATCACAAGCATGCCATGTGCATCAAATGGAACACGTATCAGCTAAAAGACTTCAATACGCAAATCGAAATTGTATTGTTTCGATTTTGAAAACAAAAAAAGTTTACTTGTATTCACTGCAATAATTTCTTGATAATTTGTTAGATATCACTTCGATTTAACTAGTGGTGAAGATTCGTATTCATTTCTAATAACTCTCATTTGATTCAAACTCAAATCTTAACATTGTTCATTACCTCATTTTTATGGCGTCAAAAATTTTCTCACTGGGTTTTCGTCTATCAATCCCAGCTCATTATATACGCAACCAATCAAAAATCTGATATGGGAGTCCAAGGCTAACTTTTTGTTGTCTACCTAATAAAAGAGGAAGCAGCATTAGTGAGAATAATCGCAAATATTCAATTTAAATTATCTTTTTATTCTTAATTTAAAGTGACAAAAAGAATAAAAACCCTATTCTAAGGCATGTTGTTATGTAAATGAGACTAGACATCATATTTTATGTTATGAAAAAAAAATATTTAGAATTTTAGAACAAAATAAATAGAAAAAATAGCATAACTTATGGATGTGCGTATATTAAATTTAATAAATTAAGAGAAATTATTTTTGGCGCCAAAATTATTCGTTAACTCTCAAATTTTTCTGAGTCAATAATCCGCCAAAAAAGTGTCATTTTGTTTCGTTAGAGAAAGATGAATTGTCCATGTCATCCAATCGGGAACAAGGGGGATGGGGATTAGATGATAAAGAAGCAATTCATGCTCTCTATCTGAAGCAATCAGACTTACCAGCAACAATGTGAATCGATTTGGCTTTAAAGTTAATATAGCAGATCAGCTTGTTACTGGAGCGACTAGGCATTACGATTGATTCGCTGTAGTGCTCTACTTTAATTTAAGAGTAGTAACGGATAACTGAATTCCCAAAATTCTTTAGGTGATCCAAAACACTGTAGCTGCTTGAACTTTGGACGAGCCTCGCACCCCAGAGAATAGAAATCCCAATCTTGCTCATGTTTAGTTGAATTAGTCTGCAGCAGTACAGCTCTGATACCACAAGATCGTGATGTATACAAAGTCACAACGCTATTGATTCAACAACTAGCTAGTTTTGACATCAAATTGCAAAATTTGACTTCGTTATGAGCTCTTGTAGCAAAAATACATTACACTTAAAGACTAGTTGCTAGACTGTAGTAGTTTGTTCGTATATATCTATTTTTCCCCAACGTATTGCATACTACATTTTGACAAGACTTGCAACCTTATAGTAACCTCGTTGGGAATTGTTCAAGCAAAGCGTAGGTAGTTAAGGTCGAGTAAGAGTTCTTCTTAAATCTTTCACTGAATGAGTAGGTGTTGGAAGAACTGTTCTCTAAAGCGATACAGTTGCGCTACATGTTCGTCAACTTGTCTAGAAATAAATATATCATTTGTTTTATACGTTTTTTCGTAATAAATCTATTTGTATTTGTTGTATTTGAGTATGAAGATAACAAAAACTACGGCATAAGACGCAGTACACTGGGCTTCGTTGCCATTTTATTTACCATGTTAAGAATAAACTTAACAGACATGCTTTGTTTTCGACGAAGCCATCTAAAATAACGTACATCTAAATAAAACTAAAAAACTGTAAAATTTCTTTATTTGATAGTATACTTCAAATTATGCACTATACCTTCTAGAATTCTATAACACTCTTTGCATATAATTTTTTTTAAAAAAAGTTATATCTCGATAAAAATATGATTTATCAATAGAGTATGTAAAATAAAACTCATTCGCAGTATTAAAAAATCGTAAATCTTTCCAAAAAATTTTTGAATTACAAATTTTAAAACTTAAAACAACATTTTTTGAAGCGAAAAAACGAAATCTAATTTTTTTGGAAAATTTAGAATAAATAGAGCTGTTTAACTCGTCGAATACAAATTGTTTTTGTTGTAAACAGAAATTCATCAAAAGTGACACATCAGAAAAGCTAAAATATTGAATTTTTGGAACTTTTGATAGAGCACGTTTTTAAATATTAATTAAAGTAAATGTATATTTTGTAAAGATTCTTTTTAATAAAAAAAATAAAATTTTGAAGAAGAACACAAAATCTTCTGAAAAATAATATCACATAAACTCATATTATTTTCTAATATATAACTATTTTATATAAAAATCAAATTCAATGATCTTAAAAGCGAAGGATAAACCTCAAAATTTACGAATATAATGAGTGGGAATATAATGCTTATCTATCATAAAACCATATGAAATATTAATTTTTGCTTTACGCCTAATTTTTGACGACAATTAGCAAAAAATGTTAAATGTTAACATTCAGTCCATTTGAATATGAAAAATAAAATTGACTTTGATTAAATGTTTTTATTTATCATGCAATTCTTCTTGCGACCAAAGATTTGAATAAAAGTTCAAAAAATAAGATAGCTTAAAAAATAATATACGGTAGTGTTTACTAATAGATGAATAGTATATAAATTCTATTAAAATGGATTTGATCCAAAAAATATAAAACCAAAAATAATTGTTATAATTTAAATGAAGAAGTAATTTAAAACGATTTTATTTATGATCAAATTTTATATATTTTTTTGGATCAAATCCATTTTAATAGAATTTATATACTATTCATCTATTAGTAAACACTACCGTATATTATTTTTTAAGCTATCTTATT